TTAGAGCTGCTTACATCATATTTTCTTCTATGTCTATGAACATTTTGTCCTAAAAATCAGTATTAAACTTTGTGTTGTTGTAATAGAGCATGCTTGCATGTTGGAGTTGGGAAGATTGGCCTAGAATCCAGGATGGTAATTTACGCCTGTGTAAGAAATAGTAGAAACTTATATGACCTTAGGGAAAGTACCTAAACTCTAAATTTCAGTTTCTTCATCTGAAAAATAGGAATAATTCCTTATAGAGCTCTAATGATGAGTAAGCGAGCTAATGTATGTAAACAGGTGTGGTGACTGGAAAATAAGGATATTGATTAGTTTAATTTTATTTATTAGTTTTTTAGAGACTAGATCTCACTCTTATCACCCAGTCTGGAATGTAGTGGCGTGATCATGGCTCACTGCAGCCTCTTGAGTAACTGAGACTACAGGCACGTGCCACCACACCCAGCTAATTTATTTTTATTTTTTCTTAGAGACCGATCTCCTTATGTTGCCTAGGCTGGTCTTGAGCTCCCGGCCTCAAGTGATCCTCCCACCTCAGTTTCCCAAAGTGTTGGGATTGCAGGCATGAGCCACTGTACCTGGCCTGATAAATTTTAGATTATCCCAGACACTGAACTCTTCCCATATTTCCCAAATCCCTGGCCCTAGGGGCCAGCTAGTAAACATTTCAGGCTTTGCCAATCATGCTACTCAACTTTGCCCCTGTAGTATGAGAGCAGCCATAGGCAAAATGTAAATGAATGGCATGGTTATGTTTGTACAAAGCTTTATTTTTGGACTCTGAAATTTGAATTTTATGTAATTTTTGTGGCACAAAATATTCCTCTTGATTTTTTTAAAATTTAAAAATAGAAAATTCATTCTTAGCTCTTGGGCCATAAAACATAAGCTGGATTTAGCAATGGGCATAGTTTACCCACCTCCATACAGAGCATGTCTGCGAGCCATATAATGAATTCACACGGAATAGCATTAGGCAGCAGTATTTTCAGTGGCTAGGAAATATGCTTTGGAAAAGAAGGACTTCAGTTTGGATCCTGGCTTTGCCACTTAGTAATTTGACCTTGGATAAGTTACCTTACCTTCCATCTCTTGCTTCAGTTTGTTCACCCATAAAATTATGACTTTTTATGAGGTTTAAATAAGTTAATACAGAAAAGGGGACTGCCTCATATAAATCTCCATAAATGGGAGCTGTAAATGTCTACATTCTTCCTTGTTTCGTTGACTTCTTTTGCATTTCATCATGATCTGCTACACCAAAACCCCACAAGCAACAGTAAGGCATTTCCCATGACTGGCATAAAATCTTGTTTTATTCCAGAAAATCACTGTGTAACTCTTCTCACTTCTAAATTTGCCTTTGAAAATTTTTTGCAGACATAGCCAGAGCCTTGAGGTTTTAGATTACCTGGGGAACAGACCCTCTTCTCCCCTAAACTGTAAAAACACCAGACAGGGCGTTCAGAGCATCTCAGAATCCCAAGTTTAGTCAAAATGGATTGGCAGTCACTTGTAGGGAGAGAAATGGCTAATAAACAGAGTCTGCAGGTTTGCTCTTGAGCAGCCGTTTTTTCCCATCCCCCTAAAATAAAGAAATATACTGAAGACAGAACAAAACACGCAAACCAGCCCTTTGGCCAAGCCAATCTAGAACTCTAGTGAGCTCAGCTGGATCATGGGGAGGACCCTATGGGCTTGGGCCATATTGAAATGAAGGACCGGGAGCCAGAAGCTCAGTCCAATTGCATTCCTCCATCTAGTTCTGGATCTCAGATGTGAAGCAGAGGTGATGTCAGAATCAGGCAATCTCTGCACCTGTGAGAAGAGTCTGCAGACAGCAGGCTTGATCACAGCTGGCTGCCAGGGCTACACCCGGAGTAGCAGCTGAAATACGTTTGAAAGAGGAGGGCTTGGGTTCATTAACGAATCCTGCTTCTCCTCGGTAGAATGCCTGCTTTCACCTGCCTCTGAGTTATACACGCTGCAGACGTTTTCAAAACAAAAACAATCTAATCAGGACCACCTTGAGAGAGAAGCTTCTAGATGGCTGGCAGAAATCACAGCTACAACTCTGTGTGTGTGTTGGTATATGAGATAGATGGGTCTTCACTGGTGCCTGCTTTAGCCTGCTTTGTGTACTGGAGATAAAAGGAAGCTGGTCTGTGTAGTTGAAGGTTGGAAAGGAGTGGTGTGGGGGTTATTGATATTTGAGGCATAGGAAGGAAAGAGGAAGCTTTATTACCCTGTGGCCCTCCCCTCTCATCCCTGTCACTGAGGCTCTAAGGCAGGTCTCTGCACCGGGGAAGACCTTGCATCATGATCACAGATCTCAGCCATTTGCGACTTTACCTTTCTCCAGCTGCTCTGCATTTTGTGTGTAGGCGCTGAAGTAATTTTATCCCTTGATGGTGGTCTCTGTTGACAGTTTCAGTATTTTTTGAGTTCCCTCAGCCCCTTTTCCTCAGTTGTGACCTGCTGATAGAAAGTCCACTGTAACTTGTTTGTTCACTATGGCTTCCTCTCCCAATCTGGAATGATCTGACAAGAATTAGGGCAATCCGTCACGATTCTGTGTTCCCGCACCCCAGAATCCCTCACTGGGGAGCAGTGCAGATGGGAAAGAATGAAGGCAGCAGCTGCAAACCATATTTTATCTCCAGTCCTCTTCCTGGGTCCCAGAAGCTGGGTTTGTGCCAACCCCGTGCTACTAAATTAGCTGCCTAGAGCCTCTCAACCTAAAACTCTGTGTGGCTCCCGAAGCCAGAGTAGATTAACTGACATTGTCTGCCCTGCACTGATCTCACCCTTGTGGAACTGTCCTCTCTTTGAAAAAAATCTGACCCTTCTCAGTGTTTAAGACTTAAGGTTCAGGGAGGAATATTCCCCTCCTCCGACACCCAGGTAGATTCCTAACACAATGGTGTCCTCCCTGAGGAAGCTGGGGGTGTGCGGTGACTGTCACCATCTGAGGGTTACCAAATGTCCATGGTGAGGGCGGTTGGGGTTGGGGAGGATTTGGCCTTTTCTCTTTTTGCTTCCACCGGAAGACAGTCAACTACAGTAGACAGTCAGCTTTTGGATATTTTTGAGCTACTCAAATCTGTGTTCAAACTATGGCTTTACCACTCACCACTGTTGGCCTTGGTCTCTTCACTTACAAAGTGAAAAATGATGACACCAGTGTTTTGGAGATGCTCTGAAGATGAACAGATGATGCTTAATAAGTATCTAGTATGCTCCAACTGTGTTTTAAATGCCATTACCCTGTGTTGGGTGTGTGTAGACACATCCACAAATGGATCCTTTGTGTGAATGTATATGTCTATGCCCCTGAGAATAGCAGTTGAGATGTTGCTAGATTTCAGCAAATATAACTTGAAAAGGTTTTCCTGACAACCCTAAAAATATACATGCATTAAATGAAATATTGGAAATAAGGAAAAGCATGAAAAAAATAATACAAAACATACGAGACATTCAGTGCCATTTTTTTTTCATGTAATGGGCATATGCCTATTTTTAAATTTTTATTTCCCCTAAGATTAGGCCCTATATTCTATTTTTTAATAATATATTATGAATAATTTACTTCCATAAAACCAATTGTTTTTCTACAGTATGATTTTTAATCATGTAGGGTAATCTGTTATCTGGATATATCATAATTTATGTATTAAGTCCCATGTTATTGAAAATTTGGATTGTTTCATCTACAGCCATACTACCCTGAATGGGCCCAATGTTGTCTGAAAATTTGAGTGGTTTCTAGCTTTTCACTATGATGTACTGTGGTTGAGCTTCATGTGGCATAATATTTACACACATTTATAACTTTATTTTTTTAGACTAAGTTCCTAAAAGCTAGCTGTGTCAAAAGTAGGGACTTTTTAAGGGTTTGGATAGATATTGACACATTTTCTCTCATGAAGGCTTTGCTGTCTTAAGCTTTCATCACTACTGACCCCCTTCACATGTTCCTCAAATCTGAGTATTAATTTTAATAAAAAACCTCAGCTATTTTAAGTGAAAACTTACTTGCTTGTGTTATTTTAAAAACATTTTCTGTTCATATTCTTCAGCAGTTATTTTGTTGATTTATGAACACATCACATAGACAGTATATGAAGTCTATTGCCATTACATTCATTGTAAATATTTATTGCCCAGTCTTTTTCATTTTTTATGAGGTTTTTTTAGCTTCTGCTTCCCTCCCCCGATCTATCAAAAGTATGTATATTTTGAGTTAAGCCTATTAATCGTTTCCTTTATGGCTTCTTATGTTGGTGTTTTTCTTAGGAAATCATTTCTCACCCAAGGATCACAAAAATACTCACTTGGATGTTCTTCCTAAATTATTAATCTCTCTTTAATTTGTTTTGGTATGAGTGTGAGCTACGGGTCCATTATTTTAATAGACATTACTATGTCTTAAAACATTATTAAAACTAGTTATACAATAAGTTTTAAGAATCAGTAGATATACAAAATTCCAAAACAAAGAATCCAAACAGAAATATATTTCAGAGATTTAAAAAAGGGTAGGAAGCTGTGTCTCCTCATAATGAGAAGATTCTACTTTGACAGAGTTTTAGTTAAGCTAATTTTAAATCTCAGATTAATCCTCTTTTGTTACTCACTGAGTTGGCCACTGGAAGTGATAGTACCTGGAATTCACCTTTGCTTCTTTTTCTCTGGATGTCTTTTCAGTTCTATCCCATCTTTCTGACATAGTCTGTTTTTGGAGCAAGCTGCCGTCCTGAACAGGAGGCATGCTTTTGTGGCTTTTTCCATACTTCTCATGTCTTTGTTTGAGTTCCCATACCTTTAGTTTAATGAGTTATTCACCTAGCCTCAAAACCTTGGTTTTCCTATAGCCCTGCCTGTTTTGAAACACAGTGTATGCAGGTAAAACGTTGGAAAATCACTGATCCCTTGGCAAAGTCAGATGTATTCAGAGGAAGAGTACTGACTCTTGGTATCTCCTGTTTCAGGAAAAGATGAAAGGCAAGAACAAGCTGGTGCCTCGCCTGCTGGGGATCACCAAAGACTCGGTGATGCGCGTGGATGAAAAGACCAAGGAGGTGCTGCAGGAGTGGCCCCTCACCACCGTCAAGCGCTGGGCAGCCTCACCCAAGAGCTTCACACTGGTAGGGACTGGCAGAGGGCAAGGAGAGCACTAGCATGGCTTTGGGTGATATTGTGGGAACAGGAGAAAGACCAGATTCTTGCCCATTGGGTTTCTCTGGCCTTGGAGAGCCAGCATGGAGTGAGGAAGATGGTGGAAGCCCATGGGCAGGGAAGGGGATGGGTCCAGAAGTAAAAGAGCCTTCTGGGTTTCTTCAGGCACTGCTCCTTCTCTGCACTCTGTATAAGCCAGCCTCTAGTTCGTTATCTAGAAAAAGCCACTCACCCAGATGATTCTCAGTTCTGTGTTCCTGATGACATCCCTAGCATATACTGAAAGGAAACTTTTAGTGCTCTGACACACAAAGGCCCCCTCTCTATTTTATATTTTCCTAAGCGTTGTGATTATGTTGCTGAGGATGTTTTCTCAGCCTGCCTAGAAAGACAGTATAGTACACAGTGGAAATAACGTGGACTTTAGGATAGTAATATTATAGAAATCCAGTTTGTCATTTCCCAGCTCGGTGACCTTGTTCAAGTTACTTTTCCTCTCTGAGCCTTAAGTTCTTCAGCTATAAAATGGTGATAGTCATGCCTACAGAGCTGCTAGGATTGAATAAGATGAAGATGATAAGATGCTTAGTATAAAATTTATGGAAAGTAGTGAGAATATATTTGTTTCAGGTCTTCAGACCTCTGAATTCTTCTTCTTGATTTCAATATTTGTTGTTAGCAGAGTAATAACGCTATGCCTTAACTATAGCCACATTTACTTGTGAAACACAATAGGGCAGGTAGTTGGTAGGGCAAGTTGTGCAATAAGAAAAATCAAAAAGTGCTAGAATTTGTCAATTTCTTAAGACTCCTGAAGTCTCTAGTGAATGCTTGAAATATCACCTCTTATCTATGCAAGATATCATAATAGGACATCAAAAAAAAACAAAAACAAAAACAAAAAAAACCAAAAACAAACCGTGTAAAGAGGGGACCATGGAAGAAGTCATTAGTTATCTAATTTGACTATAGATTGTTAAGTTCCTGCCAATTAGAAGGAATCATCAGAAAACATACCTTCTATCCTCCTGTAGCTGTAACAGCTGTGCCTGTATGGCCCTCAAAAGATGAATGTTCCTACTTAGCTGTGTCCTCACCTTCCATTGCAGGAAGTCATGGATAATTTCTAAATTAGAAAAATCAAGAAATCAATATAAATATATTATTTAGAAATACTAGAAGAAACCGCCGAAACAGTTGAAAGTGGTTACCTTTGGAGGAGTATGTGGTAGAAAGTGAATATGAGAATGTGTAGGACAGGGAACAACTGTGTTTTGTTTTACATCTTTTAATACTATTGGTCTTTTTAAACTAGATCCTAGTATTTATTGCAAACAAAAATTTGGCCAGGCGCGGTGGCTCACGCCTATAATCCCCGCACTGTGGGAGGCCGAGGCGGGCAGATCATGAGGTCAGAAGATCGAGACCATCCTGGCTAACACAGTGAAATCCCATCTCTACTAAAAATACAAAAAATTAGCCGAGCGTGGTGGCGGGCGCCTGTAGTCCCAGCTACTCAGGAGGCTGAGGCAGAAGAATGGCACGAACCCAGGAGGCAGAGCTTGCAGTGAGCCGAGATCACACCACTGCACTCCAGCCTGGGTGACAGAGCGAGAGTCCGCCTCAAAAAAAAAAAAAAAAATTTTAAAAATAAATAGTTATGATAACCTCATTAACTACCTCAGGCAAAAGAGAGCACATCAGTATTTTGATTAAAGCCTAACGTTGCATAATGCATAATGCATATAATGCATAATGCGTATAAGTTCATTATATGTAGTGATTTTTTCCTTCCTATTCCTAGCCTTTATTTAATTTCCAAGTGTTTGGAGGTTTTTCTGCTGTCTTTCTACTATTGATTTTTTAGTTTGATTCCATTATGGTCAGAGAACATACTCTGTATGATTTCAGTCCTTTTGAAATTTTAAGGTTTGTTTTTATATCCCAGGATATCATTTTTGGTGAGTGTTCTATGAGTACTCAAAAAGAACATATATTCTGCTGTTATCATGTAAAGTGGGCTCTGTAAATATCAGTTAGATCCCTATTAGTTGATGGTGGTGTTCTAGTCTTTTGAATGAATATCTTTGTTAATTTTCTGTCTGGCAGTTTTCTCAGTTGCCGAGAGTGGGGTTCTTAACAATAATTGTGGATTTTTCTACTTTTTCTTTCAGCTCTCAGTTTTTGTTTCATGTAATTTGAAGCTTTGTTGTTTGGTGCCTGGACATTTAATCCTACATCTTAACGGAGAAGTTGTTTTATCATTATGTAATGTTCTTTTCTGTTAGTAATTTTTGTTTTGCTCTGAAGTCTACTGTATCTCATGTTAACATAGCCACCAATGCTTTTTATAAAACTAATGTGGGCATGATATATCTTTTTCCGTCGTTTTATTTTCAACCTGCATATATTGTTATATTTGAAATGAATTTCTTGTAGAGAGCATAATTAGTTGGGTTATGTATTTTTTAATCCATTCTATCTCTTTTAATTGGTATATTTACACTACATTTAAGCTAATTATTGATATATTAGGACCCAAGTCTATCATTTTTTAGTTTTTCTGTTTGTCCCCTTTGCTTCTCTCTCTCTCTCTCTTTTTTTTTGCCTTTTCTGTGGGTTACTTGGACACTTTTTAGAGTTTCAGTTTGCTTTGTATGTTACATTTTGAGCATATCACTTAGTGTGTGTGTTACATTTTGAGCATATCACTTACTGTGTGTGTTACATTTTGAGCATATCTCATTGGTTATTCTAGATATTACCATGTGCATATAAAATTAAACATAGCCTACTGGTACTGGCTTTTCCCCTTTAAGTGAAGTGTAGAAACCTTACTTCCATTTAGGTCTTTTTACCTACCCACTCCCCACACTTTTTTTTTTTTTTTTTTTGAGACGGAGTCTGGCTCTGTTGCCCAGGCTGGAGTGCAGTGGCCGGATCTCAGCTCACTGCAAGCTCCGCCTCCCAGGTTCACGCCATTCTCCTGCCTCAGCCTCCTGAGTAGCTGGGACTACAGGCGCCTGCCACCTCGCCCGGCTAGTTTTTTGTATTTTTTTAGTAGAGACGGGGTTTCGCTGTGTTAGCCAGGATGGTCTCGATCTCCTGACCTCATGATCCACCCATCTCGGCCTCCCAAAGTGCTGGGATTACAGGCTTGAGCCACCACGCCCGGCCCTCCCCACACTTTTTGAGTATAATTATTTAAATATTTTTTCTGCATACGTGTAAGATGGTTATTTTGTCTATAACCACATAAGATGGTGTTACAGCTTCCGCTTTGGACAGAAAATGTGATGAAAGAAACTCATGAGGTGAAGAACAGTCTATTACATTTCCCTTTATTTTTATCTACCCCATTGTTCTTCTTGCCTTTCTGAAGTTCCCAGCCTCCTTCTGTTATCATTTTGTGTTTGGAGAGCTTCCTTTAGCTATTTGTTAAGGGTACATCTGCTAGCAACAAATTCTCATAGTGTTTTCTTCCTCTGAGAACGTTATTATTTCCCCTTCATTCATGAAGGATAATTTGCCAGGTACAGCATTTGGGATTGACAGTTCCTTTCTTTTAGCATCTGAAACATGTCATGCCACTTCTTTCTTACCTCCATGATTTCTAATGAGAAATTCGCTGTCATTCAAGTTAGTGTCAATTTGTAGGTAATATGTCATTTTTCTGTGGCTGTTTTTAAGATATTTTTATCTCTGGTTTTCAAAATTCTTGGTATGGGCTTCTTAAGATTTCTTCTGTTTGGAGTTCACTCAGCTTCTTGAATTTGTGGGTTTAAGTTTTCATAATTTGGGGGAGTTTTCAGTCATTATTTCTTCAAATGCTTTATTTTTATCCAACATTGTCCTCTCCTGTTATTCTGATGATATTATTGTTAGATCTTTTGTTACTGTCCTGTAGATCCCTGAAGCTCTGTTTTTTAGTTTATTTTCTCTATGTTGTTCAGATTGACTAAATGCTGTTGATCTGTTTTCAGGTTTACTGATTTTATTTTTTATTAGCTCCACACTACTATTGAGTCCTAACCTGTGAGTTGTCAAATTTTGGTTATTGCCTTTTTCAGTTCTTCTTTTATACTTTCCATTTGGTTCCTTTTTATGATTTCTGTTTCTTTGTTGGAACTTTTTATTCTTTAAAATCTGCTGCAAGAGAATTTGCAGTTTATTGTGAAGCATTTTTATGATGGTTGCTTTAAAATCCTTAGAATTCCAATATCTGATTTATTTCAGTATTGGCATGAGTTGATTGTCTATCATTCATATTGTGGTTGTCCTGGCTCTTGATATGAATATTTATTTTTTTAAAAACATCCTAGACATCTTGGTTATTAGGGGACTTTTTTTTTTTTTTTTTAAAGATAGTCTCTCACTCTGTCGCCCAAGCTGGAGTGTAGTGGTGTGATCATAGCTCACCTCTTGGTCTCAAGCGATCCTCCTCCCTCAGCCTCTTGAGCTGAAACTGCAGGCTCATGCCACTATGCCTGGCTAATTAAAAAAAGAAAAAAAAATTTTTAGGGGTGAAGTCTCACCATGTTGCCCAAGCTGGTCTTGAACTCCTGGGCCCAAGTGATCCTCTCGCCTCAACCTCCCAAAGTGGTGGGATCACAGGTATAAGCCACTGTGCCCAGCCTATCAGGAGACTTTTGATCTTACCGAAATATTCTATGTTAGCAGGCGGCCACTTTGTTCAGGTTCAGTGTGTAGTGTTCTGGCCTACTTTTGTGGGCTTAAGTTGCAATGACAATTTTATTCTCTGAGCCCTTTCAATGCCATTCTGGGCTGATTTTTTCTTTTGACACTAAGGTTCCTGCTCAAACCCTGTTGGTTCTGTTGATCAAGGCAGAAGGCACTTCCCTGGGCTACCTGCTATTGGTGGGTGACCTTCATTGCAGGAACCAGAAGGCACTGGGTCTGAGTCTCTTTAAGCCACTGGCTGGAGGGCAGGGAGACACAGGGCTTTACTGTGCCTGCTGCAGCAAAAGGATCAGACCATCCACCTGCCTGGGTTGTGGAAAAGGGCCTGAGAGGGTCTGAGGCTTCACTGCTCTGCAGCTTCCGGTGAATGTCAGCCCAGGTTGTTGAGCTGGAGTTGGAGTTCCTGACTACTTCCCCAAATTAGTCTCTGTTGGGCTCCCCTTCTCCTGGTTCTTTGACTAAAAGCATGCTTTTCAGGAACTGCCTGTTGGAGGTTCCAATGTTCAGGCCTCTAAAACTCTTAGTCTTGGGGGTATATGGGATAGGAAAGAAAACTCAAGAACTCAACCACATTGTGGTTTTGCATGTTCTGAGGCCCCCAGCCAGTCCATCTTTTCAGTTTTGAGAGCTCTTTTACCATTGTTGAATATTGTTCAATAAATTTTAGGGTATTCGTTTGTATTTAGAGAGAAAGAGCAGGGGAAATGAAGCCTATGTCATATTGTTCTAGAGCTGGACCTCCTAGCGTTTACAATGCTGATATATCTGATTTAGCTGTATTTCCTCCAATGCTGTCTTTTCAGGATTTTGGGGAGTATCAGGAAAGCTACTATTCAGTACAAACCACCGAGGGAGAGCAGATATCCCAGCTGATTGCAGGCTACATTGACATCATCCTGAAAAAGGTATTTTGTATTGATGCAAATTGGAAAAGCAAGACCGCTTTATTAAAAGGCTCGGTTTCGATGGTGTGGGTACCTTGAAAAAAAAAAAGCCCTTTTAAAAAATACTTGAGGCCAGGCACAGTGACTCATGCCTGTGATCCAACACTTTGGGAGGCCGAGGCGGGCAGATCACCTGAGGTCAGGTGTTAGAGACCAGTCTGGCCAACATGGTAAAACCCCGTCTCTACTATAAATACAAAAAAATTAGCCAGGCATGAGTGCCTGTAATCCCAGTTACTCGGGAGGCAGAGGCAGGAGAATCGCTTGAACCCAGGAGGCGGAGGTTGCAGTGAGCTGAGATCACGCCACTGTACTCCAGCCTGGGCGACAGAGCAAGACTCTGCCTCAAAAAAACAAAACAAAACAATAAAACTTGATTTACTAATTTCATCTTTAATCACTAATTAAGTATGAGATCTTTGACCTCAAGATCCTATGAGAATTCGTGCTTTTTCTGTAGCACATATTTGTATCATTTACTACCAGGCAGTGAATAATAGCATGTCACTTAGCTAATGAATGAGCCTAGCACCCCTCAGCATCTTCCTTTCCACGTAGCTGTACTATGCTTTTCAGCCTCTGTGGAAACTTGGATTGAGGGGCTAAAAATGATCTTTGCAGTTTTCATGTTTTTTTTTTTTTTTAAACAAATGTAAGGGGGTTATATGCCATAGTAGTATACAGAAAAACAGATTTCTTAAGGTTTCAAGATACAACCCATGAAAAAAAACAAGTTTTAATAGAATGTTAATATGTGCATCTTGATTTTTTACTATGTAAAATTAAAGTCTGTGCAATAAATACGTGACATTTAACTATATATTAATATATTTCTCTTGTTTATTATTATGCTTTTGTTCATCCATCACTTACTAAATATCCAGTATAAAGAATTTTGAGTAAACTTCAACACTTTCACTTGTGTCCCTTCAAAATTTTTTTTTAAAGGTCCTTGTATGAAGACCTGCTGATTTTCTTTTCTTTCTTTTCTTTTTTTTTTTTTTTGAGACAGAGTCTTGCTCTGTCACCCAGGCTGGAGTGCAGAGGCACAGTCTCGGCCCATTGCAACCTCCACCTCTGAGTTCAAGCAATTCTTCTGCCTCAGCCTCTGGTGTAGCCTGGACTACAGGCATGTGCCACCACGCCCACCTAATTTTTGTGTTTTTAGTAGAGATGGGGTTTCACCATGTTGACCAGGTTTGTCTCGAACTCCTGACCTCAAGTGATCCGCCCGCCTCAGCTCCCAAAGTGCTGGGATTACAGGTGTGAGCCACTGTGCCCGGCCTGGGTTTCATTTTTGCATTTTGTTTTATTGCATTTCCAGAAACAAAGTAAAGATCGATTTGGACTAGAAGGTGATGAGGAGTCAACCATGTTAGAAGAGTCCGTTTCCCCGAAAAAGTAAGTATTATGAAGAGCACTAGAGAACCACCTTCTCCCTAGATAGGCAGGTTTCCTCTTGCCAGCTTGGAGCCTGCTGCTCTGAAGCTTGTCACCTGGAGAAGATGACAGCAGATGATATAGTTGAATCTTCTTCAAGCATGGTCCCCAGACCAGCAGCATTGAAGTGGCAAAAGTCTCGTGAGGGAGGCTGAGGATTTTAGGGAAACATTGACCAAAGTGTGGCGTTTAACTGTGTCTTTTGAGGCAGTAAGTGTTCATGAGTCGTGTTCCTCATTTCTGATTTAAATCTCATGATCGAATCATACCATCAGAAGGTCAGAGGATGAGCCTCTGTTTGATTCTGGCCCAAACAGAGGAGGGGGGAGTGTAGCCAGTGGAGGAGTTATAGTGAAGCACTGCTGCATACCACGCTTGTCTCGAGTGCTGTGAGGTAGCGTAGTACAGGCGAGTGGTTAAGAACATGGAAACTCGTACTGGGCTCACATTTGGAGCCTGTGTTTCACTGTGTGGCCCTGGGGAAGTTACTGAATTCTCTTCTGGCATGATCTCATCTATAAAGTGGGGATAATGATATTACCACCTAAGTAGGTTTTATTTCCATGGTAGTTACTAATAAAGGACATAAAACAATGCCTGGAACATAGCACTTGCTATTATAACTATCATCCTCACAATCATTATTTTAAATTCACAGTGTTCTCAATTTAGCGCCATTTGTAGATGAGGAGATAGATTTATTAAAATTAAGTAACATCTAATAAATGTTTTTTATGGGGAACCTATACAGACATCCCTTTTATATTAATAGAGCAATGTAATGACTGTTCTTTATTCTTTAGTGTGTGTATCTGACATTCTGTCTCATCTGGAATTCCAATAACAGCTCCCTATGCAAAAGGGAGGCCAAGTGCTATCATTCCCAGTCCACGGATAAGGAAACTGAAGCTCATGAAAGTTAGTTGAGATATACATATGTGGTAGAGTCAGGACTCAGATTCAGATCTTGCGATGTTTCCCATAGTATGCTGCTAGAAAGTTCTAGCATCTTCCAGTCCATTAAACTTGCTTAGCTATAGTAGTTTCTCTAACATTTTCACCCTTGCTGCCAGTTTCTCACAATTTGCTTCCTAATCACCCAGAAGGTGTTTTTCCATTTGTCCCCACTAGTATGCAAGTTAGAACCAAACTTGATATGATGTGTTTCTAGTACTTGCCACCCTTGGGCAGAGCACCTTAAGTCCTTGGAATTATTCATGGCCATTGGATGTAAATTAGTGAGCTAGTACTCTCTGACAGGGTGATCTACTTCACTTCAGAGGACTCTGCTATGCTTTGCTTCCCATAGGAGCAGCCCAGTAAGTGTCTGAGCCCAGAGGGCTGGGACCTTCCCCTGCCTGGGACCACTGTAGCCTCCTCCACTGCCCACGGCATCACTGTGGGATCTGATCAAGGCAAGCAGGAAGAATGGTCAGGATGGTCCCCATCTCTAGACCTTCCACTTCTTCCTGTGTTGGTCCTTGGCTGAGATCTCACAATGCAACTGACTTCTCACTGGCGCCTCCAGACCCACCTTCTCTAGTCTCTCACCACCCCACCCCTAGACTGCAGTATTTCTCCATGGATGCCTAATGCTTGGGATCCCAGCATGGCTATTGAGCCTTGCCCTGGGAAACAGGGAATGATCTGTGATGGTGTGAGGGCCCTGGGACAGAGGCCCCTGTCTCTTCATGCAGCTGCACCTCCACCTTCCTTCCACCTCACAACACACACAGACGCTGTCTGTGGGTTTTTCTGCTGGGCTTCTGAGGAACATACACCATCCTCAGACTTCTTACCTTCAGACGATCCGCGTCCTTTGCACTTATTCTTCATTCTAAGACAATATAAAGTAAACAATGCAATTTTTTGGCTGAGCGCTGTGGCTCACTCCTGTATTCCCAGCACTTTGGGAGGCCGAGGCGGGTGGTTCACCTGAGGTGGGGAGTTCGAGACCAGCCTGGCTAATATGATGAAACCTTGTCTCTACTAAAAATACAAAAAATAAGCCAGGCGTGGTGGCAGGCGCTGGTAATCCCAGCTACTTGGGAGGCTGAGGCAGGAGAATAACTTGAACCCGGGAGGCCAAGGTTGCAGTGAGCTGAAATTGCGCCACTGCACTCCAGTCTGCATGGCAAGAGTGAAGCTCTGTCTCCAAAAAAAAAAAAAAAAATTAAAAATGCAATTTTTCCATTAGATACCTTAAGAGTCTTCCCAATATTTAGCTGAAAGCATTTGGGGAAGGTGCCAAAGCCTCACGTGGTCAAGGCTCTAGAGGCAGTGAGACATCCTCTGTGGTCAGTGGTGGTGGCCTGACGGAGGGAGCTAAGCTGTGGGAGGCTTTCCCCTAGCTTCATTTCCACATTTCCCCTTTCAAGCTGCAGATACATCATCTGTATCTCTGATGCTTGGAATGGAACCTGGCAGAAGGTTGATACTTGTTTAGTGAATGTTCTTTCAGGTATGATTTACCAAAAATAATATATCAACATATCAAAACATTCACTTAAAACCTGGGACATCATTATTATAGGAATCTCTGTGTTGTTGTTGTCATTTTTTCTTCTTGAGACAGAGTCTTACTCTGTTGCCCAGGCTGGAGTACAGAGGCATGATCATAGCTCACTGCAGCCTCTGGCTCCTGGGCTCAGGTGATCCTCCCACCTCATCCTCTGTAGCTAGGACTGTAGGCATGTACCACCACTCCAGGCTAAGTTTTTGAATTTTTTGTAGAGATGAGGTCTCATATGTTCAGGCTGGTCTTGAACTCCTGACTTCAAGGAATCCTCCCCGCTTGGCCTCCCAAAGGACTGGGATTACAAGGGTGAGATACTGCACCCAGCCTTGTTTTCTTAATAACAACTAATTGCATAATATCATAAGTCTATTAAGTGGATAAATTGGGAGTAATTATTTACATTACTTATCGTAAAAGGATTCATCTCAGAGCTCTGCTAAGTATTGTGATGCCACTTCTTCATTCCTGCTTCTCTGTCTGTATGTGCCTCTTTAAATTGGCCTTCACAGCATAAAGCAGGGAACATACGTGACATCTGTGGGGTCTCCTCATTGCACTCCACATGGGTGGCGTCCTTACAGTGACCAAACCACTTTTTCCGGCAGGTCCACCATCTTGCAGCAGCAGTTCAACCGGACCGGGAAGGCAGAGCATGGCTCAGTGGCGCTGCCGGCCGTGATGCGCTCGGGCTCCAGCGGGCCTGAGACCTTCAACGTTGGCAGCATGCCTTCGCCACAGCAGCAGGTCATGGTTGGGCAGATGCACCGAGGCCACATGCCGCCACTGGTGAGGCTTCCTGTGCTCCTCCCCCGCTTGTTAGTCTGCTGCCTCCGGCATGCAGGGTGGACACCAGCGGTGGTGATGGGCTGAGTGTTGGAACTCTCTCTAGTTCCCGGCTGAATCATGCCTCGTTTAGCTGTGCATTTTTTAAATTGGATGACTCGGATCACTGCCTGTTTGGTATCGGAGGTGTCCTCTGTGACTGGAAAATTGGGGAGCTCTCAACATGACTTGTGATACAGGGACAGAACCCTGCTCCCATGTCCTGGCAGCATGAAGCTGATTGGTCCAGATACCCCTAGGAAAGGCTGAGAAGTAGACCAGGTTTTTAGCAATCTTGAGGTTTCACCCTGGGAGTCATTGATTGCTTTCCACTGTGCTGGTCTGTCTGGCTCAGTGCCTCTCAGGCTGGCCTTGGGACTGACTCTCTTGCTATTGGACGAGAACTTTTTGAAAGCTCAGGAGCAACACTTGTCTCTGAAAAAGTATGTTGACCATAGATTTAGGTGGAGTCCTTAAGCATCTATCAGGAAGCATTCTTATTTAACACCCACGTGTTTCCTGTGCATGAGGAGGTCCTCTGTACTCAAAGACTGGATCACCTCAGTTCCCCTGCAAGGACTCTTATGAGCCTTCTTGTCAGCTAATTAAGCTCTTCACGCACTTCTGATTATAATCCCTCCATGGCAATCACCTTCATTTTGTGTTCTATTAATATAATGCAGTATCTATTTCTGGCCTCCAGGTTGAAATGGGAGATAGTTCAGGCGCTTGTTGAGATGTAGCCTGGGCTGCTTTGTCTCGAGTGCAGAGTTCTGTTTTGCTTTGTTTTGCATAAAGGGCCATGTCAGTCCCAGGAGTGTGGGATGACAGCGTTGTTTCATCTGCCTTTGCAGACCTCAGCCCAGCAGGCCCTGATGGGGACGATCAACACAAGCATGCATGCCGTCCAGCAGGCCCAGGATGACCTCAGTGAGCTCGACTCGCTGCCACCTCTCGGCCAGGATATGGTAAATACTGTTGAGTGGTTTTCATGCCAAGTCTCTGTCCTGGCAGAAAGCAGTGTCATGCACTCTGTCAGGATTCATCTAGGTAAATTTCTGTCTCTAGGTGAAATGGAAACCCATGATTTTTTCAGGATCTTGAGACTTTGTCTCTCAGTTGCACCCATGGGAGGAGAAAATCATAGAGTACTGCAGGCTTTTGGCAATACCATGGGAGGGCAGAGAACTTGGACCCTAGGATCCTGCGACCTGGGTTCAAACCCCAGCTCCAGTACTGGCTGTGTGAATCTGGGCTACTTGCCTTCTCTAATCCTCCACTTTGTCATCTGTAAATAGAGTTGTTGTGAAGCTGCAATGATCTAATCACCTGTAGAGTTCTTAGCATGGCCCCTAGCACATAGTAAGAGCTCAGTAAGCATTAGCTGTTGGTTAGTTTTATCGCTACCAGTGGTTCTCAAACTGTAGCATATGTCAGCATCATCTGAAGGGCCTGTTAAAACACACATTGCTGGACTCTCCCCCCATTTTTTTGTTTGTTTGTTTTTGGTTTTGAATCTTGGGTAGGGCCTGAGATTTTGCATTTCCAGCAAGATCTCCGGTGATGCCAGCGCTGCGTGTCTGGGGACTGTGCTTTGAGAAGCACTGGCTTACTACCATTGAGCTTTTCAGCAAGGTGGGTGATTAACCCAGAGATCTTCCTGTAGCTACTGCTGCATAAAATCTTCCAACTCCTCACTGCTCAAATCGTGGTCCCAGGACCAGCAGCGTTGGCAATTCCCAGAGTCTTGTAAGAGGTGCAGAATCTTGGGCCTTCCCCAGCCCACTCAAACAGAATCTGCATTTTAGCTAAGTTCCCAACTTCTTTGTGTGACCATTAAAGTTTGAGAAGCACCGGCTAGCACTGTCATTCTCAACCCTGCTTTGTATGTTAGAATCATCCGAGGAACTTTAAAAACAAAGCCCAAAGCACCAGCTCTGACCAAATAAATCGATGTTTCTGTGGGTGGAGCCTGAGAATCAGTGGTTTTTATTCTCACCAGCTGATTCTAATGGCCAGTCAGGGTTGACAACCACTGTTGTAGGACTGACTGGTGCCATCACAGGGGCCAGAACCAAGATACAGTCTGTAGTCTCATCTTGTCCTGCCAGGATAACTGCCCTCCAAGTTCTCCCAGAATGCTGAGTCTTTCATTTGCACATTTGTGTGCGTGGAGGTTGCTGGTATCCTCGGTGCCATTTCTCCCAGGTACCTGAAGACAATAAACATTTTGCTTTGGGGAACTCCAGAGTAAAAACATGTATGGCAGATTCCCATATCCAGTATAATTGGGAGGTAGAGTTTTAAAATATTTAAGATTTAACATTCCTCTTTCACCAGTTTTCAAAGATTTAGAATGCAATAAATTATTTTTAGTGCTAGTCACATCCTGAACATAGATGAATATTTTTGGGATATTTTGGGAAGCAGATGAGCACCTTACTGCAGGGTCATCATTATCAAGATAAATGATCATTTATTAGGTAAGTTCATACCAGAAAATAGAGAACTTGCTATTTATAGGTTCAAATAAACATATAAAGTATAAGAGCTGGAAAGGTTTTTAAAAACCATTGAATTCCTACAGTAGAAAAAGTATAAGGCACAGGACCTGGATATGATTTGCCCAAGGTCCTATCACCTACTAGTGGTAGATCTGGATCCAGAACAGGGGTCTCGACCCATCCCCTCATCTTACCAGGAAAGGTCTTACCATCTACATGAGCATGGCCTTTAGTCGTCTTCAAGGCGATGCATGTTGTAAGCAAGAGACATTTCCTACATTGACAGAGAACACCTATGAGCTGAAACACCCTCCTTCTCACCCTGCTCCCTGCAAAGCAAGGTGAAAATTAGCAACAACTGTCAGTGCTAATGTGCAGTATTATTATGAAACATTGATTTTTCGCTTCTCGTTCTTTTTCAATTGAATTATTCTAAATAAAGCCATGTGGAATTTTTCTCCCTAAGATCTTAAAAGTTAAAAACACAAACAACATAATTAATGTAAGACACAGGGAGAATTTGCACGCCATTGAGTATCTCCGAAGGAGCAAGAGGCCTGTTGAGGATACTGTTTAGGATAACTTAAGGGCCCTGTCGGCGTTGGCCTCATAAGAAGAATGTAGCCAAAATGCTGGTCTGTTTTTATGGGGGGGCTTTTCCGGTCTCCTGGGTAATTCTGTGCTGTGATTGTGTTGTGCCGTTGTCTGGCTTTGCAGGCATCTAGGGTATGGGTTCAGAACAAAGTCGATGAATCCAAACACGAAATCCATTCTCAAGTTGATGCTATCACGGCCGGAACGGCTTCGGTTGTTAACCTCACGGCGGGTAAGTCCCTTGAGATTTGTGCTGCATTGGAGTTTTGTTTAAAAGCTGTTTTTTTAATTTTAAAATATAAGTTATCTGTTGATTGAAACAATAGACTTCATATTATGAGAGGATAGTCTATTCTTAGGCGCTTTTCTCCCAGTGACCCAGGAGAGCGGGTAAGGAACATCTTATTGCTTTTTGCCTGTATCTTGCATCCTCGTTAAAAAGCAGCTATTCAGATCTTCTCATGGCTTGTCAGTGTGCTGGACGTACTGCAAAGTCTATTGAGGCTGCTTTCTCCTTTCTGGGCACCTACAGTTGGAAAATGGTTTTGAACGAACAGACCTGTCATGTGTGCCTTCGCCCATCTTGTCCAGCAGCAGTCTCTTCTGGCACAGTGTGGCTCCCAGCCTTGCGCTCTCAGGGGAGAGCTGGGAACTTGCTTGGTTTCACCCTGCAGCGTATCCGCCTTTCAGGAGCAGAGTTGACCCCCTGAGCTGCTGACAGGGGCCTAATGGAAAAGGCTGTGAGATGCTGAGACATCCTTTGGGTTTTTAAAGGTGGTTGTACTCAGTATTTCAATGCTTGAGGCCTCCAGGCAAAAGGACCTTTCTGCAGTCACTGTGGAGACAGGGAGCAGGCCATCTCACTGTGCTCATGTGACGCTTGCTGTCTGACTCCTGCAGGATGGTGGGTGAGGAACTCCTGCCAGTGTGGGGTTTTGAAAGTTCTCACCAGAACCATGTGCCCTCCTTCGATGAGGATGGTTCTTTTCTCTCCCAGGTGACCCTGCAGACACTGACTACACAGCTGTGGGATGTGCAATCACCACTATTTCTTCCAACCTGACGGAGATGTCCAAGGGTGTGAAGCTACTGGCCGCCCTCATGGATGATGAGGTGGGCAGCGGGGAGGACTTGCTCAGAGCTGCCAGGACCCTCGCTGGGGCAGTGTCAGACTTGCTGAAAGCTGTGCAGCCTACTTCTGGAGAGGTAAGCTCCAGAGGCAAGCAATCACTGGGGTTCTGATGGGATGGCTACATCTGCTGGGGGACCATGCGGCTCTTGCTTCCCCAGCTGTTCCTTGCATCCTGATGGGGTATGTTTCTCTCTGCAACTAAGAGCTCACCCACATTCAGGAGTGGTTGAGCTCTTAGTATAAAGGCCTCCCCGTCAAGGGTACTTGAGTAGATGCAACCCCAGGAACTTAACACACAGGATTAACACACGTTTAAGGGAAATATAAGTTTGCACCCTAATTTCCACGGAATGCGCATCACCTTCTGACCACCTGACCAAGGCTCACTAATGGGCCATTTCAAATCCACATACCTATTGCTGGTTTGTGAGACACCGGATGTTTCCTTGCACGGATTTCACCAGGATGTGTCTTCTATCCGGCAGACCACCTGAGATTCTCACTGATAGACAAAGGGAGCAAATTCTATGAGATTCTACTTCCTGTACTTCCATGTCTGGTGGCACTGGAGGAAATGCGTTTTCTTTCCAGTTAAGGTGTATTCTTTGTTCACAGCCTCGACAGACAGTTTTGACTGCTGCTGGCAGCATCGGACAAGCCAGTGGGGATCTTCTGAGACAGATTGGAGAGAATGAGACTGATGAGCGATTCCAGGTAAGATATTTGCAGCCTTATAGTCATGGAAAGAAGTCTAAGTGATGGTCTTAGACCCCAGCAGGCAGAATGTAATATTTCAAAAACTAACTACATTTTCTTTGAGATTGTCAAGAATGCGATTGAGATGTATTATGTTGGGAGTGAGGTCTTTTTGTGTTACCAAAAAAAATTTTTTTTTAATAGGAAAACTCATTTCACTGACACCATGTTTCATCACTGTAAAGCACATATGTAGCTTTCCTGATTTTTTTTTTTTTTTTAAATTAGAGTTTCACTCTGTCACCCAGGCTGGAGGGCAGTGGCGTGATCTCGGCTCACTGCAACCTCTGTCTCCCGGATTCAAGTGATTCTCCTGCCTTAACCTCCTGAGTAGCTGGGGTTACAGGCGCATGCCACCATGCCCGGCTAATTTTTGTATTTTTAGTAGAGATGGGGTTTCACTGTGTTGATCAGGCTGGTTTCAAACTTCTGACCTCATGATCGGCCCGCCTCGGCCTCCCAAAGTGCTGGGATTACAGGCGTGAGCCACCACACCTGACCCTGATTATTATTTTTTTTTCCAATATGCTGGACATTCTTTAATCACAAGAAGGGAGGAAATATTAATAGTGTCATGAACTCCTGGTATCTGTCACCTAACCCCTGATTATCAGCGCCTGGCCAGTCTTATTTTACCTGTTTAGGAGAAGGGTTTAATGGCATCATTCTTGAGTCCTCATAAACATGAAAACCTATGTACTTCAACACACATACAGAGAGAGAGAATTTCCTTTGTACTCAGAGGTGGTTTGTTTTTTGTATCTTATCCAAAACCACAAGCGTGGCAGAGAAGTCTTTTTTGTGACCCTTCTTTTTCAATGCCAGGGCCATGTGCTGCTTGCCCTCTGGGGAGCGAGTGTCACCACTGTGTGCAGTATCACCTCACGGCAGCTCAGAAAGCATCAGGTATCTCTGCTCGTCTGCCTCCATCCCTGTCCCTCAAAGGGTGAGGCGCAGAGGCCTGCTGCTGGGGGAGTTCAGGCCAGCATGAGCTGCTTATGTGCTGGTGGGCCAGTGCCCTTTACTCCTCCTCCTAAGTCTCTAGTTTTGCAAGTCATACATAAATATATCCTAATGAAATTGTTACTGTTCTAGCCCAGGTTCTCTGAAAGATGCCCTTTTCCAAATCTTGTGTCAAGTTCACTGTTTAGGATTCTACAGAATTTCATCGGCCTTCACTTGTTAAAATGTTTTTGAATTATGTATATAGTGAAATATTTACTTAGAAGAAATCACAAAGAATTGCAAACTTATATAAACTCATACCACAAATATCACCAAGTCCAGAAAATAACACAATGTTTTTATTAACTACCTGACACCTCTCAATACCTTTCTTCCTGCATTTTTGACTTCATCTGTTTTGACCACCTCTTCATTTGACAATGATTTTATAATATGTTATAGACAGAACAAAAAGATCATTAGCTTTCCTCTGGCATTCAGGTTTCTTGCTTCATGGGTGGCATTTTTGCATGCCATTTTATCTAGAACTTCTAAATTTTATAAGCAAAAGATGTGTTAGTTAAACTAAGATGTGATCATGTATGTTGTGAGACATGAAATTTCAACCTTCATGCATAGATGTGTTTGTTTCTCCTTCACTCTCCACATGCCTGTGGCACTGGGCTATGGGATTCACTTATATCCCGCAGTGCAATAAGACATTCGATGTACATTTATGTCATGATGGAGGGTGAATTCGTATCATGGGCTGTAGGAATATTCCTAGAAGCCATTTCTACACTGAGATGGCCGGTCATAAGTTCCCTAGAATCAGAATGAACTGCACATCAATATATTCTGCTAAACCCAAGTTAATTGTGTCCCCATCCTGATTTCCCTTTCCATATCCCTAAACTTCTCTTGCGTTGGCCTTTACTTTTTATATTAGGGCAGGTAATTATTTGTAGGCAGGTACCTATTTAGGAACTTGGTAAATAGGAGATTCAGCTGTTGTTTTACTAGGCTTAATTATCTTGACATGGTCATTTACTTTCCCCAGAAGTATTAATATTATTGTTTTCTCCAAAGTGCCAAGGAAGGTTAAGGAGAAAGACAATTTTTCCTTAAAACATCGCATGCAACCTTGTATTTTTTAAAAGCTTTACCTGCCTCTCCCTGCTTTAGCAGATTATTTTCATTGTGTATGAATGTCAACCCTGCTTCCTAATGTTTGTTTCTATTCAGATGTGCAGAGGAAGCAGGTTCAGGTTCAGGGTGATAGTCCTACAGAGCTTTTGTTAGCAGGGACAGGCCTGACTTGAATGTTTTCAATTGTGTAAGCTCTCTAGGTAGAGACCAGGCCAGTAAGGTGATCCTGCAACCTCCTCCAGTTATGGGTAGCTGACATTGGATTTCTTACTCTATTTTTCTGATTCTTGTGATCATATCTCAGAGCTTTTCTTGGGTTCTTAATGTACTGCATGTTCCCATAGTTAACAAAGATTTATTTTACACTGGCTGTATAATAGTGGTCTTGTTGAAAATTTTGACAAAGGCCTTGTCAGCAGCTGTAGCTGTAGTATCACATTCTTTTTCTAACTGTATTTTTTTGGACAAAATTAATAAGAGGAACAGGATTTCTTTAAACAATTCTAACAAAGCCCTTTAGAACAATCATGATTCTATGTGACCAAATCCTGGCCCCCATCTGAAAAGATGAATTCATGTCAAGTGAGGGAATACCATGACCTACTTTGGAAAGTTATTTTTAAAAATCTTTTTAATAATTTGTGACATTCAAGCTGTGTTTTCACTGAGCATTGAGATAAATGTCCAGGAACTGTAATTTTGCCATAGTGGGAGCAATTCCTAAAAGTTGTATGGTAGACAAGTGCCAGTCAAATCCCAAAGGAATCTTCAGCTTTCAGCACCATGGGCTTTAATTATACCTGGGGTAGCCAGGAAACATCACAGACCTAAGAAAGACTGGAATAACCTGCTCCTTGAAGACCAGTTAGGTTTTGTCCATTTTAAAATCAGCTTGCTTGATAGATTCATGGGTTTCTGTTTTAGCTGGATTGTATCTAGTCTTTGTTCTGTGTAAAACTGTGCAGGCTGAATATTATTTCCATTGTATCTTCTCATAAAATATCTCACTGTAAAGACACTGTGGGTGCCCTTTACATTTAGAATCACATGTGGTCTTTATCATCTGATGAATTAATGAAGACTTCTGACCGTATTTCCTTGAGGGGAAAAGCCTTGACATGTTTGTACAAAATAAAAATGGCTTGTATGTTTGGGAAGGCATTTCCAAGTCAAATAAACTACTTTCAGTATTAAAAGCAAAGAAGTAAATTAACTGTAACCGTGGTTATTCTTCAGGTCAAACAGATGGGTGACAAATCTGGTAGGCTCAAAGGATTCTTCTTTCTGCAGGCAGAATGCGTAGTCATTGAGTTGAAGCATAAACTGCTGTTTCAAGGCTCAGCGCTCCTTGCATCTTCAGTCAGACCGTCTTATAGCTAGTGTATTTATATAGGCTCTCTTTCTGCTTTCTGTCATAATTTAATTCCTACCCAGAAGGCTGCAGAACACTGAGAATAACTCATGTTCAGAGCATTTCTTGGCTCTTGAGCTGTAGGTATTGGTGCCAGCTATGTGTCTGTGTGCATCAAATGTTGCCCTCTGGAGGTAGAGCTATGGCTGAATTTCTGATGACGACTCAGATCTTTGGGCAAAGTAGAAATCCAGAGGATACATTTTCAAGTTGCAGTGGGACATGATGACTTGGAGGCCATGAATTATAACTATGGCACATGATGTTGTGGCATCTGGCTATGTTTTCAGCTTCTCCTGATCCACCATATCGGCCACTCATCCAAGAGACGTGGTCAAGACTTTGTGTTAGATAAGTGCATGAATGTGAATCAGTGGTTAAAATAATAACCCTTCCCTCAAATTCACTATTTTAGATTTAAACCTGTGCTACTTAATGGATGTAAGAGACTGAGTTATTAGGATACAAGTCTCCTTTTTTAATTACCTCTAAGGATAAGTTGACATTTTGAAAAACAAGTAAAAAAACTTCTGAAGTGCTGAAGGAAAAAGATCAAATGGAATTTTAATAACATGTTTATTTTCAGGCTGTGAAAGGTGATTAGAGAGAAATAAATGAACAGTCTTTGATTCCCTTTTCTCAGGATGTTTTAATGAGTTTGGCCAAAGCTGTTGCCAATGCAGCTGCCATGTTGGTACTAAAGGCAAAGAATGTTGCCCAAGTGGCCGAAGATACTGTCCTACAGAACAGGGTAATTGCCGCTGCCACCCAGTGTGCCCTCTCCACCTCCCAGCTTGTGGCATGTGCCAAGGTAAGCCAGCTGGCGCCCCAGCCCTTTCTATGCAGTATCACCTGCTGTTATCTGCCTCCAGGCATTTGGTGGGTAGCAGGGGTGGAATTTTTTCAAATAGTCTAAGCTTTAGAACTTCTTTCAAGTGTCTTAAGTGATGATGGGATTTTAGCATAAGTGGTCTGATTCTGCTTTTATCATTTGTTCTTTGCCCAAGTCCTCAGGCCGTTGGTACTTTTCACTAGTTCATTTCTATATGCAAATTGCTGTGTCTCCCCTTTGGACTTCTCAGTGCATCTTACACCTGCACAAAAATAGTTCTTGCCTTGTGTGGTACAGCGTTATTAATGGGTTCAGAAATAAGCCACAGAGTTTATGGGAACCCTTTCTAGGCTGCATAGTGTCCGAGTGGGGATGTTAATTGTCGCCAGGGTATACACACTCTGTGTGTCATACATCCCCTCATTACATCTCCCCGGTAATGCTGCAAGCAGGATTAAGCACCATTATCTCTAGTTCACTGATGAGGAATCTGAGGCCCTTAGATATTAGTAGGTTAAGGCCACAGAAGTAGTAAGTGGCAGAACTAGAGTAACAACTCAGGTCTGTCTGCCTCCAAATACCTTTCCCCTCCACTCCGTGTGTCCTCTCGGTGATGATGCATCAGAAGATGGGAAATGTCCATTTCTGGACTTGATGGCCTGTCATGTTGTGTAGATCTGTGATGTGGCTCAGCTTGACATCGAGAGCCTATGGTAAGATTTGCAGCATTGTCTCCCTCAAGCTTTCCTTGTCCACACTGCTAGAATTTACAAGGAACTGACAGAACCTCCCTGTTCATTAAAGGACTATGAGGCAGAGTTTCAGGTGTTTCTGGGAATAGAAATAGAATTCTTTTAGGTAGTCTTTGTATCCCAACTCAAAAGACTCAATTCAAAGGATCCTAAAAGGAAGGAGGTATAATTGGGAAATCTCAGGAATTTCTCTCTATGGAAGTAGGGCAGTAGTATGGACTGTCACGTGTGACTAATGACATCATAAATCAGCGGGACATGTCAAATCACAAGGATGAAGTAGAATAGCAGAGTGTGTGAGACTGAAGCAATGGTTTCATTGAATGAAATGATCCTGTAAGTAAGAAACCGAGCAATGGTCCTGTGAGTCAGAAATCGAGGCCCAGAGCAGGAAGGGCCTTGATAGGACTGTGGGGGCACATGGAGAGGGACCAGGATTCAACCGCAGTGCCCACAACCTGTTCCTGTCTCGCTTCAGGTTGTGAGCCCCACTATCAGCTCCCCTGTGTGCCAGGAGCAGCTGATTGAAGCAGGGAAGCTGGTGGACCGCTCAGTGGAGAACTGCGTCCGTGCCTGCCAAGCGGCCACCACCGACAGTGAGCTCCTGAAGCAGGTCAGCGCAGCGGCCAGCGTGGTCAGCCAGGCCCTCCATGATCTCCTGCAGCATGTGCGGCAGTTTGCCAGCCGAGGCGAGCCAATCGGCCGCTACGACCAGGCCACCGACACCATCATGTGTGTCACTGAGAGCATCTTCAGCTCCATGGGTGATGCCGGTAAGGCACTGTGCTGTGGGTGGGTGGATGGGTGGGTTTTGGTGTTCCTGATGGTGGTGCTCACCCACAGGGAAGGTGAAGGCTACCTGGGTAACTGGCAAGGGCAAGTTCTCATCGGTCTCAAAGACTTCCCCACTGAAGCTCGGAAAAAGACACAAGACTTCCACAGCCATGCTTACAGACTTAAACAGAGTTCACCGGGTTTTTGTTGTGATGGTTAGATTTTGTTATTTTGTTAGATTTGCGGCGGATCCTTTGTTCAGTGAATGCACATGTTGGGTATGGTATGGCAAAGTTGGAGCAGCCACAGAAGGAAACAAGATCAAGGCTGGGAATTCAGAAGTTTGTTGTACTTGTGTGTCCCCTGGAGGGGTCAGCGCCTGCCACACAGGGTCATGGGAGAGCACCAGGGTGGTCAGGAGGGAGAAGACAGGAGCAAGGGGAGGGCCTAGACCATGGCCTTTATTGGAACTTCTTGGAAAGTGCAGGGCAGGGTAAACAATTTAGGATTGGCTAGTTTAAATAATTTTGGCAGGCTCTAAATTATGGAGGTGGTGGCTAGTTACCTGGGACCTGGCCCCCAGGATGATCCAGGCAGGGGAACAGTGTCTCCTGAGTGTCTGGGCCAGTTAGAGGAGGAATAGCTCTGGATTGGTTAGTTTGCATATCAAAGACATGTTCCCTGCTGAGCCTCTGCAGTCTCTAAATTGTCTAGCCCTTAGAGGACAGTTTGTCTCCAGCAGAAAGGTGTTTTCAGATTCCAAAGCATCATACATAATGTGCAGTCAGTTTAAAAACAATATACAATACACCTTTTTATAATCTATTGAAAAGGAACTCTCCCCAAACCCAGCTCACCACTGTGCCATCAAAATCCCAGAAATTCATAACCTTTTCACTTTATATATCTTAAAGACTTTTTCTTTTCTTTTTTTTTTCTTTTCTTTTTTTTGAGGTGGAATCTCACTCTGTTGCCCAGGCTGGAGTATAGTGGCACAATCTTGGCTCAGTGCAACCTCCACCTCCCAGGTTCGAGAGATACTCCTGCCTCAGCCTCCCAAGTAGCTGGGATTACAGGCATCTGCCACCATGCCCGGCTAATCTTTGTATTTTTAGTAGAGATGGGGCTTCACCATGTTGGCCAGGCTGGTCTTGAACTCCTGACCTCGGGCGATCTGCCCGCCTCAGCCTCCCGAAGTGCTGGGATTACAGGGGTGAGCCACCGTGCCCAGCCTGGACTTTTTTCATGTCCACCTGTGTGTTAATCTTTTTAGTGGCAGCATAGTATTCTATTTTTGTAGGCATCATAATTTAACCAGTGATCTTTTAATGGACATTTAGTTTTTTTGTTTGTTAGTTTGTTTTGCTTTTACAAAAATACTACAATAAGCATTCTTGTAAAAATGGTTTACTTTTCGAATGTAGGGTAAATTCCTATTAGTGGAGGTGCTGGGCCGGTAGGTAAATTTTTATTTTAAATGTGTCTAAGAAATTTTTCTCCAGAAAGGACCCACAATTTGCAACCCAACTAGTAATCTGTAAGAGATCTATTTTTGAGCTTCCTTGACAGCATAGAACAATACCTTATAGCGAGTTTTGTTTTTTTTTAAAAGAAAATTGTCTTGTGTTCTTCTATATCCGTAAATAATTTAACAAGATAGGAATGCCTCACACATTTGAATTTGTTGTTGTTGTTTGTTTGTTTTTGATAATCCTTTTATTTTGAAATACTTTTAAATTTTCAAAAAAGTTGCAGAGGAAATACGGAGAGTTCCCATATACCTTTCCCAGTTTCTCCATTTTTGACAGCTTCCCTAAAAGATAGCACATTTGTCAAAACCAGGAAATTAGCATTGGTACTTTACTAACTAAACTACAGACATTATTCAGATTTCATCAGTTTTTCTACTGATGTCCTTTAACCGTCTCGGGATCCAGTCCAGGATACCACACTGAATTAAGCACATTTTTACTTGAGTAAAAACTTTCTTCTTTCCCCTTTTTGTTACAGTGCTTCAGCATTCTTTTCAGATGGCTTTTGCTAGAGGAAGAAATCCCTTACATTTGAATCGTGCTAGTTTTTAATGTTGGTTGTTATACTCCTCCTACTTCCAAAAGGAAATTAAAATAGATTTCAGTAAAATCACAGGGACAATAAGACCAAAGAATAATGCAAGATCAAAATCAGTGCTGGGAAAAAAAGGATGAGCAAAGAGAAAATTGGCAGGGAAAACTCCAGGCCAAGGCAAGTCATAGCATTTGAGCATGAAGCTGGGGTCTGTGCTTCTATTAGCAAAGGCCAAGTGGCACACATTGAGTGGATTGTGTAATATCCCTCATCTGGTGCTAGGTAGCCTACACATTAATACAGAATTTAAAAATAATTTTGTTCTGTGCCAGTTCTTCAAAAAGTTTATTATAGAGGCTTTTGTGTAAGTGGTTTTCAAAGTGAAGAAAACAGTGTTTTCTAAATAAGTGTTTACTAATGCTAAATCCACGTAATTTTGTGCCCTGCCCTCTCTTTATAAAGTGCTCCTCTTTGGCTCCTTCTGTTCTCTTCATGCCTCAGTGAAAGGCTGAACTCAGATGTGTTTGGGGAGTATCATCCTGGCAGCTGCAGGGAATATTTTCATTTTGGGTTCTAATTTGGATGCATTGCTTAGGAGTAGGGCATGGAGGTTCCGTTTTTTTGCTCCCACTTATCAGAAGAGTAGAGACAAGACTCTACTGCCTCCTGAGGTTTTACTGACCTTTGAAAAGCAGACAAACCGACCACATTTTCTATTCCGTCCTCTAGGTGAAATGGTGCGCCAGGCGCGGGTCCTGGCCCAAGCCACATCAGACCTCGTCAATGCCATGAGGTCAGATGCAGAAGCCGAAATCGACATGGAGAATTCGAAGAAGCTCCTGGCAGCAGCAAAACTCTTAGCCGACTCCACTGCTCGCATGGTGGAAGCTGCAAAGGTACTGGATTTGTTTGTATGAAAAGTGAACACTATTAAGTGTTAGGATTTGGAAGGTACCTTCCAGATGGGGGATGTTCAGCCAAGTGTGCATTTTTGTTTGCTTAAAACATATGTGGCTTGTAACATCTAACCCTGTTCTTGTGGCAAAGGAGGTGATGGAACATCTGAATGAAATGCTTCAGGGGAGTGGTACTGACTCAGCCGTAGCAGCAAAGTGCCCTCTTTAGGGAGGCCTCTTTTTCCATTTGGTCATCACTGTGTTGGCTTCATTGAACGTGGTGACTAATTTAAACCTGAGATTTTTCAACAGCAAATTCACCTAAACCTGTTCTCTTCCTCAACGCCTTAATGTTACTTTGCCCTCCATTTGACTTCTCAACTAAACTTCTAGCAAGATTTTGCACAGTAGACTATTTCCTACGTTACCGTTCTTTAAATCCCCATCACAGTTTTAAATATTATAAAAGGATGAGGAGTTAAGTGTTAGCTTTGTGCTTTTTCACAGCTATGCTATGGCATAATGCTTACAAAACCTAGTGATTGGGAACCTGGGGTCTGATACATAGCCCCCTATGAAACATATTAAAATTCACATGCCTCAGTTTCATCCCCAAAGATCCTGATTCACAAGGTCACTGGTAGGACTCTGTGTGTGTGTGTGTGTGTGCGTGTTTAAGTTTTGCAGGGTATTCCGATGTGCATCTCTAGGTGAGAACTGTTTTAAATGAATAAGGCTACATTTTTCTGGGTTTTTTATTGTGTACCTAGCACACATTTCTTGTAGAATTAATAGAACATGCAGATAAATGTGAAAAAAGAAAATGAAATTCACCTTCAAATTCCTGCCCTTAAAATAATATTTTAAATGTATTTCTATGCATATAAGATTCATTAAGGCCAGGCACGGTGGCTCGTGCCTATAATCCCAGAACTTTTGGGAGGTCAAGACGGGAGGATCACCAGAGGTCAGGAGCTGGAGACCAACCTGGCCAACATGGTGAAACCCCGTCTCTAATAAAAATACAAAAAATTAACAGGGGGTGGTGGTGTGCACCTATTATAATCCCAGCGACTCGGGATGCTGAGGCAGGAGAAAATTGTTTGAACCCAGGAGGTGGAGGTTGCAGTGAGCCAAGATTGCATCACTGCACTCCAGCCCGGGCAACAAGAGCAAACCTGCATCTCAAAAAAAAAAAAAATAGATTCATTAAGTGTTTCCACATCTTATCTCATCTCCCTGGCTTCCGGGAATTGGTATCTCAACCTAATATGTGCATTACTTCACTTAAAATATATTGTGGGCTGGGCATGGTGGCACACACCTGTAATCCCAGCACTTTGGGAGGCCAAAGTGGGTGGATTACCTGAGGTCGGGAGTTTAAGACCAGTCTGACCAACATGGCGAAACCCTGTCTCTACTAAAAATACAAAAATTAGCCAGGCTTGGTGGCACATACCTGTAATCCCAGTTACTAGGGAGGCTGAGGCAGGAGAATTGCTTGAACCTGGGAGCCAGAGGTTGCAGTGAGCCGAGATAGTGCCATTGCATTCCAGCCCAGATGACACTGCAAGACTCCGTCTCAAAAAAAAAAAGTATTATGACACATAGCCATGTAGAGGACCTCTCCTGACTGAACTGGCATTCATGTTACCTGAGGACTGAGAGTTCTTAGAGACACCACGTGGGTAGCGGTGAAGGAGAGACCCAGGGAGGGGCAGCATCTGAGCTTCCTTCCCTTGTCTCCTAATCCCCGTTTCAGCCAATAAGCTCTGCTTTTAACCCCCTTCTTTAAGCTATACATATATCATATATGTATATATGATATATATATATATATGCTGTGTGTGTGTGTGTATGTATGTATTGGGTTTTATGTAGTAGTTGAATTTTTTTTAAAAGATTTCACTAGTTTACCTCACCTCTCTCAGTTTACACATAGCTATTTGAGGCAATCTTACGTTCACAAAAAATTACTTGCTAGGTTGGAAAGAACTGTAGGGTAGATCTAGTCCATTCCTTATTTTACAAATGAAAAAAATTAAAACTCAAAAAGATGAATGCTAATGCCACATAAGCAGTATTGAGCCAGGCCAGTGTGCACATTTCGTTTTTTTTTTTTGAGATGGAGTCTCGCTCTGTCACCCATGCTGGAATGCAGTGGCACAGTCTTGGCTCACTGCAAGCTCCGCCTCCTGAGTTCACACCATTCTCCTCCCTCAGCCTCCCCAGTAGCTGGGACAGGCACCTGCCACCACGCCCGGCTAATTTTTTGTGTTTTTAGTAGAGACGGGGTTTCACTGTATTAGCCAGGATGGTCTCAATCTCCTGACCTCTTGATCCACCCGCCTCAGCCTCCCAAAGTGCTGGGATTACAGGCATGAGCGCATGCCCGGCCATGTTTTGTTTCTTGATGTGACTGTTTACCAGGCCAATTCACTGCATTTACCAAGTTACCAAAAACTCATTTCTTCTAAGTATTCATGTGATTTTGGTTATTTATATTAAATGGGACAATGTTAAGTGTTTCTGTAAATTCTTTCAGCTTTTAGTTAAAAGTTTTCATTTTGTCTTTGTAGCAATATTTTAATTTGCTGAATTTTGTTGAAAGCTAAAGAACACGCAAAGGTTAGACTTCCAAGGATTATATTTAATGTGCAGAAAAAATATATTTCATGATTAGAAACTAAGATTTCAGGCCAAGAATAGTACCCCATATCTGATACATATTCATCATAAAAAGAGACATTGCTGAGCAAGGACCCAAAGCATCCATATCAGTGTGAAGTGCAGAAATGCTGGTTTCCAGCTGCTCAAAATACATAAAATTAAGACTGATGTGCACGTGAGACATATATAAAGGAGCGGCTTAGAAAATACCTGAAGACCAGAAAAAAAACAAAATAACTTCCATAAACCTGCAAAAGAAACCAAAAGTAGCCCAAACAATCCTTTTGCATGTGAAATACAGAAATAAAAATTTTTCAGTGCTAGAAACACAAAATCAAGATTATGAGAATGGTTAAGGTTTGAAAGAATAGGAGATTCTATTCAAGAGGGTTGCCAAAATAATTCTGCCACAGCTGTTAAAACTAGTCCATCCTGTATGCATTGCTATAACTTTTATAAATAGCTCAAAGAAATTGGTTCTTATAAATTGGTAAGTTTAGCAAATTGGCCATTTGGAAATCTAGACTTTTAGGAAATTGATTTTCGATAAATCAGTGTGCTGTTCTCTACTGTTCTCCCTGCCTCGAGAGCAAATATTATTGCCTGAAAGCGTTCATAGGAAGAAACTCATTGATCTATAGACATCAAGCACATGTTACAAAGCATTCAGGCCCTGGTGAGGGAAATCTTGATGGCTGCTGTTATTGTTGGTGAGAGAGGAAGGCTGGATGTGCGGTGAGCATTTGTTGAATTATTGTAGAGTTAAAATGATATCCTTTCTCTACATTACCATTAGCCTTCCCCTGCTTCAGAATCCCACCCATCTAAATAAAATCCACTTAGGTTTCTAAGACATGTTCACCTAAAAGCAACAAAGTAAAAGGGCTGTGGGGCTGGACAAAGAATGCATGACTGGCTGTGCACATTGCCTTCCTCTTTTTCTGTTGGGTTGAGGGCATTACCTTTCTCTCATTAATTCAGTACTTTTGGGTACCATCTCGACTTTACACTAGACTTGCCAACTCTGTCTCTCTAGGAATGTGATTTCTGGGCATGGTCTATGTTTCACAAAATTTCCTTGGAATCTTTTTAATGGCATTCCTGAGCCCTCCCTCCATCCTTCCCCGTCTTCCCTCTGTCCCTGCCTGAGTTGATATTGGACTGTTACCCCTTCACATTTACCTGTGCCACAGGGTATTTCAGGAGTGACATGAAGACACGTGTCATTACTATGTCATGCCAATGAAAAGAAGATGCTCCCTGGGAGAGATAGGAAGAGGGGAGATTTAATCTTCCCATCTTTTAAACCATGGGTTTCTGACCCCAGGTTAATCTGTATGGACAACCAAGGCAGTGTTCTCAAGTGTTTAATTGTTACTTTGGATTTCTAACTGCTTAGCCACGCAGTTTTGAAACATCCCCTGGTAAGTATTTTTTGTTGCATGAGGAAACATCTTCATCATAAAGATATTGCTTGCAGCATTCGACTATCCTTCCAAATGCTTTCTGTTACAAAGAAAAAACAATACTGAAGGCATGAATTCAGTGATGTCTCCCGCCGGACCACTTGAAATCTTTATTTTCACCTTTGCAGGGGGCTGCAGCCAACCCGGAGAATGAGGACCAGCAGCAAAGGCTGAGAGAAGCTGCAGAAGGCCTCCGGGTAGCAACCAACGCAGCTGCCCAGAATGCTATTAAGAAAAAAATTGTCAACCGACTGGAGGTCAGGAAAGAGGCTGGCTTCCTGGGATGCCCATCTTAAATGGCAAAGAGTTATTTGAAAAGATAGTTGAATTAACAAGGTGTTGCCCATATAAAGAAAGCCAAGTCAAGGTTGTTTGACTTCAAACATCATTGTTTGAAGGTTTGAGTACTATAAAAGCATTGACTCCATTGGAAAAAGCTGCTTCTGTAAGCTCGAATCCTTTCTAACGTTCAAGAATAGAATTTAGATTCTTTACAGGAGGAACCGGCTTATTTTTTTTCTAGCATTAAAGGATATACACATTCAAGAAGGATCTTTTGCTGAAAATATTTATATTCTGTTGGAGTCAGTGACTTTGTCAGGACTTCCCATAGGAAATATGAACTTCGGAGATTAGGCTTGGGTGGAGAGGTATAGAAGGGAGTGAAATATATTTGTTATTTTTTGAAGTAATTATTCTGAAAAAGAAAGTTAAAATAGTAATAGGCACAAACTATGTTTAAAAAAAAAAAAGGTTTATCCTACAAATGCACACAGGAGAACCTTACACTGAAATTTGAGAGTTTGGAAGCTGAGACCTTTGCCTGTGTGCTGGGAAGTCCCTCCATATGCAGTCTGCTGTATTCTGGAAGAAAAGTAACATTGTTGTTCTTGGAAAAAGACGAGGATAAATCCAATTAAGTGCCCTGGTGGGAAAGTCTCAGCATTTTGGAACTAAGGCTTTTGAGTACTGAGAGAGCACCAGCATTTGTGCTTGACACAGAACCATCTATGCTGCTTGTGGAAGATTTTTTTTCCAAAAACATTTAGACTTGGTGCAGCTTGTCAGTGTCATTATGATCTTGGGATCATCCCTTTTGTTTTTGCGAAAGACAAATGAACTTCAAAGCTTGAGCTTTCAAGCATACCTGTGTTTGTCACTTGTCTCAGAGGATGTCAACACAAGGAAGATAGTGTGTTGTGAGATTAGGGTCATCACTGGTTTTAAAAGACAAAGCCTGCTCTTTGGAGTTCCTTTAGAGCAACAAACCTATCCTGACTCTGTGGTGGAAGTGACCTGTAGAACATGCATGTGTGTTGCATATGCAGACCCTGACTCATCTATCACTCATCTGCAGGTTGCAGCCAAGCAGGCCGCAGCAGCAGCCACACAGACCATTGCCGCCTCCCAGAATGCAGCTGTTTCCAACAAGAACCCTGCGGCCCAGCAGCAGCTGGTTCAGAGTTGCAAGGTGAGGTTCCAGTGCACAGAGAGCCAGATCAGCTGCAGATGACCCTGATAACGTTAGAACGCCAAGTCCCCTGATAATTCAGTAAAGACAGATTATCCAAGCTTCTAATCCAATTTGTCCCAGTTCCCATGTTCCAGGTGTATACACGTCTGGTTTTTGTCCATTAAGTGGATGGCCTGTGTTTGGAAGGAAAGTATGATTTTCTCCCAGCATTGTCTTACTTTTGTCCACAGTTTTCTTTTCAAGAGACTGAACCAAAGAGGATCAATGACGAGGCCATTTTAGGGCTCTGAAATAGGAAGGAAGTGTTGAGTTTCCAGAGTGGCCTTTCTTTGAGAGGCAGGACTTTGAATTCAGCCTTGCTCCCTGGAGCAGGGTTGATTTCCTGCTTTCTAGTAATTGCACCTCAAGGATTTATTTCATCCCGTCTAGCCTCTGTGACTTTGTGCTTTGGTGCTTTTTGCTGTTGCCCTTATGTCTCTATTCTTCCGACACCTGGGCCTTGATGCTAAGTTGAGCCCAGTTTACTACAAAAGGGACAGTAAACACTCTTGTTGGTTTCTCTAAGAGCCCAGGGAGTTGACTTCCCCAGGGCTCCTCTGAATTGTGGCAGACACAAAATCCAGTTGCAGAGCCACTGCCCACATGTGGGTGGCACGTCTGGCTGGTATGTCTTAGAAGTATTTGCAGCTGGCCGTGGTAGCTGGCTGGGAGGCATACCTGTCTGTGCTGGGGTTATGAGAGCCAACTGCACCCTCTCTCCTTCTTCAAATCTCTGCCAAATGATTCACATTTGTGAGGGGTGCCACTGCTGCCACTTCAGAAATGGCTTTACTTCTGATAGAGCCCTCTATTCCTGAATCTGGGTTCTCTGAGGCCAGCCCTGCTGCTGTTGTGGACTGAATGCACTCCAGGAAGAAAAGCCTCAGTGACATAGTAGGGTCCTGGGCTGGTGTCCTTCGGTCCTGTGTGGATAGCGAAGGGGTCTTGCTGAGAGTGAGGGCATCTTCTGTGGGGGAGTTTGCTTCCTTTGGGTCCTCAGTTCAGCGGCTAGCAGGGGTGAAAACTTCCTTCTGTGGGAGCATGTGCAGCTCACATGCAGGGACATGCCACGAGATGAGTGAGACCTCTCGCCCCTCTTCTGCAGAGAGACTGAAGATAGGTGTCGAGTGTCACTACCAGGAAATGAAAGGATTGAGATGAAGAGGGGAGAGTGGAGCAAATGACTAGAACTAGCAGAACTAGCAGTCCTAAAGGGGGCCTAAAATCCTTGGAAACATTTTTTTAACCTGTGCTGGAGCAGTCCTAGAAAAATATGTTCCCAGGCCAGTATGCCCTGGGCACCTTTATCTGCAGTGATAGCCACAGTGCTGTGGCCTCTGAGAGCCTCGTTAAGCAGAGAAGGACGTGTGGGCACAGAAAGGAAGTGTGGACAGAACACAGAGAAAGTAAAAGGCTCGTCTCCCAAGATACCGTAGGAGCCCGTTACTGTACAGCAGCCCTGCCTCACAGAATGCTGCGTCTCTCTCCTTTCCCCTGGCTTTGGGCTTTCCAGGTTGAGAATGAGAAGTCCTTCTTAGAGAAAGAGGGGCCATGGCAACACAAAGGCTGATGCACAGAATGCGTGCTTGCAAAGGAAGAAGCCAAAGCACTTACATGCACGGGTATCCAAGTATTTCCCTCACCTTCTGAACATGGGGCCATATGACTTCAGTTTACCACCGGTGAATCGTGTAGATCCTTTGATTCTAGGTTTGTAATGGCAGTGAGCCAGATGGTGTGAGTTGCAGCTAAGGAAATTCTTTTAGGCCTCATCATAGACAATCATCTTCAAAGGAATGTATTGAGACCTCCAGTACCACAGGGTAGAGTGTGTGTAGAGAAAATGCCCAAAAAATGGGATTTAGTGTTGATAAGGACCCAGCTGGCTTAATGTGCAGTGTCATTCCAAGGCCTGGGGCTGGTGTGCCCTGGGAGTGGATGGCACATCCAAAAAGCGCTCTTGAGTCATGTTTTAGCTTCTTTGGATGATCCCACCATTCTAGCCATGCTGTTTTCATTTCCTTGCCTTCTGCAGGCAGTGGCTGATCACATCCCTCAACTGGTCCAGGGAGTGAGGGGGAGCCAAGCTCAAACCGAAGACCTGAGTGCCCAGCTGGCTCTCATCATCTCCAGCCAGAACTTCCTCCAGGTAACAGGGCCGTGGTCACCTTGGGCTCACTCAGAGCTCTCATCTGGGCAGGGGCTGCCCTTTAAGGAGAGGAGTTAATGAATTCCACAGCCTCAGCTAAGTCTTTGCAGTAGGCAGGGCTTGAAGGCCTCTTCTTTACCTTTTCAGTTTCAGGAGAGGTGGGTTCAGCTTGGCAAAGCGAAATGCTGAATTTCCCTGGGGAGATGGCGTATGATCCATTTTCCTCAGGATTATCATATGTATTTCTCTTCAAAGAGAAGAAAGCATGTAAAAAGTTGCAGGTTGTGATGAACAGCCTACGAATAGGTATTGCTGTAGGTTTTTGTTTGCAGAGATCCTAATGTCATTATTCATGGACCGGGGAAAGAAGTGTGAAGTGCATCTTCTCCAGAGATGTGATCGTTCTCTGTGGCAATTGTACAGTTAGTATTGTCAGTCTCTTTGGGGTGAAGAAGGGTAGATTCATTTTAAGGAAAACAAAATAAACAAAAATACTAAGTTGCGGAAAAATTCCCCTTTATGTGCTTCTTATATTCAAATGTCTCTACTTTATCAGCACTTTTTCTCAACTTAAAAGCAGTTGATATGATGAGGTGGGTCAGTTCTGCATCCCTTTCTAGTTGAACTGATAGTTGTAGGACCCCGCGATACATCTGTTTGGTTCATTTTTCAAGTTGTATAACTCTAACATGCAGAAATAAAACGTGAAAGGTTTGATGTATCTCCTCATACTTTACATACATATGCAACACAGGTATGTATGTGTGTGTGTGTATGTGTGTATATATTCTTTTAAATTGGTATTCATTGTATATAGGCCCTTTGTGTTTTTCGTCTAACATATGAGTGTTTATGATTTTGAATAATCTGTTATATGACTGTACTCAACTTTTCTCTCATCATTGGACGTACAGGTTTTCAGTTTTTTGCCATCGTGAATAAGGTGATACAAATCTTTATGTGCTCAAGTCTTTGTTCTCTTCTTGAACTCCTGGAGAGAGGATTGCAAATAGCTTATTTTTATCTTTGGGACATTGCAAATTATGACGTGGACAAGGCATTTCTCTCTTCATTTGAGAGGGGAGAGAGCCTGGAGCCAGTTGTGGGTACTGTCTCCACCCTGGCAAGAGTGTAGGGCATTAAGACAGAGCCGTGTAGACGTGTTCCTGGTTCTACTCTGTCCTTACCCTTGTTTTCCCTTTTTCTTTTGTTCTTTTAACTTTGCTATTATAGATAGGTCTTTACAAGAAAAAGGGAAGGTTGAAAATAAGTAGAAATTGAATTGACAGATCAAAACGTTTGTACATTTTAAACTTCATGTTATAAAACTCCTGTTCCAGGAGGCTGAACAAATCTAAATTTACAACTTAGCAGTAATATGGAGCGTGCTTTTAAATACATCTTTTATGAAATTGGGGATTAAGGTTTTAAGAAAACATGTATGTTTTTGCCAGTTTGCTCTGTAAAACTATTTTTGTTTGGTTTTGCATTTCTCTGATATTCAAAATGTTAAACACTTTTCATAAGTTTGTTATTTTTTATTATGCAAAATTATCTTTTTATGCTTTTTGTATACTCGTGGTAGCTTTTATAAGCATTAATTATTTAAATATTAAAAATATTAACTTTTGTCCTTAATATTTATGCTCTGGCACTTGTTGCAACTTTTCTAAGTATAGTTTTATAGCATATATATTAAAAGTCTTAAAAGTATGTATACTCTTTGATCCAGAAATTCTACTTTTAAAAATTTATACAAAAAATATTATAAATGTGTACAGATTTAGCCACAAAGCTGTTTATCATACCATTGTTTATTAAATTGGAAAGAATGGAAACACGCCCAACAACAGAGAATTGAGAAATGGCAATAGATGCATATATTGGAATATTGTATAGCTATTTAAAAGGTAGGATATGTGAGACAAGGAGATTGTGAAATAGAGTAAACAGTATGATCTTATTTTTGAAAATATATGTATATGCACATAGGTATCCATTCACTGGTGAAATTATTTTGCTTTGGGAGATGTGAGGTCATGTTAGCTGTTTTATTTATGTCTTCATTTTCCTAAGCAGTCTTTTGGGAGTATGTGTGACTCAGAATGAAGAGCTATTCTGAGAAATACAGTGAAACCTATTTGATAAGGAACTCTCTTTGAAATCTGTTTTAAATGAGAATTTCAAGCCACTATTCTAATTTTGCCTTTTCTACCCTCCATGACACCTCCTTTTTTCTTTTTTTAAACATTCCTAGAATGTACTGCCCTAGAGTATCTGGCTTGAGGTGGCAGTTTGGGAGTAGGGGATGAGTTGTTTAATATTCCTCTTTTTTTAGGACAAAATCAGTTCTGACTGCTGTGGAGACATCGCTGCTTGGGTCTCTCCTCTCTACCTCTTGCTGCCCAGGAGCCGTCTTACTTTCTTTTCATCTCTCTATAGCCTGGAAGCAAGATGGTGTCCTCTGCCAAAGCCGCAGTGCCCACCGTGAGTGACCAGGCCGCAGCCATGCAGCTGAGCCAGTGTGCCAAGAACCTGGCCACCAGCTTGGCGGAGCTGCGTACCGCCTCGCAGAAGGCAAGTGGAGCATGTCACAGGGGTTAGCTTGTCAGGAAGGGAGCTGGGGTGGCATGGGTACCACCCAGGGCCTGAACACTGCTGAACCTATTTCTTGGCAGAGTTGTCCGTGCCACTTGCATGACTGTTAAACATGCCCCTGTGGGTTGGCTTTTATTGCATTAAGCCACTATCTCCCAGACTTACTATTCACTTTTTGGTTTCAGATGCCTTTCGTTGAACTATCTTGAGTTGCATACTTCCTCCTCCTCCTCCCATATCCTGGGACAGGCAGTGGTCCATTTTTCACAGTCTTAGGGGAGAATGGTAGCCATCAGTGTCTCAGTGCCAGCTAAATTGTGGTCCAGAATAAGTGATCATATATTCCAGGTGTCATCTTGTGAACTTAATAACAAATTATATAGGCAGAAAATCTATTTTGAAGGGTCATCTTTGTTATCTTTTTTGCTGTGGAATGTTTTCACATCTTACATGGAAGCATTCACCTTAACAAGGTCCTAAGGAGAACAGAGTTGAGGACTGAAAGAATTTCTGTCTCTGGAGCATATTAATTACCAAAGGGCCTCATTTACTACTCATGTTTGATGTGGTATTAGCATCAAGTTCTAGCATGAATTCACTTTTCTTCATTGTAGCAATCCCTTTATAGAAACAAGCAGCCTCATAAATTGGTGAGAGAAGAAGGTAGAAGCTGACTTGAATTCTTAATACGAGGAGTACGCTACACTGCCAAATAAAAATATCCAGAGCTTTAGACTATATCCAATAAAAAAGTTATTTTGACCTATGTTTCTCAAAGAGAGCTCCTGGTACTGTCTACACTGGAATCATCTGGGGATGCTTATTAGACTGCACATCCCTGGGCCTCACCTCTGAGAAACCAGATTAGAATTTCTGGTCATAGAGCCTGAACATCTGCATTTTCACAAGCTTCTTTGCTGAGTCTGAGACACACACCAACATTGAACCACACTGCTCCAGAGCAGTGATCCCTAAAGTGGGACTCAAGCAAGACTGTCCATTGGGTACAGGAAGACACTGTGAAAACTTGTACATATATATATGTGTGTGTATGTGCGCGTGTGTGTATATATATGTTTTGTTTTGGTTTTTTTTTTTTGGAGACAGGGTCTTGCCCTGTTGCCCAGGCTGGAGTGCAGTGGTGCAATCATGTCTCACTGTAACCTCGATCTGCTGAACTTAAGCAGTCTCCCACCTCAGCCACTTGAGTAGCTGGACCACTGTCATGTGCCACCACATTTGATTAATTTTTTTTGTTTGTGTTTTTTTTTATTTTTAGAGATGAGATTTCATCATCTTTCCCAGGCTGGTCTCGAACTCCTGAGCTCAAGTGATCCTCCCACCTAAGCCTCCCAAAGTGTTAGAATTACAGGCATGAGCCACTGCACCCAGCAATATTTTTTAATATGTAGCATAAGGATTAAGAGTGCAGGCTCTAATCCCAGCACTTTGGGAGGCCGAGGTGGGTGGATTGCTTGAGTCCAGGAGTTCAAGACCAGCCTGATCAACATGGTGAAACCCCATCTCTACTAAAAATACAAAAATTAGCCGGGTGTGGTGGTGCATGCCCGTAGTTCCAGCTACTTGGGAGGCTGAGGCATGAGAATCACTTGAACCCAGGAGACAAAGGTTGCAGTGTGCCAAGACCATGCCACTGCACTCCAGCCTGGGCAACAGAGTGAGACTCTGTCTCCCAAAAAAAAAAAAGAGTGCAGGCTCTGAAATCAGACTGTCATTGACTAATTTTGTGACTTAGACAAGTTAGTTAACCTCTCTGTGCCTCAGTTTCCTTCTTGAGTAATACTGGCACAGAAATCAATTGGTATTTATTTCTGCTGTTATTACTATTATCTAAAAATGGAAAGAAATGAAAATATACCAGTATTTAGTGTACTAATCAATAATTACATGTTTATATAATTATAAGTGCATGCGTATATTGAGGGATGGAATCAAAGCATTTGGAGATCAGTATTATAGATGACCAAGAGATAAAGTAGTTTTCATAAATCACTAAGGAAAAAATAGTTTGTAATCTTCGGTACAGAAAAGTAATGATTTATAATCTAGGAATTTGTAAAGAGAAGCAATAAAGTTGACATAGACTTGCCCCCAGAGTCCTGGGTGGGTTCATTTGTTCATTCACTGCATCTTTTCCATGCCTCTGTGTACACACATGGCTGTGCTAGGTGCCCTACCTCTAGAAGTCAGCCACAGTGAAAATAAATGATCCACTGAGTCTAAGAGGCCAGTGCATTTCAGATAAGGGTCACTTCTGGAACACTTACTATATCTAGTTATCAGACATACATAATTGATGGTTTAAGGAAGTTAAGAGTAAGGTTCTAACTGAGGATGATTTTGTTCTTAAAAATACTTGCTTTCCTTGCTCCTCCTACTGGATTTGGAGAATCACTGGGTATATCCAGAAAGGCATTTTATAAGTTGCAAAAGTGTTGGGGACACTTTTCCAAAGCATACTGGGTACACATATTCCCAACTCTGTTGACAGGCCCATGAGGCCTGTGGTCCGATGGAAATCGATTCAGCTCTGAATACTGTGCAGACGCTTAAGAATGAACTGCAGGATGCCAAGATGGCGGCCGTGGAGAGCCAGCTGAAGCCACTTCCAGGCGAAACGGTGAGTTGTTAGAGCCAGCTGGGGTGCAGGTGTACCTTTTGTTATGATGTTAAATTATTTGTTGTTAGGGTGTTTGCTAAATGTCGCAGCATGTTGAGAAGTTTCTAACCCTGTGGCCTTTTTCTGTAAAGAATGCCCAGGGCAGCTGGAGGAACTCGGTTTGGAGTTAGGAGTGCTGGCTTCTACACTCAGCTGTATCATCAACTAGCTCTGCACACGTTTCATATCTCCTCTGTGTCTCAAGTATTTTATCTACAAAATGGGTAGCAATGAGGCTATCATGATACACATAGAAAAGATTATCAACAATCATTTTAAAAAAAACATTTACTTAATGCAAAGCGCTAGGATGGACAACGACAAAGTGCGTCCATGCAGGAAAGCCATACTGCAAATGGAATAATGGCCCTAGAGACCTACTGTGGTCATATTACCACACCTCCTCATGCTTATGTTAGAGTTTTGTTGGCTAAAACTTTAGCAGTCCTCCTCATTTGTATGTACTTTCTCACATGACTGAACATTGCTAGTAAAATACCACCATGTATTAAGCATCTGTGAAGCACTGTACACACACAGTCTAGTTTATCGTGATAGTAACTTTCATGAACAAGTTTTATTAACCCCGTTTACAGGTGAGAAACGCAGAGGCACAGTTTGTCACTGTTTTGTCCAATGTTATCTGCCAGTTAGGAGCAGAACCACAGTTTGAATTTGATTCAAAGCAGAACCAGATTTGCAGGACTCTAAAACCTGTGCTTTTGAGAGCTTCTGGCTCCTTGAATGAACTGAAGACTTTTAGAATGTAAAGGGGACTTCAGGAGCATCTAATGCACCATAGAACAATGCCTGGTACATAGAAAGCACTCAGAAAATGTGTGTTAAATCAAGTTCCCCTAATTGTACAAAAGAAGAAACTCAGGTTCAGAGAGGTTAAGTCATTTAACTTAGGTCACCCAGTTAATAACAGAGTTGGGATTGCCTCCCGGGCCCACAGCTTTGCAAAGTAGTCTGGAAGTCTCTTTGCAAAGTCCTATACCCCAGGGAGTGCAAGAGAGACTGGCATGACATGTAATTCCACCTTTACATAGAGCATAGACCAGTCAGTTAGAATGCAGGAAAACATCATGAATGTTTAAAGAAATTGCTCTAATAAAGTCTGTATTGTGTCATAACATATTGTTTGCTATAATAGACCAGGCTCTATTTTTATTGGAAAGCACTGCCTCTCCTGGAAAACATGTTGCAAGGTTTAAAATGCATTTGTTCTCTGCTGCCTTTTTGTACTCTCGCAGTATACCTAGAAATTCTCTTCCAAAACCTCATCTAGTAATCAAATAATTGTCCATACCCTAGGCCTTTACTGACTTCGTTCCCTGAATTTTTTATTCAGTTTACAAAGCAAAGTAACATGCTGTTCATGGGAAGCAAGCACTGTGCCCATTTTCATAATCTCATTTACCACTCCAACCCTCTATTTCTATTGCATTTCCTTTCAGTTGGAACTCCTCAAAGTATAATGATCAAATTGAACAATGTTAATGGTCTCACATGCCAGGAAGGTGGTGCAGCTGGATGTCTGCCCACTTCCTGCCCAGCCATAATTAATTCTCGCTAAGGATTTGTTGCAGACTTTCTAAATTAGCTTCTAAAGGCATAATACTAATAGCTACCATTTGTTGAGAGCTTACATTAATTCTCTGAAAACCTGAGCCTAGATATTATGATCTCCTCAGGAAACTGAGGCTTGGAGAGGCTCAGTAATTTACTCAATCTCATGCTAGTAATTGGGAGGGGAGGGAGCAGGGGGCAGGGATTTGCACCCAGATTTGTTTGTTCTAAAGCTCGGACTTCTTCTCCTGTACCACCCTGCTGCAGCTTAGTGCCATTGGTGGGAAAGAGCTAGGGCTCAAAGTTTGATCTGCATGACTTTTCTAAATTATGCTAAGACCTCAGCAGACGTTCTTTTCCTCCTTGAATATTCTTATAGCTGGAAAAATGTGCTCAGGACCTGGGAAGCACATCCAAGGCAGTGGGCTCCTCCATGGCACAGCTGCTGACCTGTGCTGCTCAAGGCAACGAACACTACACAGGTGAGACCCACGCTCTTCATGCCTCTGTAGTCAGCTGCAGACCACTGGGCGTAGCGGGGGAGGAGAAGGAGAATGTTCATTCCTTGGACAATACACGTGCCATTTTTCCCCCAGCAGTTCACCATATATTTTTCAAGCACCATGTGCTCATTACTGGGCTTGATACTAAGCACACAAAGACTAATAAAATATGATTCCCTCAAACTATTTATGGATTGCCCCCATTAGACTATAAAGAAGTAGTAATTATAGACTTCCAGGTCTATCTGTGAGTCCTGGAATCCCACTAAAGTAAAGGCATACAAAAGGCTAAAGAGGGTAAGAGATGACGACAAATAAGATGTCAATGGAATGTGTGAAAATGGAAGCAGACAGATGCGTGGTAACAGGTAGAGGCGAGTGAACAGAAACCTGAGGGGTAGGGAAACCAGCAAGGAGGCAAGCTGATTTGTGCTGCAGAACCCTGGGGGGTGAGGCGGTATTGAGTATTGGTGATGCCGGGTGCCCTGAAGGTAAGAGACTCCTTCAACAGGAGTCTGCATAAGGAACAGATTGTGTAATCATCAACTCTAAGAAAAGCAGAAAAGTTATACAATAAGGAAATGTTATTGTGGTAGGAAGTCTATACATACCTCAAATTTTAAAACCAAGAGGTTTCAGTATGGGCACATTTCTTAAAAATATATACGGAAGGAAAGCTTAAGGAATTGAGTGGCTCTAGGAGGAGGGACAAAGAGGGGAGGAGTGGATTTTGGATCATTGCTTTTGTTACACAGTAACACTGCCTGACTTTTTGAAATATGCATTATTAAAGTATAATATATGCACAGAAAACAGCATAAATCCTAAATGGATACCTTCATAAGGTCTCACAAATTGAAGACACCCAAGAAGCCACTAGCAGGATGGAGGAATCAAACATCTTCAGCCTCCCAGATGCTCCTTTGTGCCCCCTCCCAATCACTGTATCCCCGCTCTCCTTCCCCAGAGGTAAACACTCACGGCGTTTAACAGCATAGATTAATTTTGCCTGTTTTGGAGCTGTAAGTAAATGGAATAATATAATATGTGCCCTTCATGTCTAGCTGCTTTTTCATAGCACTGTGTTTGTGAGACTCATCTGTGGTACACAGAGTGGTTATTTCCATTATCTCTATGGTATTTCATTACATAAATATAGCTGTTCTTTATACTGTTGTTGGGCATTTGGGTTGTTTCCAAAAGACACTGCCAGAAACAAGTCCAGTCCACATTGTTTAGGGAAGATAGTAAGCATTTCCTAGCTGTGTACTTAGGAGTGGATTTCCTAGGTGAGAGGCTCCCCATGTGTTCAGTACATTTCTTTCAGCAGCATACGGAAGCTCCAGTAGTTCTGTATCCTTGTCACCACTTTGTGTCATCAGTCTTTTAATTTTAGCCCTTTTGGTTTGTGTGTGATAGTATCACATTATGATTTTAATTTGCATTTCCCTGATGAACAATGCCATCAGGGACCTTTTCATAGGTTTATTGGTCATTTTGTGAAGTGTGTTTGTGTGTTTTGCCTGTTGTTTGAAAATTGGGTTATTGTCTTTTCCTCATTTATAGGAGTTCTTTGGTACTTATATGTATTGCTTGTATATTGTGATTTGCATTTTTATTCTGTTAAAGTGCCTTTTAATGAACAAAAGTTTTTATTTTAATATATTCCAATTTACACTTTTTTTCTTTATGGTTAGTACTTTTTGTGTCCTATTTTAAAACTTTTGCCTAAGATCATGCAGATGTTCTCCTCTGTCGTATCCTAGAGCTTCACTGTTTGATTTTCATGTTTAGAACTTTGAACTATCTGGAATGAGTTTTGTTTATGTGCAGTAGGATTCATTTAATTGTTTTTCCACATGGATATCCATTTAACCCAGCATCACTGATTGAAAAGGCTACTTTTTCCCAATGATCTTTAGTGCCACTCTGTTGTAACGTAAGTGAACATATATGTTTGGATCAGTCTGTGGTATTTGTTCTTTTCCATTGATTTAATTACCTGTTCTTATATTAGTACTACGCTTCCCTAATTGCTATACTGCAGTTTTATACTAAGTCTTAATGTTTGGTAATGCACATCCTCCATCTTTGTTGGTTTTCCTCAGGTTAGTATTGACTATTCTTGGCCTTTTCCATTTCCACATAAATTCTAGAATCAGCTTGTCAATTTCTACAGAATAATAATAAAAAATACTGTTTTCTTAAACCAGTATTTTTAAACCACTATTGGGATAACATTGAATCAATTTTGGGAGAATTGATGTCTTTATATCATTGAGTCTTCTAATCTGTGAATATCCATTTATTTAGGTCTTTTTTTCTCTCAGTGCCGTTTTATGGTTTTCTGCATAGAAGTCTCTGTTTTGGTTAATGTGTGCATGACATATCTTTTTTCATTCTTTTACTTTCAGTTTTTCTTCATGCTTATATTTAATGGGTTGGGTATCCACTGAGTTTGTCATTGTTCTTTGGGGAGGGCAGAGAGTATTTGGTGGTGTAACAATCTTTTTCTTTCAATTGGAGTATTTTGTCTCTTTATAGATAGTGTAATTACTGATATGTTGGAGTTCGAGTCTATCATCTTAATATTTGTTTTTTCTGTGCCTACCTGTGGTAAGTTCCTTTTTTTCCCCTTTGCTTGCCTCCTTTCAGATTCATATACGTTTTCTAAATTCTATTTCCTTCCTCTTGATTAGCTTGTTAGTTGTACATTCATTTACTATTCTTTTATGATTTCTTTAAATCTAAGTTACTCTGTTTACCTCTTCCTGCATAGTGCAAGAATCTTGGGACATGTTAAACTTCATTTACCTTTCTTTCAATTATTTTGTTTTTTTTTTTTTTTTTTTTTGGAGATAGAGTCTCATGCCATCACCAGGCTGGAGTACAGTGGTGCGATCTCAGCTCACTGCAACCTCCACCTCCCAGGTTCAAGCAATTCTCCTGCCTCAGCCTCCTGCCTCAGCCTCCCGAATGGCTAGGACTACAGGTGTGTGCCACCACACCCAGCTGATTTTTGTATTTTTAGTAGTGGTGGGGTTTCACCATGTTGGCCAGGATGGTCTTGATCTCTTGACCTCATGATCCGCCCGCCTTGGCCTCCCAAAGTGCTGGAATTACAGGCGTGAGCCACCGTGCCCAGCCGTATGTTTTAATTCTAGGTATATTTTCATCTCTGCAATACAGTCTCAGTATTGTTCCAGATAATCCTTATTCGTTTGGATTTCCTCCCATAGTTGCCCTTTCCATCACCCTTCATTCCTTCTGCATCTCCAGGGGCTTTCATTAGGGATCATTTCTCTTATACCTGAAGAACTCCCTTCATTATTTTCTTTAGTCTTAATCTACTGGTGACAAATTCTCTCCATTTTGGTTTGTCTAAAGATGCTTTTGTTTAGCTTTTATTTTGAGTGGATAATATCACTTATTATAAAATTTTAGATTGGCAGTTGTTTTCTTCCAGCACTTTGGAGATGTTATTCTATTGTCGCTGGCTTCCTTTATTTCTGTTGTGAAGTTAGCTATAAAGGTAATGTGATTTTATTTTTCCCCTTTCCTTGCTTTTTGAGTTCTCTTAGTTTTTGGTTTTCCAGCAGTGTGCCTGGGGGAGTTTTCCTGCATATTTATCCTTCTTTGGGTTGTAAGTACTCCTTGAAAATGGGATTTGTTGTCCTCTGCCAGTTTTTTAAAAATCAACCTTTGTTTCTTGAAATATTGCTTCTGTCCCATTTCCTTTTTCTTATGTTAGATCATTTCACTGTGTTTTCTACATCTTCTGTACCCTTTTTTTTCATCATTTTTCTTTTCATGCTTTATTCTCAATATTTGCTTTTGATTTATCTTCCAGTTCACTTTTCCTCTCTTTAGCGGTGTCTATTCTGCTTTCAACCCCTTCAACTGAGATTTTAATTGTAAGTATCATATTTTTCAGTTTTAGAATATCCATTTGATTATTTACTTATAGTTTGTGTCTCTGCTGAAATTCTGTATGTTGTCATCTAATTTCTTCAACATATTTATCACAGTTATTTAAAGTTGAAATCTGGTATCCTGATATCTGGATAGCCTTTGCCTATTTTTATTGTCAGGGTTTTTTTCCCCCTACTCTTGGTATTTCAGCCATTGGTCTTGTCTCCTGGTGTTTTCGTGTTCTTTGTTTGTTTGTTTGTTTGTTTGCTTGTTTTCCTTCAAGACTGAACGTTGCTATTTTAAATTGTAGAGATAGTTTGAGGCTCTGAATTACGTTTTTTTCCCTACATAGGATTACTGTTTTCTCCTGACAACTGGTTAAGATAAGGACAGATCACAATAAAAATGCAGGAACTGAGCTGATTGGAAATTGTGTGGTCTGTTTCCAGTTTACCTTTGAGGGTGTAGCCCTTGTGTGTCCTATTGGAAAGGGTTGCTATTTCCCAGAGCCATTCTGTTTCTTGAGCTCAGAACTATGCTTTTTCTCTTCCTAGCCCATGAGACTTCAGGAAACTTTACTCAGCTTCTCAGCTTCTTGGCAACAGGTTACAAATTAGGAAATGCCTTTAGAGAAAAAGCAGCCCTAAACATTGGACTCAGTCCTTCTTTTCAAGATCTTGGCCCTCCTTACCTTGGGGCCTTGGTATTTCTCCAGTGCCTTCAAATAAATGTTTTATGTATGTTTTCCAGAGTTTCTATGTGGGAAGGCTGTTTACAGTAAGTTATTCTGCCATCACTACAAGCAAAATCCTCTTTGATTTGTAAAAACTGTATACATTTATTACTTTGAAAATAAAAATTTTAAAGAGCACAATAGGAACACAAAGTTAGTACAGCATGTATAGTACCTGCAATAATAAGAACATAAAATTTTATCCCAGTGGGAGGATAGGAGAAATTTTCAGAGCAGAATTGACATCTAGCGAGGGCTTTGTGGATTGTTTAGGACTCCTTTAGCATTCTAGGAGAAGGAAAAGTAGGATAAAATTCTTAGAAAATCACAGGGTAATATGAGAGATTTAAATTTCAGAAATTTCCACACTTTTCCTAAATCTTGCCAGCTGTTGTGTAGATGATGAAATGCATATTTAGAGAAAAGACTACTTTACAGGTTGCGTCATCTCATACTGATAACACCCAGAAAGATATGCTGTCTAGTTGGTGTCTGAAAAACAGCCTAGAAGTAGCCCCATTTAATTTTGGCAGGCATTGGAAGGCAGTTGCATAAGTGAGCACTGCATGTATGATGCCTTAAAGATGAGAGAAAGAAGGCTGATGGAAGGAACTGAAGATGGTGAAAGTAATAGGCAAAGAGGAAGTGAGAAGTAAGAGGATAAGGCTGGAAAGTTAGGCCAGGGTCAGATTCTAAAGGGCCTCATAAACTAAAATAAATGGGTTAGACTTTAACTGAAGAATATGTGAACATGTTTTTCAGCTGTGGACACAGTTCAGATTGCTTTTTGTATAGGTTGCCCTTCCTCCCATGTGTAGAATAGATTGGATGGAAACAAAGTGGTAGGCAAGCAGGCTGTTGCATTAATCCAGATAAGAGACGATAGTGTCCTACAGTGGAGATGAAGTGATGGATTGAAGAAGCAAAGACCCGATCATTATTGGTGACTGGTTAGAAGTTGGTGGAGATGGTAACATGAACGGTTCCAAGTGTTTGGCCTTATAGCTCAGTGAAGAATTGTATGAATCACTGATGGGAACACAGGACCATTGGTAGGAGTAGGGAAGGTGAAGTTCAGGAATGCTGGGTTCAGCACTGAATATATTCCATTTGAAGTGCTTGGAGAATATGCAGGGAGAGCATCATTAGGCAGCTAAATCTTTGGCTCTGGAACTCAGTAGAGAAGGCTGGGCTGGATGATACAGATTTGAAAATTGTTGGTAAAATGATAATGATTGGAAGTAGATAATTTTGCCAACAGGGAGTGGTAAAGTAAGCGACATCCTATCAGTTGTAATCCTGAAGAACATGACTGGTTAAGGAGGAAACTGGCAATGGAAATCTTTGAAAGAAAGAAGAACATGGAGCTGTGGAGGGGGCAGAGAAACCAGGAGAGAGGGATGTTTCTAGAGCCACAGACATAGTTGCTGCCCAGAAAGTCTTGTCAAATGGAAGACTTAAGCATCCATTAGCTTTAGGAATAAGGAGGTCACTATTCTCCTTGTTGAAGGCAGTTTCAGGAAAGTTGGAGAATGGATGGGAAGCAAGGAAAGAGAGAGCATATGTGGAAAACTTCTCCTTGGGTCTCAGTTTCCTTGTCCACAGTTGAGGTGTGTGGGATTTTCAGAAGTTGCACGTGAGCTGCCACTGGGCTGCATTCTAATGCAAGTGTGTTTCTGTTTGACCAGTGCAGAAACAGTGCAGTGTTCAAAATATATTTCTGTATAGCTGATTACAATTACACAGAACCCTTTGTAAATACTTTGGAACAGATAAAAGATTTGTGTCATACCTGGTCTTTATCTTTTGAGGTTGCTGTGTGGCCCAATACTGTCTGGATACACAGTCCACCTGAATTCTGGTAAAGAATAGCAACCATTATGAAGAATGCTGCTATATTTGATATCACTTGATATGCCTTCATAAGACTCTGTTACTGAGTATCATTTAAGATCCAGATGGCAAGAATACCGTGAAAGTAATCTGTGTTTTCAAAGGACTGTGGTTATTGAAACAGGAATCTGCTTTAGTATTTCACTCTGGTGGTTCTGATACTGTGATGCACACTTTGACTACAGGAAACAGTTCCGTTCGGAGGGTGTTGTTTGCTTGGAGATCTGACCCTGTAGTGATGAGCACTGAGAATGTTGCTATGTGTTCAGCCATGCACAGCCATGGGTGTTCATTGGGCTTTCTGACCTCTGATAGCCTGGTTTCATCCTTTTGATGGTATGGCTTCCTCTTTACAGAAACGTGATCTCCCTCAAGAAGATCCTTGATGTGCTTTGAGATTTCACAGTGAGTCCTTAGCAGAAAACACATGGGATGGACCAGCTTAGGTTTTTGGAATTTAGCTCTTCTGATTTCTGTGTTTTTTTAATTGTATGAGTCTAGGAAAGGTTTTTTCACTAAATGGATTTTGCATAAACATGTCTTTTCTAATTGCATATGATAAATGATTTACTCCTCCAAACTTATATATGACTCAAATAGAAGGGGATTCAAGAGTCCATATGACAAATGGGAGGACAAGAGGAGAGGTCTAGAAATCACAGCCTAGAATCTGCAATGGTCAGAGCTAGGAACTCAGCCTCTCCTAAAACCCTTGAGAAACTGAGGCCCAGAGGGAAAAGGCAGCAGTCTAGACCACACAACTAATCAGCAGCAGAGCCGGAGCCAGATGAGGTCTTAACTACATCTGGCGCTTTCCTGAGCAACAGCATCCTTCAACCCTGTGCCAAAAGCTTAAGCGTAAAATGGAATGACCATTCTCCTCAGATTGTTTCTCTTCTTCACCTTAGCTTTGTTTACCTTTGTGCTTTCTCTTCTGGACTTCTCCTCTGCCATAAAAAGCACTTAGTTTAAAATTCTTTCATTCCGCCAGCTGTATTCAGAAGTGCCATGGGATAAATGATAGATTGGCAGCTTTGTAATTTACCTTGATTAGATCGTAGTTTTATATCCCAGCTGTGTGATTTACTAAATATTTACATATTAGCAAGTCTGCAGCACTGCAAACCCGTCTGGTTTTATGGATCTGAGGCCTTTCACACTCTACTGTATCACAGAGCCTCGCCCTCAGTGAGGAAAAGACCACTTCCTGTGTAGGTGCTGACTCAGCTGAAGCAGTGGCTAGTAAAGACCACGCTTGCTGGTGCCAAGAGACCTTCCAGCTCAGTCCTGTAGAAAATAGTCATTTCAAAAGTTCAGTGCGAGAGAGACATCGATTTGCGTATTTTTCATGTAGATCGTACGTGTTCTAACAAAAAGGGCTCTTAGTTCTCTACCCCAAAAAGCACTATAAAGAATATTTGACCTCGAAGTGAGGAAAGCTCAGATGTAGCTCTCGTGCCACCTCTGGAAGCGTTTGTGGGCAAGATACGTCTCAGCACCAGGCTTCATCTGTGAAATTTTATGAGATGAGCTCTAGGGTAAACTGTTCAGTGATTCTCAGGCTCATATGTGTCCTGGCGTCTCCAATCTTCATCCTCTTCTCGGGTGTGTCAAGGATTGCGTGCCAGGTAGTAAGACTCACGTTTATTCTGCATGAGTTAGTGCTACAGCTTTAAAGGACTAGTTTATATTCATAGTTTATCACCAAATCCCATCATCTGTTTAGATGCATATTTAAAGATAAGCAGGCACTTCACAAAAGAGGATATCTAAATGGCCATTAAGTGCATGCAAAGGTGCTCAACATCATTACTCATTAAGGACATAAAAGTTAAAACCTCATTGAGATGCAGCTACACATGCATCAGAATGATTAAATTAAAATCTGATGATACCTGGTGTTGGCTAGGATGTAGAGCAACTGCAATTCTTACAGACTGCCAGTGGAATGTATAATGGTAAAATCATTTTGGAAAACTGTTTTTGTGGTATCTTCTAAAGCTAAATATATACTTACTCTATGATCCAGCATTTCAACTCCTAGAGAAGTGATTCCAAAGAGAAGTGATCTCATATGGCCACTTGAATATATAAGAACTTTCTTGTTAGATTAATTCATAATAGCCCCAAATGAGAAACAACCCAAATGTCCATCAACAAGAGAATGGATAAACAAATGTTAGCATATTTGTATCGTGGAATACTATATAGCAAGAAAAAAGAATGAACTGCCACACATCACAACTTAGCTGAATCTCACAGCATTATGGTCAGAGAAAGAAAGCAGACACAAAAATATACATGTATGTGGTTCTGTTAACATGAAGTTTAAGAACAGGTAAAAATAGTCTAGGGTAATAGACATTAGAATAGTGATTACTTCTGGTGTGAAGGGAGTATTGACTGGCACAACTGATGGTGGATATGTGGCTGTGTCCATACGTACCAGTTCACTGAGCTGCACATGTGGACTTGTTCACTGTAGTGTATGTAAGTTACATCCCAGAAAGACAATTGAGAAGAAAGGTGCCTTTCAATGGCCTCCCGCAAACGTGTGCATGAACATACCCAGATATGTCCATCTGTGTACTCACTCCCAGGCACTTGGTGTTCTAGGTCTGGGGACAGTGGGGCAGTGGGAGCAAGGCAAGTCAGGGGGAGGAAGTCTTTAGTATTGCATTTGTTATTAACGTGTCTCTTGGTTTGGCCCAGAGCCAGGGGGATATGTTTCCGAAGCCAGCTACTTCTTTGAGGAACACAGCAGTTCAAATTTTATGAAAACTAATCTGTAGCTCCCCTTCTGTGCCAGGCCCTGGTGCAGAAGATTATTCCTAAGTAAAATGTGACATTTAGATGGAATCTAATTGTAAGTCTGATGGACTTTTATCCCCAGGGGTGGCTGCTAGAGAGACGGCCCAAGCTCTGAAAACGCTGGCCCAGGCCGCCCGTGGAGTGGCTGCATCGACGACCGACCCCGCGGCTGCCCATGCCATGTTAGATTCTGCTCGAGATGTGATGGAGGGCTCCGCCATGCTCATTCAAGAGGCCAAGCAGGCCCTGATTGCACCTGGAGACGCAGAGAGTCAACAAAGACTGGCTCAGGTGAGGCTTGTGGTTGTCATGGTCATCATTAACGTGGACATGTGGGTGGGCTGTCTCCTGGGCACTTTTCCCTGATATGAACACTGACACAGCAGTTTTTTGCAGAAACTTCCAAAGGTCATAACCGTGCTGGCCATACATGATACTCACTTTTGTAAGTCTTGCCTAGTATTCTTTACATTAATGTGTGATCTGCTTAATTCACGGTCAGGAGAGGGTATGGGGGCCTTTGAATTCTGTCCTTGGGAGTTTCGGAGCCAGGACATAACATGCTTGTTTTGGGCCTATGCGTGCTGACCTGTATTGCTGTTCCTCGCCAGGGAGTGAGGTAGATCCGCTAGGGCTGGCCACCCAGAAGTTTTCAACCCTGGCTCTCTATTACTTCTTTGAATGATTCTTCGACTGCCTGATGGAACCAGTTGGCTAAGGAGCATCCAGGCAGAGTCCTAGACGTGGGGCTGGGAAGGAGATGGCTTAGATTACAGGAAATGACCCTCCTCACCTCCAAAGACCTTCCTTTTAATTGAGGATACCGAAGAATGCATACAGGGGGCCACTAAACATTGCTAGACAGCATGAGGGCAACTCCAGGTTGTGCTCAGAGCACCCCACTTGCCCCTGGGTAGAGTGAGGTTTGGGAGGATGGCCCCATGGGTCACTGAGAGGAAATTAACCACAGGCCTTCCAATTGTGATCCAAAAAACTCAAGGTCTCTCCACCTCAGTGACCTCAGCAGGGCTCCCAAGAAGGGAGATATTTTCATTTCTCTTGGTTATAAGAAATCTTTGCTTTAGAACCTGACCTCATGCTGGAGAGTTCTGTGTTTGAATCACAAAACTGTGGCTTAGCCTGGCTTTGGGGAACAGGTGGGATGTGCTGTGTCACTCTGTCGGACCCTTTGGTGAGACAGAATGTTCATCCCAATAAGAGGGTGGAAAATATCTTCTCTGGGACGAGGGGCCTGGATGAGGTGGTGTAAGACAGGGGATGGTGGCAGGCGGATGCTGGTGGGTCATTTTCGTGTGTGTTTCAGCTCTGCGTGTCATCACTGCCCGTTCCCAACCAGTGCGCAGAAATGTTTGTACTTAAAGGTGCTTCTCTCCCTCCACGAATTCAGGTGGCTAAAGCCGTCTCTCACTCCTTGAATAACTGCGTAAATTGCCTCCCTGGGCAGAAGGATGTGGACGTGGCCTTGAAGAGCATCGGGGAGTCCAGCAAGAAGCTGCTTGTGGATTCGGTGAGAGGTTCTTAGATTGGGAAAGGACACTGGGGGACTCGGCTTGCATTAGGTGTGAGCGAAGTCTTCTCTCCATGAGATCTCTGAGCAGCTAACCCTTCCTCTAGGAGTCCTGTTTTTCCCACCAGTCTTTGTTTTCCATGTTTTGCTGTCTGATCAACAAAGTTCCCAGGTGAAGCTTTTAAAGCTTACTTTTTCTTTGAGCCCATGTTGCTGTTTCCTCTCGGATCATCCCAGAGAGACAGGCAAAGGGGTGTGTGATCGCCTGGCTTCTTATCAGGACATCTCAGATAGTGACAATCAGGTGTTGGAAGGGTACATGTGTCCAAGACTCAGTGAGACAGCAAGTAGTCTGAGGAGTTTCATCTTGGGGCCTGTTCCCGTCCCTGCTTTGTGAGTCTGCTGAAGGAGGGTTTGTGCTCATGCATCTTTGTTTCTTCTCTGCACAGGTATAGAGGCAATGCATGTGGGTGATGGATAGAGTCTAGCTTAACTCCCTAGAACTTTTCACAAATAGGTTATCATTCTGCTAGATGACATTTAAAAGTTATTAGCAAAGGCCACTAATATAATTGTTGGCTATTAGTTTGGAAGAACATGATTTGAAGTTTGATAGCATCTGCCTTTTAGTTTACAAAGCTAAAACGTAGCTTTCATCTTAAGAGAGACAAAATAGGGTAGAGTTTTAGAGAATGGACCCCGGAGTTAGATTACCTTGGTGTGGATCCTGTCTCTGCCACGTAAGAAACCTTGAGCCCCTGTAGATAGCTTACATTTTTAGATCCACAGTGTCTAGCACTGAGTAGGTGTTTGATAAATTTAAATGAATGAATGAATGTATATGTTGAGGGTCAAACCTATTAATAAAATGGGCTCAGATGACTCAGAGCCTTTTAGTCGTGATGACTCAAATGCATCCCTGAAGAGTCTGTCTCCCCTCCACAATACCTTCCTTTTATCCCTCCCCGACAAAGCAAAATGTCTCATGGGGTGTGCCGTCTGTTCCCCATAGCTACCTCCAAGCACGAAGCCTTTCCAGGAAGCCCAGAGTGAACTGAACCAGGCAGCAGCTGATCTGAACCAGTCTGCTGGGGAAGTTGTCCATGCCACCCGGGGCCAGAGTGGAGAGTTGGCTGCAGCCTCTGGAAAGTTCAGCGATGATTTTGATGAATTCCTCGATGCTGGCATTGAGATGGCTGGCCAAGCTCAGGTGGGTGTGGAGGTGGTTGTCTGGAGTTGACCTTAGCCTCTCCTCTCAGATGGACAATCCATCCTTGAGACTGACTGAACAAATAGGAAAAGGAACCTGGAAGCAGGCAGGCCATGGTTGCATTCTTTTTGCTGCTTAGGAAGCTTATGCCCTCTTGGGAATGGCATTCCCAAAGATGCTGTCAGCTTATGCTTGAGGTGCTGTTAGTAATGAAGGATATCTTCTCCCGTGATCCTCCAGCAGAATTCATAGTCTTACTATTTGGAGGGAGGGTAGAAAGAAGGAGAATGCTTAACAAAGATTAGAACAGCTCTTCAAATGTGGGATAATAAAGTAAAAATATTTATGTATTTGAGGTTTAATGGACCATTCAAATGGTCTGTGTCTAATACTGAGTGTCAAGTAATTAAAAACTGTCTCCTTCAGATGAACAGATAAACCCCTTGTTTAGAACAAGGGAGCTTGACTGATCTGGTGTCAGCTTGCAGAGCTGTTTTTTTTCCTGCGCTGCTTTGACCTCCCTAAAAGAGATAACCAGGGTATATCTTCTTCTAGTATCTACAAAGAATTGTTTCTCAGATGGCAACCAGGTGAGAAATGTGTCCTTTCCCGAGTCAGGAACTTTAGGGATGCAGTCAGCTCTGAATATCGAGGCAGTGCTGGTCGTTTGTGCCAGGCCGAGATGTACAGCTCCTTGACAACTCCAGCATTGTTGAGCAAGACGCTGGAATCGCTGCCTGGTCTGTGCATTGGCTCACAGCTCACTCGCTCTCCTCCCACCCCGCTCCCCGCTTAATGCCACTGGTTGTGAGAAAGCACAGCTCTTGGCTGACCCACTTGGGGATGGATTTCTTTCCCCATGGCATGCATCTTGATCTGAGCATCTGTTTGGAGAAGGGTAGACACTGGTCAGTGTCTCAACGAGTTAGGCATCCACAGGCTAATTGGGTTTAATGTGATCTATACAGATAACCTGCCTGCATGTCAGGATGCTGCTTCTAGCTCTCTGAATGCCTCCTTCAAGAAATGGACAGGTCCTAATCGCTCTGGCTCCTTTTGACCTTCCAGACAAAAGAAGACCAGATCCAAGTGATAGGAAACCTCAAGAATATCTCGATGGCATCCAGCAAGCTGCTGTTAGCTGCCAAATCTCTCTCTGTAGATCCAGGAGCTCCCAACGCAAAAAATCTCCTGGCTGCAGCTGCAAGGTAGGAGTGGGACAAAATGTGCTTTTGTATGTGGTTAAACAGGGTCATTGCAGTCTGGAGATGTGCCTGACATCCTCCCAGTTTTGCTGAGCAAAGAATTGGTGCTGTCCTTAGGTCATGGAAGGTGGAGCTGAGAGTGATGGACACTCTGGTATTTTATAAAACTGGTTCATTTTCATGTTCTTTCCCTGCTAAAAATACCTTCCGTCTTCTCATACAGCCTTTTCAGTAGAGACTTGCTTAGACGTAAGGTCCTTTTTGACTTGTAAACGCAATGGATCAGATAGTTGTTTTAAAGCAGTGTTACATCTTTCAGATTATAAAATAACATATGCTTCTTGAAAAATCAGAAAATACCAAAAAGTGTAAAGATAAAAAGCGGTGCTCATCAAGTCATTTAACAGACATTTGTTGAACATTTAACCCTGTGCCTGGCATCAGTGTTAGACTGAATGTAATACGTCGTATCTCTCACATGGGGAAGGCTCCACTTTAAGATGAGTAGGGAGTCAGTGGGAATAAATTGTTTTTGGAAATATATTAAAACATGAGTGTGAATTTTGGGATGATTCTGGTGTCCTTCTTTCCTATTGGTTTCACACAGGGAAGTGGGTAAAACAGTACAGTTTCTGCTCCAGGGCCACAAGTTAGTTCAGTAACTAGTGGTTGAATGTGGTATGTGGAGCACTGCAGTGACAGCCCAAGGGGTTCTCATATCAGCTGCTCCTCTTTCATTTTCCTGAACCCAGAGAGGAGGGTGGTCATGATTCTGTGGTGGTGCAGGCATGTTTTCTTAGCATTATTTAACATCACATTATATATAAGAAAGCTGACAGTGGAGAGAGATTAAAAGCAGGACTATTAGGGGATAGAGAGTAATTGGAAGCCTTTTCAAAATGTGCAGATTTGTGATTTTTGAAAAGCATAGCTTTGATTCTGCTTTCTTTTTTTAAACTTGGTTTTTAAAATTTGCTTAGTTGTGTGTGTGCGTGTGTGTGTGTGTGTGTCTCTTTATATCTCCCCTGGGAGCTCAATGGCTGTTTTTTAAATTGTTGACATCATGAGACCTGAATTATATTCCAAGCTTTTTACTACTTGACTGACTCAGTCGCATTGGTCAGGTTGCTCAGCCTGTCTAAACTTTCCCGTCTGCAAAGTGGGGGTGTGAACTGCATCATCCCAAAGCTATCTTTAGCTCTCAGCACATGAGATCTCATGGTACTCATGGTCCAAACCTGCCCTTCCTCCCTTCTCGGCTTGTAGTGGGGTGTGTGTGTGTGTGTGTGTGTGTGTGTGTGTGTGTGTGTGTGTGTGTGTGTAAAGGGTTAGACACTGTCAGAGCAGTTTGCTTGCAAACCCTTGAGTTTCTTCATTTATACCTGGAAGGTACATTTTAACTGCAAACAATAGCTAGAGCCACTAGAGGACTGGAAAATTATCTTCCCATCTCCCCATCTCATGCTTTGTTAGTGACTATTCTAGTAAATAAGTGACCTCCCTCGATGGCGGGAGAGTTGGGAGGTGGGGTTGGGGGTGGTGTCTGTTCTATTGAGCAGCTGTTTCTGATAGAAAACCCCCTCTTAATCATTCCTTTTTTTTCCTACAAAGAGCCTTTGGATAAAGCAACTGACATTTCCAGGTATCTGAACTCAGATGTTTCTCATTATCTTCAATTTTTTGTATCATTTCAAAATTACAGTTTCCAACTTGGAATGTCTTCACTCTCCTAAATTGTGGGAAGGAGGGGGAATGTATAAATTGCCCTTTTGAAAGCCAGCTATAGAAGGAAACAGACCCGGAAAGAATATTGCTGGTGTATGGCTCTGTGTATAGCTGCAGGCCCCCTGGTGGTGGCTTGAAAGAAAGGACACGGGGAAAAGGAAAAAAAAAAAAAGCTTTCTTTGCCTTTCTGTCCTGGCTTTTAGCAGTTGACAGAGAATTCCCAGCCTGATGGTTTCATAGCCAAGTAAGCACTTAAAAATCATCATGTGAAAATGATTGTCTCAGGATGGAACTGGTGCAAGAAAACGCTGGCACATTCTCCTTGGTTTCTTGGCGCATTTTGGCAAGCTTCTGCTCCCTGGGGCTGTTTCTCAGCAGAAACTCCAGCCAGGTCAAGAGGGTCAGGCAGGCTCCTCTTGGGACACAAAGCTCTGCCAGGCTGGGGTTCATTCATTCATTGTCTTATTCATTCATGTCTTCATTACATAGATTTTCATCACAGACCTGATGTGGGCGAGGCCCAGTGCTGAGTGCACACTGTGATTAAGACAGGGATGTGGCCCTGGTGGAATTAGGCAGGACTCAGCACGTGCTCCCCTCATTTCATCTGGGCCTAGAACAGTCCTGCATAAAAGTGCACAGGAAGCTGGACAGAAGGGATCTGATCATCATAGTCTCAGTCTTCAGTCCTCTGTCCTCCTTGTTCTTGAGACTGTCAGGTCCTGCCTGTCCTTCCTGTGTGTATATCCTCAAAGTCCCCAGAAATGCCACTGCGAGGGCCCAGGCCTGGACCAACTCAGCCCTGTTGTGTTAACAGTCTCGAACCCCTTATTATTTGTGGTGTCAGCGGTCCTGCTTTCTCTGGGAAGAAAAGGTTTGCTTCTGGAGAAAAATGTAGAGAATGTCTTGTTCCTCTGTTCTTAATTCTGCCTTTGAGCCTGGGTGCGTTTTGGGGACCCTACCTAGCCCCTTGGTTTTGGATGCCTAGGGGAGAGGAAGTCATTTGCTATTTAGTGCCTGGCTTGTTCATTTTCTTCCCATGTAACTGATTGGGTTCTGGCTCTTTTCTGACAAGTCGGGTGAAGCTGGAGACCCTTTGTCACCCATTCGTCAGCCTTTTTCCCCAACCAGGGGCTGGGTAGGTGCTCCCTGAACTTAGTCAAGGAAATAGAAAGTTAGCTTGCAGTTGCCAAAAGGAAGGGGGTATCCTACCTCTGAGCACCTTTCCTGAATCACTGCTCACCACTAGTCATCCTGGCCAGAAGGGCTCCAGAACTGAGAAGGCTTTAGGCCCACAGCGGCCAGCATCAGACCCCAGGGCCAGGTTTCAGCTGCTTTCCAGTCCACAGAGGGTGCTCCCTAGGAACTCGCAGGTAGCGCCTGTTCCCCTGGCTCCCCTTTGGTCTGAGGTTCTTGCTGGGCAGGGCTCCTCCTGTCCCCAAAGACTGTGAAGACGGATGGTCCAGCAAGCAGCACAAATGAGAAGAGTGCATCTGCTCCGTAAACAGAAAGGTGTACAAGAGACCTTTGCTCTCTGTGGGTCTTACAGAGAATGCTTCCTTCCCTCTATCCAAATCAGGATCTCACTCAGTCCTGACTTCCAATTGCTTCAGTCTACATCGAACCCTCCCTTTCAAGCAGACTCCGCGCCCGGCGGCTAAGGCTTTCATTTCCTTCTAGCTGCCTGTGAGTCCCTGCATTTATCTGCTCCCTAGCTCAACCATCTATCATGCCCTGCCAGGTGTCCCGCCCTGGTACTGCTTTCTTTCATCCGACTTCTTTGTACCTTGTCTTCTCATTGTCTTGCCTTTTCAATTAGATTGCAAACACCTTGCCATCCTAGAGAGATACAAATGATTATTTTTGTTATTTTTAAATTATTATTTTTTTTTTTTTAAGAGAGGGAGTCTTGCCGTGTTGCTCAGCCTGGTCTTGAACTCCTGACCACAACCTCCAGAGTAGCTGGGATTATAGGCACAAACCACCATGCCTAGCTAGATGATTATTATGATGTTTATATTTTTATTTATTTATTTATTTATTTTTGAGATGGAATTTCGCTCCATTGCCCAGACTGGAGTGCAGTGGCGCAATCTCGACTCACTGCAACCTCCGCCTCCCGGGTTCAAGCGATTCTCCTGGCTCAGCCTCTCAAGTAGCTGAGATTACAGGCCCATGCCACCATGCCCAGCTAATTTTCTTTTTCTTTAGACGGAGTCTTACTCTGTTGCCCAGGCTGGAGTGCAGTGATGCGATCTTGGCTCACTGCAACCTCTGCCCTCCGAGTTCAAGCAATTCTCCTGCCTCAGTCTCCTGAGTAGCTGGGATTACAGGCACCTGCCACCACGCCCGGCTAATTTTTTGTATCTTTAGTAGAGATGGGGTTTCACCATCTTGGCCAGTCTGGTCTTGAACTCCAGACCTCAAGATCCACCTGCCTTGGCCTCCCAAAGTGCTGGGATTATAGGCATGAGCCACCACGCCCGGCCTCTAATTTTTGTATTTTTAGTAGAGACAGGGTTTCACCATGTTGGCCAGGCTGGTCTCAAACTCCTGACCTAGTGATCCACCCGCGTCGGCCTCCAAAAGTGCTAGGATTCTAGGCGTGAGCCACCGCGCCCAGCCTAGATTATTTTTTAATATCTGTGCCTTGACATAACAGGACCCTGGGAATACAGCTAGGTCAATTTCGATTTGCTCTTTCCTCCTTTCCCAGGTGCCTCTTCCCTGGAGGCAGGAAGAGAGGTGTCTGCTACTGCTTTTTACCCTCTAAGCTCCTGACTGGGTGACTTGTGCGAAATAGACCATCAAAAGCACCAAGCGGTTGATTCTTCTCACACTCCTCCCCAATTCTGTATCTACTTGAAACTTCCAGCCAGAGCTCTCACACTTCAATTGAATCAATTCAGCATCTCTGAACACTAAATAATTTTTTGCCTTAACCCTTTTTAACCATTGAAGTTGTACATCCCAATTTTTTAGAAACTGAGAGGAGATAGATAAGCCTAGATGAAAACACTGTTTCTGGAAGGTAGCATTATGGTTATTTAGCTTTTTTGTATTTTTCAAAATGAACTTATGTAGCTTTGATCATTAAAAAAAATTGTAAAAAAAAATCAAAGTATACTTCAGACCTATTTGGATTTACAAAGACCAGAGACCGTTCTAATTTTGGCCATATTTTTTATGATAATGTAAATTATTTAATTTCTAATGGGGGGTAGATTTATTGAAAGTTTTTCTTTCAAAATAACATAAAGTCGCTTCACATTTTAATATATGTCATTCTATCATTTTCTACACATATATATGTTTATTTTTAGAGCGGTAGGCCCATTCTATTTATGCTCTCTTGTAAATTTTATTTTCTTTAATCATGTAACACATATATTCATCTGTGACATTAGGAAATGACTTTTAATGGGTCCCCAGGATTCTGTTGTGGGCTGTATATTTATTTAATCCTTTATTGTTGCGTATTTGGGTTGCTCCATATTCTTTGCTCATAGATAACTGCTGGGGTTTAAAACATAAATATTATTTTTCATTGTCAAATTTACATAACCGTTTGCCTCTGGACCACTTAGCACTTATTTAGCTGTTTAATCCCGACTGTAAAATGAGTTATGGGAATTTGTGATAGCTAAATAATGCTTCTTAGTTTTGGATCAGTATTATCCAAGCATCTCACTTAGACACGCGATGCTGGGCTGGGACTTTTGTGGATTACCCAACCACAAACCCTTAGTCTGTTGGTTTTTGTCCCAAGTTTTTATTTGAAAAAACTTTACATCTACAGAAAAATTTAAGAGATGAGGAAAACTGGCAGCTTTCCCACAGCTGTATATCCTCTGGATTCACCAGTTATAAACACTTAGTTTTTAATGGAAGAAACTTTTATATAGTAACACAGTTTTTTAAAAACACAGATAAACAGGAAACACAGAGAGAATTAAGCTAAACAGAAAGCTTCTGTGATATGTGGAAATAGCACCAAACGATCATGCCATTATGATGTTGATATATGCCAGCCTATCTCAGAAGTGTGTCTCAAAGCCACCACCATGGAGAACAGGGTGCTGCTCTCCCCAGGGGGTACTTTAAATGCGCACATTGAGGACTACACCCCTCCACAGTCCTTGGAACTGTGGGGATTGTCCGGCTGTCTCCTTATTCTTGTTTTGCTTTGCACCATGGACAGCACGGTGCTTCCCAATGACACCTTAATTAAATAGTGGTCCCCAAATAAATGAATCACCAGAGTCAATCTTACAAAAACTATTTTAGAATTTTTCCTATCACCCTAGCTCAATTTAAAATTGAAAGCAGTATCTCCTCATCAAATAATTAAGCTGCTTGCTTTTGTACATTGGCAACATCATTTTCTGTCTAATTTGATATTCTGTGGGAAGCTGCAAAGCCAATTTAACTAATAAAATGAGGCATCTTTTATATTAGTGTTGGTGATTAACAGCAATATGTGCCTATTTTATTTTTGTTTAAGTTGCCAAAGCTGCAGTGGTTAGAAACTGAGTAGAATTCGGGGCCCTGCCAGAAGTGTGGACCAGTTATGACACTGCAGAAAAGAACTGTGTATTTGGTTTTGGAGTCAGAAAGGCATGAGTTTACGTCTTACTTCTACTGCTTATTTGTAGCATCCTCTTTGGGAGTTATCTCAGATTTTTCATTTATAAAATGCATGGGTTTTCAATTTTAAGACTTAGTATAAAGCTAGTCATTAAAACAGTGTGGTATTGACAAAACGTTGACCATGTAGATCAGTGCAACACAAATCAATGGGGAAAAGATTGTCTTTTTCAACAAATGGGGCTGGAACTATTGGGCTTACATATGCAAAACAATTTTTAAAAGAACTATGACCCATGTCTTATACTTTATAAAAAGTTAACTACAAATGGCCATGACTTTCAAAATTATCCATGTCATGAGCTCAGACAAATTAAACAGGGGCTGCCCAGGAGGGACAGAGTGCTTGTCAATGTAGAAAAATCTGGGCTACATCTTATGTTCTAAGAATAGAAACAAGTCAAGTCATATAAGAGTCCCTAGTTTATTTCTGTTAATGTTAACAAAGAAAATAGGTATTTTAATGAATAATTTTGTGGTCGCTTTTAGGAACCAGTGAATCACATAGAATTTAATGGAAGGAAGAAATTTTAAAATCATAGGCACAGTTCACTTTATGTCTGTGTGTTAAAAAATGTACAAAATATTCCAAATTGTTCAGGTTGTCTTGTTCCTTGGGGGCTGCTGATTAAGGGTCTTAAATAGTGCAAATATGGTCTATTTGCTTGTTGCAAATTCTTTCTTATGAATGTATTAGCTTTCTTAGCAAAACTACAGTTGACCCTTGACCAATGCAAAGGTTAGGGGCACTGACTCCTGCACAGTCAAAAATTCGTGTATAGCTTTTGCTTCCCTAAACTTTACCAACAGCTACCAAGACTGGAAGCCTTGCTGATACCATAAACAGTTAACATATAGTTTATATGTTGTATGTTAATGTATTATGTACTGTATTCTTGCCATAAGTTGAGCTACTAACAAAATGATAAGGAGGAGAAAATGTACTTTTCACTAAGTGGAAGTGGATCATCATAAAGGTCTTCATCCTCATCCCTGTCACATTGAGTAGGCAGTGGAGGAAGAGGGGTTCATCTTGCTGTCTGAGAGGTGGCAGAGGTAGAAGAGTTGGAAGGGGAGAAAGGAGAGGTAGACACACTGGTGTGACTTTTACTGAAAAAAAACAAAAAAAAACAAAAAAAAACACCCACCTATAAACAGATTTGCACAGTGCAAACCCATGTTGTTCAAAGGTCAACTGTATTAGGACCCCTTCCAGGTCTAGCAAATGAATTATCAGAGCAAGATAGGGTTTCTCTTTCTGTCTTCCCTGGGTATGGTTTATTTTTGGTTGTATAGAGCCTCTGTGGAAGAGTTCTCCTGGGGACCCGAGCCGAAATAGTGAATTAATTGCATTTCTGGTGAGCCTGCAAAGCATTGTAGGGGAAATTACTGTTGATCTTAAAAAAAAAAAAAAAAATTCTGTTTCTGTCACAGAGCTGTGACAGAGAGCATCAATCAACTCATCACTCTGTGTACCCAACAAGCTCCGGGCCAGAAAGAGTGCGATAATGCCCTGCGGGAGCTCGAGGTAGGTCCCTGGGTCCCTGGGAAGGCTGCTGAGGACTTGAGAGAGGGAGTGTCTGTGTCTGTGTGTCTGTCTGTCTTTGTCTGTGTCTGTTCTTTCCCTATAGGGCTAGTTTTCTCTTCTCTTTCCTTGCCTTTTATCTTTCCTCGGAGGCTGTTAAGGCCAAAGTTGCAATCCAAGTGGAAAGAAACTAAGATAAACTAGATTTAGTTGGGATTATCGTTCCTGCTTCTCATTTTTCCAGCAGGAGGAGATGTATTTTGTTAAAGGATTCTTTATTTCAAACAGGAAGAGGCCTGTGATGTCGGGTGTAGGCTGAAGATCAGCAATTTTTACCTAAAAAATATTGGAGAGATTGTTCTGGAACAATGGGGAGAGAGCTAGAGGCTGGGATAGCTGTGCTTTTGAGTAAAAATGATTTTCCCATATATTGTGTCTGTACCATATAGGGGATATGTAAGAGGAATCCTAGGACTAATACTACTTACACAGTCAAGGTGGCTGTGGGTCCCCTAAGGGCCCAGAACACAGTGTGGGCACTTTTCATTTTATACTCATACTCATGTTATTTATGGAAAAGTTATGTATCCCCATAGAATGTGTGTGTGGGTAAACATAAAATCAGTGTACCTACTTGTATGTCCTAACCTGCAGTCCTAACCAATGCAGGTTATATTGAGGTGCCAGATGGGTATCTCAGTAGATGTGGGTTGATTGTCCCAAGGTACCTTCCATTTCTGGATAAATCAGCATGGGTCTGGCATGGTGGGAATACCCACTGCAGCTCCTGAAGCATTTGATTGAGGCCCTGGTACTGGCACTAGGCCATTGTGCACAGCTGGAAGTGAGAAGGGGATTGTTATCACAGGACCGAAGCATTCTGAAAACAGTTGAGAATGTTTCTTACATTGGCTGAATTACTACCCTATTCTGCTCTGTTCACATTTGCAAATATAAATATGTAGGCTGTTGATCTAAATGAGCTCTGTTGGCCTAGGTGCCAATACTCCGTCCCTTATTGATATCCTTGTTTGAAAAATATGACTACTTTAGGATTGCTGTTACTAAAACAATTTTGATTATCCAAGGAGTGGGAGGAGGTTCTTGAATGAAATGAGCTCATTCCTTACACTGCCCTCTTTCCCTCCCATTTTTAACAGCTCAGCAGTTCCCCTTCCTTATCTCCCAGCCCCCCACCAGCCTTTGTAACTCAAATGACTGTCTTTTTGTTGGCTGTGTACCAAAGATTGCTGGGTCCTAATGTACATTCTCGCTCCCTGGGGAGGAGGATAAATGGCTGCATCCCCAGGAAAAGTCCCTTACAAGTGGTGATCACAGGTCATTACAGTACCATGACTGAGCTAGCCATGGTTTTCAGTGGCTTAGAGACAGAGAGCCAGACCCCTATACCCATTTATTTCCTTGATGAGGACCAAAACAACAATAAATGTTTTCTATACTGTTTAAATTAAAACCAAATGAACCATTGCAATGGGCAGTTTGGGGGAATTACCTTCTTTCATGCCTTCCCATTAAAATGTTCCAAAATTGGAAAAACTGAGGGTTCTTACTAGTCATGAAGAAATGAATGAATGGCCTTTTGAAATTTAAACTCCTTAGAATTATCCTGCAGAAAAATTGTGCTAATTGACCATGCATGTATTGCCTTATAGTAATGTTCTAATCCGTTTTAAATGCCATCCTTCTGTGTTTACCTTGTTTCTTCTCCTTTAAAACTGAAAACAAGAGATTCTAATCTCTGGCAAAGCTAACCAGAGACCCGCTCCCCTATAATGAGCATTGTGTTGCTAACAGGAAATCTGAAGTCATGATGTCATGATCTAAATTCTCAAAAATCTGAGTAAAAGTGATTATGACCAGAAACTTATATATGGAGGGAAAGTTGATAGTTGGTAGTTGATGTTGCATTTCTCTTGCTGTATGACGTTTGCTTGCTTTTTATGTTGTGTTCTTCTTCTGTAGACTGTGAAGGGGATGTTGGACAATCCTAATGAACCTGTTAGTGACCTCTCTTACTTTGACTGCATTGAGAGTGTGATGGAAAACTCCAAGGTAAGACTGTCTGTACCATAAGTCAGAAGTTAGCATTGCTTGTCAATGTGGGGAGAAGTTTAGACGTGCCTTATGTGCATCTGCCCGTGGCTGGTCTGCAGGGCTAGCCGCATGTAGCATGAAGCCTTGTGGAGCCCTTTGCTCAGGAGCTTCTCAAACTTGAGGGTGCATCAGAATCACCTGGAGGGCTTGTTAAATACAGATTGCCTACCCCCAAGTTTCTGTTTCAGTAGATCTGAGATGAAGCTGAGATTCTACATTTCAGACTATCTCCCAGGTCCTGCCCTTGTGGTCCAGGAACCATACTTTGAGAACCCTTTCGTCTCTTTTTTCACAACTGGGTCTTATTGTGAGTCAAATCGTGTATTTTCTACACTGGAACTGATTTGGAAAGTCCTTCAGTGACTTGACTTACGTGGGATCCTCTTGTGTGTTCTTTTGCAATCTATTCATGGCATGCATTCTCAAGGAGGGTGAAATTGTTTTGTTTTGGTAGGATGTTGGAGAGGTGTTGAAAAAATTTAAGTTAATGTAATGGCTTGTTACCCTGCTCCTATCTTAAGCTTACTCAACGAAATGTTGTTCTTTGGTATTTGATTAGGAAAAAAAAACTTAAATGGCTCCTTAGTGGAACAATAATGAAAAAAACAAACAAACTGTTGAGAAACACTCCTCTGTAGTAATCGTACCAATGTGTTTTGAGAATGTGAAAATTTCACCTTCATCAGATGAATGGATGTCGAGTTGTTGCAAGCTGGCTTTGTAGCTGGAACATGGTTACTTTTATTCTAGCAGGGAAACATCTGTATTGGTAGTGTCAGAAGGACTCAGTTTGATTTAGGCTAAAACCAGAATATCCTCATCCAGTACCTTTTATGGAATTATGATTGTCTAAGGGAAGGATGTGTACACACTCAGATCTAAAGAAATGGTTCCTTCTTAAAGAGGAATGTGAGCTTAGGAGGGAGGGAGAAATAGTGTACATGAAACTACCCTCTACCTTCTTTTTTTTTTTTTTTTTTTGGCAAGTCCTTATGTAAACTGGATTATTTTGTATATCTAAGCAATTTTAGGAAATTTATTCCCTTCCAAGATGGCTTATTTACAAATGGTCTCTGCTTTGGGTTCTAGACCTGGCAATACCATAGTCTCTCCAAAGGGTAAGACATCCTTCAGTTCCATCATTGTTGCCCAGGAAAATATGACCAGCCCTCCTGGGACATAGTGAGGGAACATCAGATTCGCATCGTGCACCCTGTACCTGCCCATGTGACCTTCACTGTGACCTTGTACAGGATGCGTGACCACTCTGGATTGGATTCTGAACACTAAAATCTCTTTTAGCTGTTATTGTAAAGATCTCTGAAGAAAGAACACACCATACCAGCGATTTTCAAAATAAGGCAAAATTCTTATAGTTTTCAGGAAACACACTTAACAAAGATCTCTATTTAAATTTTATTGTCAGTAACTAGACAAATGATATCTGGAAGGGTGAGTCTCCTGCTTTCTGTTTATGACCTCACCTACAGCTCAGTGGATATGATTTTTATATTCTAGGAACTAGTTCTCAGTTTAGACCGTTCACCTATGAGTTGCCTTTTATAGACTCTACTATATAGTCTGTGTATATTAACTGTAACTCCTTGGAATATAGATAACTTTGGGGTTATACTTTCATTGTACATATCTCTTTGTGGAATGGAAATGATGTAATTCTCTTCCATCTCTTCTTAATACAAATAAAGGAGAAAATGTCAAATGTTCCAAATTCAGTTGCCTTGAATGTTAAAGTTGGAGTGTAGCCTCTTTTACCCCTTGGTTTGAGGCAATGCTGGATAGAGAATGTTGCTGGCCGTTTGTTTTGCAGGTTCTGGGTGAATCGATGGCAGGGATTTCACAGAATGCCAAGACTGGGGACCTCCCTGCCTTTGGGGAATGTGTGGGGATTGCATCCAAGGCTCTCTGTGGACTGACAGAGGCCGCAGCCCAGGTAAGGGGCTGGTCCTGATACACCTATGTGCCCTGTGCCAGATCCCTGTGGGAGGTGCGGGGGAACTCCAGCTGCACCTGTTTCTCCAAGTACCACCACAGAAACCATGGGAAAGACAGTGGCTTCTGTGCTGGCTGGGGCATTTACACAAAACATGAGCCAGTTACCCCCCAGGAACAGAGCAGCCATGGGCCAGGCTGGGGAGCACGGCGAGACTCAGTACAGACCCAGCATATAGGTTCAGAGGCCAACATTTCAATTGTTTTAAAAGTTTTTATTATAGATGAGTTGTTTGGGGTAGAAAAATAAGCACTAAATAATTTAAATTTGCTGAGGCTTTAGAAATGCAAAACTCTTTCATCATGCTCTTTTTAGAATCAGAGAGAGAAAAAAATTAGATGCCATCATGCAGAGAAATGATACGGCACATTCCTTGCCCTTCTTTGACTATCCTATGTATTTTCAATGATGATTGACCTCCTATGACAGAAGCTTCAAAGATGTCAGCATCTACTTTAACGGGTTCATCATTTGACAATTACCTTGAACTTAGAAGATTTTACTGAACCACAGAGAAACATTACTAGTTTAGGGGATGAAATTCTCTACCTTCATCCTTCCCCTCAGATCTCAGGGGAAATGAAATAAGATAAAATTCCTGTGCACAGATTCATTTTTTCTCTTTTATTTGGCTGACACATCTAAACGGAATTGCAAAGAGAAGACCTTCCTTTGTGCCCTCTTGTCCTCTTGGGAACCAAATGCTGTCTCTTTTGTTGTTGTTTTTTTCTGGGCCATCTTACTCAATTACAAAATTAAGATCCCTTCTGCTATTGAAAATACTGACCTAAGCAATAAGGACATGCTTCGGTAAGCTATGAGATGAGGAACCCTAGGACAGGGCAGGCTCCAAAGTTGGCTGACCCAGCAGCCCCACGCCATTGGTCTGCATGCACCCACTGTTTTCTGCCTCTCCTGTCTGCCAGCCAAAGAGTCAGCTTCATTCTGAGGCTGGGCAGCCTCGTGATCACAAGACAGCTGCCAGAGTAGTCAGGGCTGTGTCCATCCTTATCCATGCCCCCAAAGAAGAATTTCTTGAGGCTCTCTCCTAAGAACAAGGAGACTTTGTTCCATGAGCTTGTGATAAACTCCTGCTGGCATGTCAAGCTGGCATAAGCCTGTTCATTACTACACCCTTATTGGTGAGTGGGATGAGATGACCTTGACCAGTTTGAACTAAGCAGTGCCTGAGTGTGACAGCAGCATATATAGTGTGGACCATCATCCCCGACAGGCTCACGTGGTAGCATAGAGCCTGAGCTGTGGTTTTTCTCTTCCCTTTCTAGGCTGCATACTTGGTTGGCATCTCTGATCCAAACAGCCAGGCAGGCCACCAGGGCCTAGTGGACCCCATCCAGTTTGCCAGGGCTAACCAGGCCATCCAGATGGCATGCCAGAACTTGGTGGACCCTGGCAGCAGCCCATCACAGGTAACTGTTGGGGAGGATGTAAGATTTCAAGCCCTTAAGCAGCTCCTCTAGGTAGGTTGTGGGAGGCTATGAGAAATTCGTAAAGAATCTTGTTCTTTCAGAGCTTGCAAAGGTAGCTAAATGCCAGCACTGTAGATAATGACTTGGGTGGGGACAAATATTGCAAAATATGATGGATCTGGAAATTTGTAAGTACCTTGAAATGGGGTGCCAGAAGGCAAAAGGAGTGAAGTAATCACAGTGAGATTCACAAGGAGTCTTCATTTCAGGGGACATGCATTGAGGGCTTGTTCTGTGCTCAGCTGTAAGGGGTCAGTGTGTGCAGGGCTCCATTTTCTACCTCTTGGCTCTTAGTGTGTTGGGCAAAGTTTGGAAAATGCCATGCATGATGACAGTGCCAGGGATGTGCAAAGGAAGGTGTGATTAATTCTCCAAGGGGGCTGTCGGGGCTCACTTCCCAGAAGGGACGGCCCTGAACCGGGCCTCAAAGTTGGGTAGAATCTGTAGCACAGAAAGAAGCCAGAGTGCCATTTGACGAAGAGCCAGTGTGTGTGACATTCCATAACATGTCTCATACCTGAGTGGCATAGGGTACCGGTCACTTAGTAAAACAGTGTGTACTGAAAGGAAGGAGAAGTGGATGGAATGGGGGTGGCGGAGGCCGTCTTGTTAGTGACATGTCTACCATCAACCTGGGGCCCACATTCTTGAGGCGGGAGAAGGACCTGAACAAAGAAGGAAACACAAGGACCATGTGGACCTAAAGCAGCCCCGAGAGCTGGTGTGTCTGGGAGTCCTTACCCATCCATCAAGGCCAAAGGGGTGTTACCAGCCTCAGCAAAGCAGAACAGGTGGATTCAGGAGAGCAAATGAGTTGAGGCTGGCGGGGTGGAGCCTGTGGAACTTCCTGAGCCAGACACCTCAGTAGATGTCAGCAGCTCTCCCATGGATGAGAAGGGAGCTGTTGCACCTTGATATGTAATTTTCTCATCTGGATCTGGGCTCTACAGTCTGATGGCCACTGGCTACATGTGGCTGTTAAGCACCTGAAATGGAACTAGTCTGAATTGCGATGGGTTGTGAATATGCAGTACACCCTGAATTTCAAAGACTTGGTATGAAAAAAGATGATAAAATCTCAGTAATATTTTTAAATTGATTATATGATGAAATTTTTGGATATACCAAGTTAAATAGAAGAAATTATTTCATTAATTTCTCTTGTTTCTCTACTTACTTTAAGGTGACTACTAGAAAACTTAAAATTGTGTATGTGTAAACCTTGGTCTAGATTCTACACCCTGGACCTCCTATGTGGGATTCCAAAGGCTAACTGATTACATCTCCTTTAAGACTACGTGGGGCTCAGCCTATCCCACCACTATATCAGCACCTTCTTTTTTCTTGTTCTTTCTTTATTATCTTTGCTTAACATTTCTTGCCCTCCTCTTTCTTGGAGTGACTTTGAGGGTGGCAGAACTAGACATGCTTGTAATTACATAGGCTCTGAACATGTGAGTTGAACAGGAACCCAGGGCCGAGGACCAGGGTGGACCCCTCTGCACTGTAGCATGGGGTACCCCCAACCTAGCTCCATGCTTTGTAGGTCCTGTCAGCTGCCACCATTGTTGCCAAGCACACATCAGCCTTGTGCAATGCCTGCCGCATCGCCTCATCCAAGACGGCCAACCCAGTAGCCAAGAGGCACTTTGTCCAGTCAGCCAAGGAAGTCGCCAACAGCACTGCCAACCTGGTGAAGACCATCAAGGTAGGTAGCTGGATTATAGGCCTTATTCAACTCCTGTTCCGGAGCGGGAAGGGGAACAAGATTTAAGCTCTGCTCCTCTCCTTGGCTAGTGAAGCTTAACTTCTAATTCAGTCTTATGGTTTATGTCACTGAAGAGGCATCCCTTACTAATGGAGATACTCTTCATAAAAAACCAACAGCCTTGCCCTTTACTAACCTTTTAGCTGGTGGGGAAGGAAGCCTCCCAAATTCTGTACATGAGGAGCTTAGGGACAGAACTCTGATGGGAAAGGATTGGTTATAGGGCCTCTGTTAGCGTTATGCTTGTGTAGCAAATACTGTGATTTTACTTAAACGATATGTTTACTTTTGGCGTTTTTGGGTAGGCTGGTAGAGGGCTCTCTCATTGTTGCTGGATATATCTGGACCAAGAGAGTCGGTAGAAGGAGAAGGGAATGGGAAATTTTGGAAAAATCACTTAAAACATTTTCATCGTAACTGTGATATTAATTCTGTTTATAGCTGTTTGAATTTTTTAAGTGGAGCATCAACTTCAAAATAGAGCCTCTGGTGTTTGTAGCAAATTCACCTTTGCATTAAGGTATATGGGGATGTGGCGGGCAGGCAGGGTTCACTTGCAAGAAGCAAGTGGGAATCACTAGGCCGTAGTACTTGTAGATGGGTGATGAAGCCACAAACACAGTCTGCCCTCAGCCGGGACCAAGCAGGCAGCAGGCAGCTGGCCTGTGGGAACACAGCCACAGCCTGGACAACAGACCACAGGCAGAAGGCCCAGCACCATCTCCCCAGCTCCCTCCACAGCCCCAGCCTTCAAAGGAGCATTGTCATGGGAGGCAGGATACCAGTTCTGTGTTAAACCCTGGACGCCACTAAAGGGAAAGACATTGAAGGAGTTAACACTTTTTACTTCAGGGTTTTGTGTTCATTCAGATGGGAGGGTTGGCTTTACTGCTGGGACAAGTCCTAGAGGAAGAGGTTTTCCCAGTTCTCTCCAGAGGATAGGACACTGCACACCTCACTTTATTTTGACGACAAAAAACCAGTGCAATTGTATGCAGAAATTAGTCAACAGGATGACCGAGTAGAGGCAAAAGGAGAGAACACCCAGCCCAGCACCAGCTGGAAGCTGGCGGTCAGCACATGGGGCTCGCACCCCAGTCAGCAGCTTCTTAGCTATTGAAACAAAGAGTCTTTTTTAAGAAATGAGCAAACAAAAACCCCTCCCTATTTGAAGGCAAGAGTAAGCTCAGTTGAAAATGAATAAAGCCAGTGTCCAGGTGCCCCCATGATCCTGGTGGCAGGTTACCTGAATTACCCTCGTAGTTCACAGTAATTAGGAAGTAATAAAGCTTACATTTACAAACGTGTATTTGGTGCTTTGGGTATGTTACTCGTTCACTCCATACAACCACCCTGTGCTTACCCCATTTTACAGGTGGGAACCTGAGGCACAAAGAGGTTAAGTAACTTTACCAAGGTGACCCAGCCAGGAAGTGGTAGGGCAGAATTCAAACCCAGGCCCCAGAGCCCCTGCTTTCATCCCTGGCGTGCTGTTCACCTCTTGGGATGGAGAGACAAAGTCATCTCTCCAGCCTGGGAAGAAAGACCTTGCTGTGTTTGCAGGGCTTGTATGTGAGTCTGGGGAGGTGAGGGTGGAAAGAGCAACAGAGTTGACAGCAGTGACATCGTTGGTTGCTGTGTAATGAGCTTGTCTCAGTTAAAATCGATCATTTTCTGGTTGTTAAAAAACATTATATTTAGATGGACCAATGGGGTAAAAAAAAGGAAAGACACTCTTTATTCTGTAGAAATTCCTGGAGCCCTTTCTTGTCTGCCTCCTCTTCGGTTTTAAATCCTGACCTATCTCTATATAAAGCATCTCTGTTAAGATCTCATGTTCTTTTCAGATTCTCCTCACAGTGTCAAACCCTCTTTGCAATTCCCTGCAGCAAATGAGCTCTTGTGATGGCCTAAAAGATAGGCCTGTACAGAACATCAGAGGAGGAATGTCGGGGGGTTGTAACGTGGAAAAGATAAAGGCCTCTGTCTCCTGGAGCACCCCGGGAACGAGGAGCAATGCAAGAGGAACAGAAATGAACATGTTGCCCCTCAGCGTGTGGAAATGGGCCTGGTTTTTCAATTCCCATCGTGTGGCAGGGTTTGCTGGAAGCCATGAGCTTTGCTTTTAATTTACTAACAGGAAAGTGGTAAAGGTCGTTTCACTGTAGCACATGGTACTATATACTGAACATTTTCCTGTTTGAAGGAATGGTTATGTATTCTCTCAAACAGAAAAACAAATGAATATTTAATTCCCTAAGTGCTTAAGACAGCTGCCCTCATAGCTGCATATTACTCTTAAGTTTTATGTGCTGCTTAATGCTGTTTTTTTTCTTTTAACCATGAGGATGTGCCCGAGCCTAAATCTCAGCTGCCACACCCTTATAGTCATGAAGAAGGGAGGGGAGCCACCAGGAGAAGCACGAGGGGGCAGGAGCAGATTACCTCACACAGTGGCTCATTAGCATCAGTCACTACTGATGGCACTCTGTAAAATCCCAGAGCAGGGCTGCATGAGAATCCATTTCTGTGTTTCTGCCTTCTGCCAGGGATGGCTCTAAATGCTGGGTATGGTAGAAAGATGCACACCCCTAACCACAACGGCTGTGTCTCCGAGTCACCACGCACTCTGTTGTCTGCCTTTCTCTCTTCATTCAGCTCATTACCTAGTCTTGAATCAGATGTGTGGAATGGAATGTTATTTTAAATGTGCAGTCACTCACATTTGAGTGCCAAGTAGAAATTATGCAACAGCAGCATTTGTTTTTCTGAGAAGTTGAAGTTTGGCCTTGCCCCTCACAGCAGAGTTAAAGTTCGGGGTTTTTGCAGTTAAGCACTTTCAGTGTGTACCACAGACACCCGATCCAGCTCTCTTTAATCGAATTTGACTTGGCCGTGAGTATGCTTTCTTGGTCATCCCTATGTTTGGATTGGGAAAGTGGTTTCTTTAAAAGGAAAAGGAAAAAGGCTCTTGGGCTTTTTACTGCTTGTTCTGTTGCCTTTGTCTAAGGTCAGCAGGAGAGAAGGGAGCCAGGAGGCTCGCATCATTGTTTGAGGCATGCCAGTGAGTAGCAAGGTGACCTTGTCAAGTCATGTCACTTTCCAGGTGCTGGTTTTATTGTCTGGAGAATTGGGGGTTTAAGCTTCAACTGTCCTTAGGGTCCCCTCTAATCCCCGAAGTTCGTGAATCTTTGATTTTATGCATTCACAGAAATTGTTTCTTCCAGGTCTCCATGGTATTTTGCTAAGGGGGAACACTTGGAGCAGGCTCCGGGTTTGGAAGTGTTCTTGTCCTGGTGGGGCCTGGATATATGGCTAAGTAAATTTACCCTTTCATCATTATGGCTGGTATGCCAGACGTTCTGTGACACGGAAACTCTCATGCTTGAAATTTCACCATTGGGCAGCTTTGAGTATTCAGTTCACTTGAGTGGCTCTGCTGTGCCCAATGGAAGCAGAGTTTAGAGTGAAATAATACCTGTGCAAACTATCCTTTCTGATGCCGGATGCCTTCTTTGGATGAAGTAACTTGTCCTTTTTGAGAATGGAAGATGATTGCTGTAGCTTGCTATTCTAGGTCATGTTATTCAAGGCTCTGACCTGCAAATAGCAATGGGCTATATGTTAATATGATTTTAAGGCCTATGCTCAAAACAAAAGCCCCAAACAAACAAACAAAAACCCCATCTTTATTCTAGTAGTGCTGTCTTTGAAACCTACACAATTAGAAAACCATTCCTTGAGATTTCCCTTGAGTAGAGTCATCTTTTCAGTTTGAAGAAGTTCAGCTTAGGGTTGGTGGCTTGATTGGCTGCCCTTCTTCCCAATAGACTGAGAGGTTGTGGGAGCAGAAAGGGGAAGAGAAAAGCGTGGAGAGGTAAGAAGCAGGAAGGGGAAGCAGCACCAAGGGAAGGCTGAGCATCTCCTGTTAAGCTAGAAGTTGTGTGATCCCAGCTGAAAGAATATGATTGGAGAAAGCCATGTATCCACTGGTGGGGCTGGGACCTGAGTTTCTTCCACTCCAAAGTCCACTCTTGCAATCAGCTTGCTTCACTCCTTTGCCTATGTTTGGGTCCACCTGTGTCAGGCACCTGCTGAGGGGCACCCACCCTACCTGGCACTGGTGTTCTCAAATTGCCCTGAAGTCTGGTAAATCCTGACCTCCAGGGATCTACCAAACTTCAGAGCAATATTAACAGTGCAACAAGATCAGAGTGCCAGGGTGGTCCACTTCTACCTGGCCAGTGCCGGCAACATAAATCAACGTTTACCAAGTATGTCAGTGGTAGTGAGAAATGAGGTTTAAATGTGAGCAAGAAGTAGCCAGTGTGCAAGGGTTTCCATCGGGCCTGGAAGAATGACAGAACTGGAGAGGTGAGAGTAGGGTCAGGGCCTGTCTGATGGGGGAAGGGCATGAGCCAAGGCGAGCCAGGCACTGTATTAGCAAAAAACAATAAATTAGCCAGGCTTGCGGGAATTCCTCTGAAAATATTAACATTGTGGGTATGTAATTACTGTCCCAAGCTGCCAAGGCTTGATTGGAATGTAGTTGTTATTCAGAAATGGCCTTCAAACCAACGGTGCCTGCCTCCTCTTGCTTTACTGGAAAACAGAAATGCTCCCATCTCAGGTCTGCTATGCTTGGTGATGCCAGTGCCCCTGTTTTTTTGATCCCAGTTGTCTAAATTGGCTTTATATGTTGCTCTTAAGGGTTAAGTTAAAAGGTTCATTGGTCATTTAACAAGGAAATTTGCGTTCTTCTGCAAACATAACTGCCTTCTCAAGGGTAGCCTTTTGCTGGGAGGGAGGGTTTCTGTCCTTGGATCACAGGCTGTAGGTTCTAACAGCCTTGATCCTGAGGAGGTAGAGTCCAGGGCTGGGAACCTCATCGAAGTGTTAACCCTTTGTGAGGCAGTCTGGCATGGATCACAGGCCACATTCCTGGATTCTCATCCATCCAGGCCATAAATCAGCAATAGGCCTGATCACTCAATGCCATTGTGTTACCTGCTGTTGGTTTTGTTTTGTATTGTTTTTTAATTATGAAGCGTAAGATACATAGAGAGAAAACACGTTGTGTGTAGAGTCCAGTGAATTTTCTCCAGTGGAACACACTTTGGTAACTCTAGCCAGATTAAGAAACAGAATGTTACTGGCACACAGAAACTTTCCTTGTGCTTTCTCTGGTCTTATCTGCTCTTCTCACACGCTAGATTAGGAGGGCCACCTGTGTTTGCACTTGGTACTAATGGAATTGTACAGGAGGTACCCATTTGTGGGTGGCCTGTTTTGTTAAATATTATGTTTGAGATTTGTTTGTATGGCTGGGGATAGTTCTTGTCTATTCCTTCCCATTGGATTCCACTGTGTTCATTTCCAAATGATGACAGTTATGCCCACCTTGCCTGCATCGGTCATTAGGGAACATCCGGGTAAAACTTAGAAAAACTTAAAAGTACTGCTTTAAAATACAATAAAGTATGTTTATTGTTTGGAAGAGAATAGATTTAATCTGAGTAAAATGAAGGCGAAGATCCGAAGGATTCTAGTCTCAGAAGTGAGGAGGAAAGTCGTTCCGCTGCATGGTCTGGTGCAGGGGGTCACGGGGCGTCGAAGAGCAGGCTGCTGTTTAAATCTGTGTCTCTGTTTCCTGGGAGGGGGACATTGACTGTGGAGGCCGTTGTCTTGTGAGCTACCCATTTATCTTTAATTCTTCACAACTGCTAACGGGGCCCCTCTGCTTGATGGCGGGGGTCTCTTTAATCAGTTCTTATTTATTGGTTATGAAGTCACCAAACATTTTCAGTGTTCCCATTGAACCACCTTCTTTCACTCAGAGATGATTCCTGTGGTTCAGGAATGACTTGTGCTTCTCAATCAGGCAGAATCTCTGTGTTTTGCCCCATCAGGCCCTGGATGGGGATTTCTCTGAAGAAAACCGCAGTAAGTGTCGCATGGCCACCGCACCCTTGATTGAAGCTGTGGAGAACCTGACGGCGTTCGCCTCGAACCCTGAGTTTGTCAGCATTCCCGCCCAGATCAGCTCCGAGGTAGGGTGTTTGTGCAGGAAGATCACACTAAGGTCTTTGGCTAACTCTGTGTGGCACCGAATGAGTTAATAGTCAAAACTCCAAAAGCTCTTTCTGTCAATATGTCTGCGACTGTTACTTTTGTCCCCCATGGCATGTGCACAGTGAGTGAAACACAGTGACTCCACCTCTCTTGAGAGATGACGTATATGTAGAGAACAATCTTACTGCCTAGGTTTGGGGTGATTCTTGGAATGTGTCACGCTCAAAAATGCTAGTTAAGGGGCAAACATGGGTTTAAGTCCCCACCGTGCAGACCCCGGGTTATCTAGTCTTCATGGTTCCCTGCCCTCTTTGTCTCCTTCAAAGGGCCGAGGTGGTGATTTGGCAAAGAACAGGACCTTTCAGGGCCCACCTCATTCACTCGTTTCTTCGACCCTGACTTTGATTTCTCTGCCGTTTGGTCTCAGGGTTCCCAGGCACAGGAACCAATCCTGGTTTCAGCCAAGACCATGCTGGAGAGTTCATCGTACCTCATTCGCACTGCACGCTCTCTGGCCATCAACCCCAAAGACCCACCCACCTGGTCTGTGCTGGCTGGACATTCCCATACAGTGTCCGACTCCATCAAGAGCCTCATCACTTCTATCAGGTCAGTTTCCCATCCGGAGGTTGCTGCCAGCCTGCATCTCAGCGGGGCAGGAGGAGGACAAGCCCACCAGGCTTTATCCTTAATAGTGATGTTGTTGATCATTATCATCGTTTTCTTTATCTCTTTGGGGCCAGAAGCACTGGTCACAATAGTAATTGCTAACTTAAGTACTTACCATATACCAAATACTACTCCAAGTGTTTTATCTGTATTACTTTATTTGAACATCACAACAGTCTTGTAAGGTACCATTGTCATTATTTCCATTGTACCGATGAATAAGTTTAGGCAGAAAAATTTGGGTAATATCCCCAAGGTCACCGTAAGGCCCAATGGCTGTCTAATCACTGTACCACATTGTCTGTATCTAGGAGTTTAGGCATTGAGCACCATTGTTATTTAGCAGGATTCGGGGTTGCAGTTAGTTTGCTAATAAGACAAAGAATATTCTAGGGCCTGCAGTAACTCTGAGCATCTCTGACCTCCTTGGTGATAGTGGGAGCCTAAAAAGACATCCCCAAATAGACATAACATTTCTGAAGTTAGCCAGTTAATACCTCACAGCATGAAATTCATCTTCCTTAATTATATTTTGCTTCCTAGTTGCTTTTGAAGCTCAAAACCACAGTTAACTTTATTTCTTAATGGCTTGCAAAGAAAAATTCACTACATGTTTTAGTTCCTACTATAGCCCAGGACTTTGTGACTCGTATGCAATGTAGAAAGCATAATACGTTTGCACTGGAAATAGTGCTGACTTTTTTTTTAAATAAAGAGTCCTGTGCTTAAGCCAGTGAATAGAGAATCCAAGTCCAAATTGCTCCCGTTGCAGTTGCCTGTTATCAGCCTAAGGTGGAGGGCAGGACCATATTCTTTCCACCAGAAATAAGTAGAGTTATCTGAAGTGTTAAATTAAGGAATGCATGGGCTGTGCAGTGAGACATTGCCAACCAAGGGTCAGGGATTCCTCCTGAAAGGAGGTGACTGAGTCAGGGAGGAAGTGGACAGGGATCCTGGCCCACCAGTGCTGGAGCAGGCTGTGGGACTTGAGCCCCAGGGAGCTTGTGTCCAACTTGCACTGTTCCTTCCAGGGACAAGGCCCCTGGACAGAGGGAGTGTGATTACTCCATCGATGGCATCAACCGGTGCATCCGGGACATCGAGCAGGCCTCGCTGGCTGCTGTCAGCCAGAGCCTGGCCACAAGGGACGACATCTCTGTGGAGGTAAGCTGGAAATCTGGGGGCCTGCTTAGCAGCCTCTAGATATGTTGAAAAATCTCAGCATCAGACTTGGAGGGGTAGAGGTTGTGGGTCCAAAATGTTTCTGTTCCTGGAGTTTCATCATTAGACAGCCATTCTCTGTGGAGCCAATCTGGGAACTTTTTGGAGAGGGTAGGGCGGATGCCAAGTAGAGAAGGGTGACTTAGGGGAAGGAATACCTGTACTGGGATGGAAAGTTGAATTGTGGCTGAAATTGGGAGGGAAAATATCAATATCAAGGTAATTTAGGGGTTAGGTGGGTACCGTGTTTGTTTTAACACATCAGTAGAGTGGACCTAGGTATGTAAATAGTGAATAATTCTCTGTTGTCATATTTCATCAGTGTGCTTTTTAGTTAATTGGCAAATTCAGCATTAAACTAATGCATTGGGTCTGTTCAGAGATCAAGGATTCTGCCTTAAGTTATTCAATATCTAGCATTTGAGGACTTTGGCATCCTATTATTAATTTAAAGCCACTTTGCCCTCTCTTGCTTGTTTTTCCAAAGTTTAGAATGGAATTTTCCTACTTTTTCCCTTTGGGTTTTTTTCTGTTACCTGTCCAAAGGTTCCTGACTTTTACTTCTATCTCTACTGAAAGCACAGTGCTTGACATGCAGAAGGTGCTTAATAAATATGGATGGTCTGTTTATTGATGTTTATCTTCCTGCCACTGAATTCATTAACAATCAACTTTCGGCCCAGAGTTAGTATTGCTCATTTTTATTAATAGAGCTGTCTATTTTGCTCCACCTTCACCCTCCTATTTCCAAAAAAAGAAAGAGTAAATTTTCTCAAACTGTGTGGGATGCTAGAATTATTCTTTTGAATCTGTTATTAATGTCCGTATGTATATGCATGCAGACAAGTACAAGTAAGTGTACCACTTGATAAATTATCACCAACTGAACAGGCCTTTCAACCAGCACCCAGATCAAGAAGCAAAGATGAGGCCAGGCACTGTGGCTCACACCTGTAATCCTAGCACTTTGGGAGGCTGAGGCGAATGGATCACTTGAGGTCAGGAGTTCCAGACCAGCCTGGCCAACATGGTGAAACCCCATCTCTACTAAAAGTAGAAAAATTAGCCAGGCGCAGTGGCAGTCACCTGTAATCCCAGCTACTTGGGAGGCTGAGGCAGGAGAATCACTTGAACCTGAGAGGCAAGGTTGCAGTGAGTGAGCCGAGATTGCACTACCACCCTTAAGCCTGGGTGACAGAGCAAGATTCCATCTTTTAAAAAAAAAAAAAAAAGTAGCAAAGATGACCAGCACCCCAGAAGCCCCCCTCATCCCCTATCCTTTCACCATATCCTCCCCCAGCCAGTACATCTCCTGTTTGAACTCCCTCACTAGGAAGAGAGCCCTTCCCCTTTAACTGCATGTGCTCCCTAATCATACACCCTGTTTAATTTAACAAACCATCTGTAATAAGACAGCACTGTTGGAATATTCTTGCATTCTTGACTATAATCACATTATGAATATGAAGATAATAAGTAATTAGCTAAATAAAACCCTTGGCCGTCTTGGAAGTTTCTCTTTGCCCGCTCCCATCTGTCTCTATTTCTCTTTTTCCTTTTCTTTTTCTTTCTCCAGGGTTTTGTTTTCAAGTTTGCATGTTAGTCTGCTCCTCTTGTTGAGGACACTCTGCCCACATCCCCGCTGGCCCATAGGCAGCATTGTTCTGTGGGAAAGTAGCAAAGGCTAGAGTCTCATTTCTGATGAGCAGGACATCGCCACTTCGGCGGAGTTCACTCAGTTCCATGCTGGTGTGTGCAGTCCTAAAACGCCCGGTGCTCTGATGCATTAATCCTGCATCTATCAGTGAAGCTCCTATGAATAGTCCTGCAAAGGGATCTGATCTTTCCTGCCACTGGCTGGGAATCTCCACCTTTGAATCTCCCATCCCCCACACTCTCAGAATCATCTAGATATCTTGCTGTCTCTTTAGAGCATGATTCAATTCTTTGGGGGTGGAGAGATTAAACCATCTCTCAAGCCTGAGAAGAAAGGCCCTGAGGGCACCGTTTTAAATATTTGCATATGCACCACCAAACACAGTGGACTGAGCATTTTCACAGTGCACTGTTTGGGAAGTAGTCCTGCTTTCAAGGAGCTAATCTCATTTTTATGTCACTCTCCCTCCTTAAGGGGTTCTTAGTTCTGAGAATACAGCGACCCGGATGTTCCCTCAGACCCCTCCATTATCTCCCTGCATTTGGAAGAAGTTGTCGTTTTGGAAAGCCATGACTGTTCCGCATGTCTGCTAATTACATCAAGGAACCTAAAGTAAAGATACCAGTAGCGTCAGTTGTCAGGGTTGACAGGAGCAAGAAGCCAGTTGCAAAAGTGTGTCTCAGGCCTGCTTCTTCTCTCTCTCTCTGGAGGAGTCATCACTGAGAAGGTCAGGGCAGGGCGCAGTGGCTTGATGGCACACACCCAGGCATTTTGGTGTCTGCTTTGTATGGCCTCACTCGTTTTTCAGAGGGGACTTTTTGAATCAGTGCAGCTCTGTGGGGAGCTGTTATGGGATGAACTTGACGCTTCTCTCCTTATCAGGCCCTGCAGGAGCAGCTGACTTCGGTGGTCCAGGAAATCGGGCACCTTATTGATCCCATCGCCACAGCGGCTCGGGGAGAAGCAGCTCAGCTGGGACATAAGGTAATGCACACCGAGGGGATCCTGTGAGGGTGTGCGTGTGATCACAGGAGAGAGGATTTTACTGACTTTACTGTTATCATTCCCAAAAGCCTGTGGTGCAAGTATTGTGCCTGAGTCCAATGCTGGTTTAAGCTGCAGAAAATAACACTGAACCTCTCTCTGGCATCCTTTCCAGAAATGATCAGTTCAGGCTCTATTTTTACCTAGAGTTCAGAAGAAAACTTCAGTACAGTTTTTCTGGTTGTGGCCAGAGACGTAATTTGGCATTTACAGTCGTCCGTTGCAATTGGCCTTTGCTGAAAGAAGCCAGAGACTGAAGCAGACACTCCCAGCCTGGAGTCTGCCACCTCTGGCTGGCTGGCCGGCCAGCCCCATTCTGGTGTGTTTAAGGGTACATTATTCTTTTGTGGTTTCTAACATAGTGTCTACTCTTTGACATAATGAGGCAAAGCAGACCTCTCTGGATGACCAAACGCTCCCTAGGTGTCCACTCCAGGGGAGCCATTCGGCTGGCGGTTCATACCCACATTGTCTTAAGAGCCAAATGACGTTTTGCCTGGTTGGGGTTCATTTTGCAGATTCTTCAAGGGCAGTTGGCTTGTTGTGCAACCTGTGCCTCAATAGGGAGAGGCCAGAAATTGGATTTTTAACCACCTTGGGTTTCCTAGTGCGGCCATCAGTATAGATGTACATAGGAAGAAATATAGTAGCCAAAATCTTCTTGGCAAGTATCGACTTTAGAAAATCAATATTCATTGCTTTTTCAAATTACAGAATAGCTTAAGGGCCTACTCACCTTCCCACTGGTTCCAAGGAGGGATTTTTAAGATTTGAAATCTCAAAGGCCAGTGTCTGTTTGCCTTTTTAAGTGTGGCATATTTCATTTCTTTTTCTTCTCTTCTCCTCTCTTTTCTTCTCCTCTCTTCTCTTCTCCTCTCTTTTCCTCTCCTCCCCTCCCCTCTCCTCTTCTTTGTGAGACGGAGCTTTGCTCTTGTTGCCCAGGCTGGAGTGCAATGGCGCGATCTCAGGTCACCACAACCTCTGCCTCCCAGGTTCAATTGATTCTCCTGCCTCGGCCTCCCGAGTAGCTGGGATTACAGGCATGTGCCACCACGCCCAGCTAATTTTTATATTATTAGTAGAGATGGGGTTTCTCCATGTTGGTCAGGCTGGTCTCAAACTCCCAACCTCAGGTGACCCACCCGCCTCGGCCTCCCAGAGTGCTGGAATTACAGGCGTGAGCCACCGCGCCCAGCCAGCATATTTCATTTCTTAGCTGTTTCTTTATATGGCAATTAGAAAAGGGCTTGTCCATCTGTGTGAAGAGGTTTGCAGGGGTAGGAGAATGGTCTGGACACTGGGGCCACTGCCTGTGTGCCCATAAGGGAAACTGAGTTTAGAAGAGAAGCTGGACGTTTTTTCAGCAGTTACTTTTTATTCCAGAACTTTTGTAATAAAACATTTCTGGATGTCTTTAGAGGACAATACCCATGTCTCTGCGGATACTTCATTAGTATACAAGATTAATTCCTATGTTACTGGTTAGCATAATGCAATTATGTTACTTGACTTATAAATTTACTCTTGGCCCTTGGGCTGATCCATCTCTTACCTTCTAACAGAGAGTTTTGGACAGAGGCAGTCTGTGGGCCCTCTATCCCGAAGAGCCGTGGACTGGGAGTTCACACCCACATTTTCCCCAAGGCTTCATTGCAGTGCTCATGGGGGGCCCCAGATCAGCAGCTTCAGCAGCACCTGGGAGTGATAAGAAATGCAAATTCTCAGACCCCAGCTGTGTTCATGAAGTTCTGTGGCTTGAAACAACAGAAATTTATTCTCTCATCCAAAGTCTAAAATCAGGTGCTGGCAGGGCCGTGCTCCCTCTGGAGGCTGTAGAGTAGATTCCCTAGAGAATCTGTTCTTTGCTGCTTCTGTCTTCCTGTGACTCCTGGCACTCCTTGACTATCACACTGATCCCTGCGTCCATAATCACGTTGTCACCTGCTCCTCTGTGTCTCTTCTATCTCTTAGATGGACACTTGTTACTGGATTTAGAGCCCACCCAGCTAATCCAGGACATTCGCATTTCAAGATCCTTAAATGCACCTGCAAGCAGCCTTTTTCCACATGAGATCACATTCCCAGGTTGCAGGGATTTGAATATGGACATATCTTTTGAGGGATCACCATTCAATCCACTGTGTCCCTTGACCTAGGAATGAACATCATGTACCAAATACTCAAAATTCTGTTATTTTAATGCACGTGCTAACCCAAGGGAGGATGTTTCCTGTTCTGTCATGTCCAAGAACTAAAGGTGTTAAAGTCCTTGCTAAGCTCCCTAAATACAGAGAAAAGCACATGACTTCAGAAAGCTTTGCCTGTAGTATGTGAGCACCTAGCCTTCAGTGAGTGCTTCCTATGTGGCAGTTAGCGTGGTGAAGGGCTTTCATGTACACTAATCCTCCTACCAGTCCTGATGAACTCTCAGTGCTATTATTAATCCCCATGTTACAGATGAGGAAAGTGAAGGGGAGCGATTAGAACACTTTGCTAAATATTTCTCAGTAAGGAATTGGCAGGGAAGATTCAAATCCAGTGATTCTGAAGCCAGAGCTGACGTCCTCCATGGCCCAGCCATGCTATCTCCATGGGGAAACTGGGCTCCCGTTTAGTTATTGCGTTTAATGATTCTCAGCACACAGCAGCCGCTGACATTTGACAGTTGCATTGATGAAATATACTTTTAAAATAATAAAATTAACCTAGAAAACATGTAAGATTCTAATGCATTAAACATTTTGACTCCTCCTTTAGGACATAAAGAACCACCCTAAAAGCCTTCAGCCCCGATGACCCCTCAGTGCCCCATTCCCTTTGGTGGTGACACCAGTGCCCTTCCTGGGGATGAGGATGAAATCCATGCAACTGTGTGGAGCTGCTCCCTGTGGTTGTGCAGGCCATGCCCTCCACAAAGGCATTTGGCTGAAGTGGGAAGTAGGGACCAAAATTCAGCCTATGCTCTGCCCTGGCATCACTCATGTCTGCCCAAAGGACCCCTTAAAAATTCACCCAAAGGCTCCCTAAGGGCTGGCAACAGCCCTATTCACCAGATTTAAAACCTCTCGTAAGATAACCATAGAGGGGATAACAATTAAAAATATGCTTATTGTTGGCCAATAATCATGTCTCACTCTTAGCGCTAATTAAGGTTTATTTTTTGGACACATTCCCTCACCTTGCCCTAGTCACCACCCGCCATCATCCTCCTCCCGCTCCTGCTGGCCCAGTGACTGCTTATGTGAGTGGTCTTCCTGTCCACATCCCACAACACTCATCCTTCTAACACGTGATGGGAAGAAGCGTTAAGGGAGGTGCTGGCTAAAGGTTTGAACTTAAGTACTATTGAAGGGCATAATTTAGCCATTCGTCATTACCACACAGAATGAGGCATTGAACAGAAAAGTGTGATTCATGCCATTGTATTTTCTCCGAGTTGAGGATAGATTCTGAGAGGGGATAGATTCTGGTATCGGAAGTGAATATAGCAAAATGTTAAGATCTCATATTCTGATGCCAGGTAGAGGGGCATCCAAACACCAAATGATAAACTTCTAAAAGTGTAGTGCTACAACAGCAGCAGGACTGCAGTCACAATGAAAGTGACGGAGACCACAGACTGTGGCAGCTGAGAGCTGGGGCTGTGGGGTGGGATGCCGCTGTCTCCAGCTCTCAGCTGCATGAGATGGAGCAGGCATCTCAACCCCTTGAAGCCTCGGTATCTTCCTGTGTATCTGCCTCTTAAAGTTATGGAGGCTCGGTGAGGAAATGGATGTTAAACTTTCAGCAGAGAGCCTGGCACAGGGGATGCGCCCACTAGATGTTTGCAACACGTGGCCCACAGCGCCCAGCTGGTAGGCGAGCTTTGGTGAGCATGGATGGATATGCATGGTATCGCCCTCCTGGAAAGGGGCCTGTGCGGAGGCAGTGGTTCCTGTGGGGATAAGCTTTTTTTGTTCTCCCAAGTTGGGCTAATGATAAACAGAGCATCTAGGCTGATGTGAAATCATTTGTGCTTTTTTTCCAAATCAAGGCTTGGTCAAAATGCTCCGGGCAAAAGGCAGTTGGGATTGGCTTCCTACAAAGCTTTTGAAGGTTTCTTTCATCTCCTGCTTTTTTCTGCTCTCCTGCTACCTTATCCTCTTCCACTCCCCCTTCCTCCTGAGTTTGTAAGACGTCTTTGGTTCTTTTAAAAGTTGTTAATTTATAGAAATTGACAGTTTGTAAAATTGAATTCAATTCTCATATCTCGCTCTGGATCTTGGAATGGGTTTCTTAGCACCTCTGCCATATTTAGAGAGATGAAGAACTCCCTGGAGGAAGTAAAAACCAAGAAAGAGTACATTAATTAGCAAGCGCTTTCAGCAGTAAATTGCCACAGATCTGCCTCTGCCTGTGAGTCAGCCCAGTCCTGTTCCCCTCCCGCACCCAACCGTGGAGCCCCTGAAGGAGACACGTGTATTTACATGATACATCTGTGGCTTTTTTATTTTTTTTGAAAGGTGACACAACTGGCAAGCTATTTTGAGCCCTTGATCTTAGCCGCAGTCGGTGTGGCCTCCAAGATTCTTGACCATCAGCAGCAGATGACGGTGCTGGACCAGACCAAGACGCTCGCAGAGTCTGCCTTGCAGATGTTGTACGCAGCCAAAGAAGGTGGCGGAAACCCCAAGGTATGGTCCAGGATTTCGGGGACTCGCTTAGGACCACTAAGAAGCCATCATGCATTCCTGCTGTAATGTGTCCCTCCAGGAAAAAACACTTCCAGTTCTTGTTGGTGGCATTTGAGCTCCCACTCTGAGGTCGGAAATAATCTATTGGCCTTCCCAGGGTTCTTAGGGAGGAAACGAAGAAATATACATAAAAGTTATTTTTTTCTTGACAGAATGTGTAGACAAGTATCCTTGGGGAGGAAAAATGTATGGTGTGATGATGACAGGAATGAAAACTGTAATGCTTGCTGGGTCCCTGCTCAGCACTGACACCCAGCTTGCACAAAGGAATGCTCTATTGTGCTCCAGTAAATGTCATTTCGATTCCTAGTACTTAAGAGACTGCAGTTTAATATACAAATCTCCCATACCAGTGGCCAAGTATGATGACAGCCTGTCATAGGAGACCTTGCGCCACATTTTACTCTGAACTTGGGAAGTGCAGAAAAGAGAACAGCATATGCAAAGTCATAGGTAGATTTATTAAAGGGTTGTGATTTCTTCAGGAATAGTGAGTGGTCTGGTCTATCTGGAACATGTGAAGTTGGGGGACCACCAGGCAGGAGGATGAACTAGGCTGCAGGGTGACAGGTCTCTTCCACATTACGGACTTCGGTCTTCATTGTAAGTAGTGGGGAGCCATTGGTGGTCTTTAAGCAGGGGAGTAGCACAACCAGTCCTTATTTTAGAAACATTGAACTAGTAGCAGTGTGAATAATGTCATGGACTTTCCTTTTCTTTTCTTGAGATAATGTCTCACTATATTGCCCAGGCTGGTCACGAATTCGTGGCCTCATGCCTTCTTCCTGCCTCAGCCTCCCAAGTAGCTGGGGCCACAGGCACGTGCCACCATACCTGGCAAGCCTGCTTGCTCATTTATTTACTTATTTACTTAATAAGTTAATTATAGATGGGGGTCTCACTATGTTGCCCAGGCTCATCTCGAACTCCCGGCCTCAAGCAATCCTCCCCCTTTAGCCTCCCAAGTACCTGGAATTATAGGCGCAAACCACAGCACCCAGCTTGGACTTAAGTTTTCTATGTTCAATTTTTTCATTCATGTACTTGGCAGTTATTAAGAGCCTCATTCTGGGGATGCTGAAATATTAAGAGCCAGCCACTGCCCTCAAGTCGTTCAGGGTCTTTTGGAAAAATAAGTTGAGTTGCTGAAGTGGTGGAATAGAGCGAGAAAAAAAAAATGCCATTTTGACTGTGATGGAGTAACGACAGGGTGCCTTGCAGTCGTGCCAGCCCCCTTTGCACCCTCCCCAAACTGGAGGAGGCAGAGCCTACCTTCTGACTCTCTTCTGGGTTGTCTTTTATCCAGGCTGTTTACTGCCACGTGTCCCCACTCCTACCTGAGGGTTTCAGTACTAAAAGAATAATTCAAAGTAGGAGTTTTCTGGATTTTTTTTTTTTTTTTTGAGACAGAGTTTCGCTCTTGTTGCCCAGCCTAGAGTGCAATGGTGTGATCTCGGCTCACTGCAACCTCCGCCTCCCGGGTTCAAGTGATTCTCCTGCCTCAGCCTCCCGAGTAGCTGGGATTACAGGCATGTGCCACCATACCCAGCTAACTTTTTGTATTTTTAGTAGAGATGGGGTTTCACCGTGTTGGCCAGGCTGGTCTTGAACTCCTGACCTCAGGTGATCCACCCACCCCAGCCTCCCAAAGTGCTGGAATTACAAGCATGAGCCACCACACCTGACCTTTCTGGATTTTTAAGACATGAACACATCTGCTTGGACTGTATGTTCAGAGCTCCTTGTGGAATTTTATTTTCTCTCAAGGAACCTCACAACCTCAGCTTCTCCTTTCTGGTAAAGCAGAGGCTGTTACCAGAAAGCTTACAGTGCTGACTGTGCTCCCAGCCATCAGAGATGGGGTTTCGCCATGTTGCCCAGGCTCATCACAAACTTCTGGCCTCAAGCAATCCTCTGCCTTCAGCCTCCCAAGTACCTAGGATTACAGGTGCAAGCCACGACATCCAGCTTGGACTTAGTTTCCTGTGTTCCCACCCATAGAGCACACATAGTCAGCCCTGTAAGCTTTCTGGTAACAGCCTCTGCTTGAAAGTGGTGTCTAGAATAATTTTCCACCAGTGTGAAGTAGTTTTCAGTAAAGCATTAGATGATGAAGTAAAACAAGATGAGTGAAGGCAAGGCAGGTGATCACTTCTGTCCCTCACTGGTCTCATTCAACCTGCTGTCTTTCTGCAAACCCTGACAGGCTTAGCCCAAAGTGCGCCTGGGACACTACAAGTCTGCTTTTTTGAACCCTTTCCTTAGATGCCTGATGCAGAGACTTAATCACCTTTAGTGTTATTCTTTGTACAGATATTTACTAGGTTTTATTTGCCATGTGCTAGGTGTTATATATCCCTGTTTGCAGAAGAAATAAAGGTTTGTCAGATAGTTACGGGTAGCTTTGATTTGGTGAAAAATAGCACAAGCTTTGGGGTCGAACATAATTGGATTCAAATCCCACCTCTGCCTCTCACGAGTAGATTACTTCATGTCTTTGTTTCTGCAGCTAAACAATGAAGGCAATTATGAATGCCTCCCTAAGGTACTGGTAGAGACTAAATGAGATAATGTGCCTGACATAGTCGTTATGTTTTTAAAAAAAGTGGCAGCCCAGAACCTGGTGTTAATGAATTACATGCTTACCAAGGCATTTGCAGTGTAACCTCTCCCTCACTCCATTGAACTCTTCTGCAGTATTCTCAACCCCACAGTGCTCCCTTCTCCACTCATCCCCACCCCGCCCAGTTCCCTTCTGCAGTATCCTTGATGGGCCCCCACAGATTCCGCCTGCAACACTCCAGCAGAAGCGCAGCCCTCTCCACTGTTGGGCAGTTCTAATTATTCCTTGTTTTTCTCCCTCTACCAAAGTTGAAATCTGCTCCCCTGTGGCCTTCTCCCATTTTTCCATACTCCTGTGATGTCTGTGCCTGCTATCCTGGGCTTTGTATTTGAAGCGCTGTAATAAAGAAACAAGGCTCCTTTGGAAGCGGACTTCAGACGTGTGTCTGAAAAAGAATGGAATCTGGTTTTCCTCTTGTGTGGTGCCATGAGGAACAGTAACAAGGAACCCCTCTGGAATCTAAAATAACGACCTCATTGTTGGGCCGACTGATGCCACTTATGAGATTGCTGTCGGTGGTTTAAATAGGCCTTAATTGAGATCCTACTGTGTCTTTGGGTATCTGAAACTATTGAGCTCTACTAGCAGGTGTGTGTGATTTGAGATTAGACTGATAAAGATGAGACTTGCCTTTGGCGTTCAGAAGAAAAGGCCCTGGGTGAGGCCTGGAGTAATTGGAGGAGGCTTCATAGAAGAGGTAGATGCTGAGCTGACCCTCTAAGAATCTGTGAAAAACTTAACCATGAGAAGTGAAGGAGAGCAGGCCTTCTAGAGAATTCATCAGCATGAGTGGATGGGGAGGTAATTCATTTCTGGGATTGCCAAGAGCAAGGATATGCTTTCATAGATTTTGGTGACCTGGTACAGGACAGTGTCATTTAAATTGTCCAAGGAGTTCAAAAAGTTTTGTGATTTACTGCTGCCCCCCAAATTTGCTTTTGAACCTTCCTGAGCCTGCATGAGAGTACAGATCCTTGGCAGGCAGTGTTCCCATCTCCTCAAGAAGGTGTACTTAATTTTCATATGAATGTGTAGAATTGCTGGCATTTTTGTATCTTCAACAGTCATCTCTTTCTAAATGAGACTTAGAGAAATATGCACCCTCCCTTTCACCTTCTGTATGAATAAAAATGTATGAGATACTCTTTCTGGAGAGTAGGTCCAAGAGGTATCACCTTTCACACTTCTATCATCAAAATAAAGCAATCTGCACATTTTGTGTTTTACCATCTCTGTGCCATGAAATCAGCTATCAGCCCCAATTACCAGTTTACTTCACTCATCCCGAAGACAGTCCTGTGTATCCTGACACAGCTGCCTCAAGGATAACCACCCATGATCAACATATTTCCCATCTCATCAGATGTCATATTTGAATAACTTTTCTTGCTTCCTATGGCTTTTCGATTCAGACAGGGCCAATTCCTGTGGCTCACATAGCCTCTGAAATTCTCTTGTGTTTAGAAAATCACCCAATGAGTTCTCGTTTACTGCTTTCCACTGGCTTCTTTACCTTCTCATTTACCGAAGTAAAGATGCAATATCTTGGCCTTTTGAAAGGGTCTACTTCCCCAACAAGGTGGCTCAGGGCGGCCATGGCCACGGCATGAGTAGACCCAATGCCTGGATGTAATGCAATTCCAACCCTAAAAACCTGACATCAGGTCAGATTTTGCAGAGCGAGGGCACGATTTCCTCCTAGACTGCCCTTATAAATGACAAGGCGCCTGCAGCCATATCATCCATCACTGCATAGTGTTGCTGTAGTTTTCCCCATTTCACCTAGGAGGACTCCAAGCCCAGGGCCACTTACCTAGTTAGCCAGCAGTGGAGCCAGAACTAGAACCCAGGTTTGTCTGTCACCTTGGCTGTTCCCCCCGGCATCTTGCTACTACTTGAGGTGTCTTTCAGGGAGCCCAGGACTGCCGTTATTTCATTGTTTTCATCCATTGATTTACTTAACCCCTACTCTGCTTGACACAGGTGTGAAACACCTGCTTCCTAATATGGTCTAAGGAATGCATGGGTACTCAGGGCTTTACCTGCAGGGCTGCATGCATTTCTCCAACCTCATGGCATATAATTTGTGACATAGTTTCAAAGCCTATTAGGCACTCCACAGATACATTTCCCTTAGAGGTACCTACATTTCTGTAATCCAATCTTATCTTTAGATAGGGAATTATAGTGTGTTGGGCGACTTTGAAGAGAAGTACATTTATTTTAAGCACATTTTTTCATTATATTATTTTTTTAATGTGTCAACTTGTATATGTTGTATATTTAGGGACCTGTGGCATTCTGTTTCTACAGTCCTGAACATAGTAACATATAAAATTAGTCATGTCATAAGATTTTGTTTGATATTGCAGTTTTATTTTTCCCTGATTGTAAAAAGAGATCTTTTTCTATTTGTCTTTCTGATTTTTATTTACTTTGCAAACAAATGGCCAAACATAAAGAAAGGGAAGGAATAGAATACATTGCTGTGCTCCATTGTGGGGGTATGGTTTTACACTCTACTTTTGAAGGTTATTCTTAGAAGACTGAGCACTGCACTCTTCTGCTTAAGGAAATGTTTCACACTTCCTTCTCAGGCGCAGCACACCCATGACGCCATCACAGAGGCCGCCCAGCTGATGAAGGAAGCGGTGGACGACATCATGGTGACGCTGAACGAAGCTGCCAGTGAAGTGGGGCTGGTTGGGGGCATGGTGGACGCCATTGCAGAGGCTATGAGCAAGGTGGGCGTGGGCTCCAGGGCTCTCCACTCCCTCATCTCCCTCACACATGGGCCTTGCGTGCTTTTCTGTAAGCTGCTGTCAAGGCTCATAGCAACAAGCCTCTACTTTTCTGGAAGGTTGTAGTTAATGTACAGATATCCAGTCACACGTCCAACATATTATTCTTTATTATTAATGCATTATTTTTGTAAGCCAGTTGTGCCCTTCCTTCTAATTTTACATGAAAGAAAAAGATGGAGATGGAAAAGATACCATAGATTTCCTCACTTGTAAGATGGAAATTGATTATCTACTTCATAGGGTTTGTTGTGGGGGAACAATTGCCAAAATGAAATAAAAGTGATTCCTGGCCAGGTGCGGTGGCTCATGCCTGTAATCCCAGCACTTTGGGAAGCCAAGGTGGGCAGATCACCTGAGGTTGGGAGTTCAAGACCAGCCTGACCAACATGGAGAAACTCTGTTTCTACTAAAAATACAAAATTAGCCGGGCATGGTGGCACATGCCTGTAATCCCAGCTATTCAGGAGGCCGAGGCAGGAGAATCACTTGAACCCAGGAGGCAGAGGTTGCGGTGAGCCGAGATCGTGCCCATTGCACTCCAGCCTGGGCAATGAGAGCAAAACTCTGTCTCCAAAAAAAAAAAAAAAAGTGATTCCCAAGTGCTAGCTTTTGGAATGGCTATTTTGAAATCATGTGGAGCTTTAAGAATGTAGATTCCTAGGCTCCACCCCCAACCCACTCAATTGGGTTACATTTTAACATACTCTTTTTAAATGTTCCTTGTGGTTCTGATACCTAGCCAGGCACAGAAACCACTGAAATAGTATATATGTAAAAGCCCTTGGTAAACCCTTGCAGGCTACAGACATATAAGAGAACATGAGTATCATTTTCTCATTTAGTGACCCATCAATTGAGTTGGATCATTAGGGTGACGTGACTGGAGACAGTTTCAACTCCATATCTCCTGTTCTTTCCCCCAAAGAATCCTTCACTAGTCATGTAAGTTTGACACTCACTAGAAAGAATGCTTGTTCATCAGCATCTAATTGCCATCCTGTGATAGCATGCCAAGAATTTTAGACATCATCTATGTTTTGAAATGTCCATTGTCAGATTGTGAATACATTAATAAGGTTTTTCAGGATAATAAGCAGTCTTTAATTGCTAATTTAGAGAAGATTGGTTGTTCATATCTCCATGAAGAAATGATACTCTGTAACTATAATTAGAATAATTATCCTTAGGCATTATGCAGTCATTGTCAGCCTAGGAACAAACATAACAAGCCCAGGATGGAATGCTGTGTCTCCCTTTAGAGACTTCAGGCTCCACTTTGTCAAATCGTCCATCAGTTTCTGCTGTGGGCTTCTCATGCTGCAAATGTGGACATTGTGGCAGAAAATGAGTGAAATTTCCCTCTTCTCAAGGCCTTTGGATAAGTCTCAGTAGATTTGTTTGGTTTTCAGGATGTCAGAACACCAGAGCTTTGAAAATAAACCATGTATCTACCCAAGGACATTAAATAATGGAGCCCAAGGTTTCTTGGTGCAAATTAGAAATTCAAATGATAATCTTTTTCTTCTTGGGAGAAGATATTTTCAGTACCTCTCAAATGACAGGGAAAGATTCCATACATCCTAGGAAGATGGACATCAGATCCAAAGTCTTTCTTGGATAGCCCTATGCCTTATGCACTGTGATGGACTGTGGACAGAGAGAGCAGGCCCTGCACCACTTGCTGTTAGTGGTATAGCCTATGCTGTCTCAGCCAGAGACACATTGGATTCTTCTGGATGGGCTGGAAATAAGTCAGGCGTTACTTGATAGCAGTAATTAGGAACTGCCAGCCAACACAAGCCACAGAGGCCAGGAGCTGTTCTTCCCCGCTCAGTTCTGCAAAGTATATAATTGTGGTTTCAATGTTGCCCCTAACTCTTATCTACCCTGACCTGACATCCAGGGCACCACATAACACCTCTTCCCCATTCCCATTCTCCCTTTGCTTAGCCTGTTGCTGGGGACTTACAGTTAAGTGATGTTTGAGGTCCTTTGGCTCCCTGTGCTACAAGGCATTAGAAAGCTGGCATAGTCTCTCAGAATTTCGTTAACTTGGTTAAAACTCTGAGATACTATTAGACTCATTGTCTGAAATTCTCAAAGCCAGTGAATTATAGAAAAACATGAGTGTAGCCAGAGTTAATTCTAACTTGGATGTGACTCTTGACACTTTGGGGGCTTCCACTGTGGAACTTCTGTTAGATTTTGTCTCGTCATCTGAGCACTGGGAGGTTTGGAGACTCACAAGTGAGTATGAAGTAATCAGCTTTCCGGGTGACCTTGGACAGGCATTCAAGCTCTCAGAACCTTGATTTCCTCATTCAGTGAGGTTAGTAGGATCCTATGGGATTTTGTGATGTGGTCTTTTTTCTTTGTTTTTGTTTTGTTTTTGTTTTTGGCCAAGTAAGAAAATTAAAGAAACAAAAACAGACAAAGACTGTGCTATCTACATCACTGCTGTTTTACAAAAGAAAGGTCACGTTAGCACCCACAAAAGGAGGAAGGCTATAATCTCAGAATAAAGGAAAGTCCTTTCAAATAAATGAAATTGAAATCCTAGTCACTACTTTGTTCTTTCTTTTCCCATTGTCCTCAGACTAGTTAAAGGTTCTTTGGCTGGTGGCCACTGGCCAAGAGCTCTGAGCTGCCCTTCAGCTCCAGCATCCTGGCATGTTGGTAGTGATGTCACATCTCACATGCAAGCTCCTAGCACGTGGCCTGAGGCTTAGAAGATGTTCAGTCAATTTACAACAAGTGAATGAGTATGCAGTTCAGTCTCCTTTGACTAGCAGGGTCCCCATGCCGTGATGGGGATAGAGCATCTATCTGCCTGATAGGGAAAGCTAAAAAAGTCTAGTGTGGAGTTTGTGTTAATAGTTTGGTGAAAATTATATGCTGGGCTATGCAGCCACATCATGCATAGGCCACAGTGATGCGTTCCTTTCACTCACAGTGCAGTCCATGCCTGCTCATGACATATAGCTCTCACTGAAGATACCAGCTAACATTTTCCTAATTGACCACTTGGCCTCAATCTCTTCTCTGACTGAAATTTATGGCACAGAGCTGCCAGGGAAATCTCAAATACGTCATTGCCTACCCAAGATCCCACTGTTGTCTTCATGATTTCAAGGTTCTCCATAAAACAGATGCAGCCTCATTCCCACTGCTGTCAACAGCTCCCTCCTATTCAGGTCAGGCTGACCTCACTAGACTCGCTCTGCCTGTATTCATTTCTGTTCACTTTGTCTCTTCGCCTGGAATACCATCCAGCAACCAGCGGTGATGGTGAGGATGGTGGTGGTGAAGATGGGTTGCCTGTTTCTTCATCACTGACATTATCATCAGCATCGTCATTACCACATTCTCTCCTCTTCCTATATGTAGTTCTTGACCAGGTGTAGTGTTGGTTTTTACTGTAACCATGTGATGCCTGGAAGTTAACACTGAAGGACTGGAGATCAGAGTTTAAGTAACCAGCCTGTGGTTCATTCACAAGCCTTGGAAGCAGATCTTGAATACAAATCTCCTACACCAGTATGTCCCCAAGCCTTCAAGGGACATAGTCCCATTGCCTCAGTTCTTCCACCCCACGGTGATCTTGCCCTTCTCTCAGTTCCTATTGCATTGCATTTATGGTCAGGTGAACAACAATGTATTTCTGGTGCTTCTAATTCCTTCTGTTCCCCAGTTGTGCTCATAAAGAAGGGTTCCATGGATAGCCATGGACCCTACCATTCCTCAGGAAGCGCTTCCTGATGGATAGTCCGCCTCCTTTCCCACCTCATCTTCTGCCCCTTTGCGCTTCCCTAGAAGTATCAGGCTGGCCCCCGCCTCCATGTGCTTGAATTCTGTTCCCTTTTCTTGGGATGCCTTTCCCACCTTTTACATGTGGCAGACTCCTCGCCTGGTAAGACTTGGCCGAAACATCACTCCTCTGGAAGGCCTCCCGCTCCTCTCAGGCAAGGCTGGGAGCCTCTCCTTGCCATGTACCCCGAATGCCTTATGTGCCCTTCTGTTGAAGTCCTTATTGCACAAGTTGGGCAATTGAGTTGACACTGGGCAAAAGAATCTCGGAGGCCCGCTCTGTTTTTCAAAGTTCCTAATTCTCATAAATACAGTCTACACTTCAGCAGGCTTCTTATGACCTTTGGATTCTTTTCCTCTCCTCTGTAGCTGGATGAAGGCACTCCTCCAGAACCAAAGGGAACATTTGTCGACTATCAGACAACTGTGGTTAAATACTCCAAAGCCATTGCGGTGACAGCTCAGGAAATGGTAAGAGGGGAGAGAACTGCCCTCCCCACTGTTAGTTGCCATTTTATCCACTGCCGCCGCTGAGCCTGCAAATCCCAGATCTGTGTCGGAGAGAGAGCCCAGACCACTCTCTAGTCCCTCAGGGGCTCCAGCTTCTGTCCTTTATCTGTGGTCTTTCTGGCTGCCTGTGTCCAGTAGCCCCAGTCTGCTGTAGTTCTTATCTCATGAAAAAGCTGCAAGAGGGAATTAAAGGTGGCTGAGACTTGGGCATGAGGACAGAGGAGCAAAGGAAGGAGAGAAAATGAGAAGATGGGGAAAACAAGGAATTTGTAGTTAAGGAAAAAGGGGAAGAATCCTATTCACCTCACAAAGGACTTGAGGTGTTTTTAATAGATTAAAATAACAGTGCAAGAGAAGATATTTCGGGATGAAATAGAACAGAGATGAGATTATCTGATGAAATCAAGTTATAATACTTGGACAATAAGGTATTGCCATCTTTCAGGCAAAATGAAACAGTATGGTTATGTAAAAAGAAAAAAAAAAAATTCCTAACAGTAGAAGGCATACGACTTTTGGAGGTAATGTTTGGTTTGGGCTTTTTTTTTTTTTTTTTTTTTTATTTGCTAAAATGTAATGCAGCCAGAACTGTATTATATAGATCCTTAGATACAAATGGCATTGAGAGAAAGTGAATGCTCTCTGATATGTTAAGCAGTTATAAGAAAGATGACAAATGTGGTCCCCAAAGAATTGATAGGAGTCCATAGAAAAAGTTTCTCTCAACTTTTGAAAGCTCAGATGCCATAAGATAAAATTTCTTGTCCTTCTCGGGGGAAAGATGCCTCTTTGATACTTGCCGCAGAAGCCTGGGTTGAGAAATCAATGGGCCTTCCTCGCCGGAGTGACCAGAATGAGCCACCACGTGGTTGCTGTGCCCAGATCCCCTCTGAGTGGTTTTGTCATGTAATCGTGTGTCCACTAGAGGTTGAGCTTGGACCACAAAGTCGTCCCTGGCTGCTGCCATTCATTCATGGAAACTCTGTGGTTGTGCCAGGCTTGTTTAAAAGAATTCAGGCTGGGGAATGGTACACCCATCTCAGTGTTCTGTGAAAAGCTGGAGCTGAGCCCAGTCTTGTCCTTCTCAGGGGAGCGTGGGGGATGGATCCTAGGTCAGAGCCAGCAGCCCTTCAGCGCAGATTCCTGATGAGCAGGAAGCGCAGCACAGCAGCGGTAAAACATGTTTGAGCAGCCTCATGGTGTTTCTGGAATGTCTCCAGAGCCAGGTCCTGGGCTTCCCTGGCCTGACCCTGGGTGTCCATGAGCTTAAGGAGCTGAGCTTCAGGCTGCGTGGTCACTCCTGAGATAACTGGCCTGGCTCCTTGTGTGAAAGAGGCCCTCCTCACCCCGTAAGGAGTGACCCAGTGCACCTGTTGGCAGGTCGCAGTGGAGCAGTGCGTGGCACCACTCACTCTCGTGCAGCTCAGTGTGCGTTCCTTGGAGGCCACATCTCAGCAGAAGGCTGGGACGTGTCCTTGTACACATGTCTTAGATGGGGTGGACATTCCTGTCCTGCCTTGATGGATGGAGAGTCATTCAAAAGGTATTTTAAAAGGCTGTTTAAAATCAAGGTCTTAAAAGGCCACAAATAAAGAGACAGTATTGTTATCCAGAGCAAGAGGAGGTGGAACAGGAGGGGAGCCCCATGATGAGGGTCAAGTTGACACCCTTCTGGGTGGTAGATTAAAACTGCTTTTGTGAGAATTTAAAGGTACTTTTGTCCAGAGGAAGAAGAAACACTAGAAACTAGCATGCCAGCTACCTTAGATAATTGAGATGCATCAGTCTATGAAACAGAGAAAAATCCCGAGTATCTTCATAATAAAGGCAGAACTTGACCATGTGGGCTACACACTACTCTTAACTAAATTTGTGGGTAAAACCTTGTAATTCTTTGGCACAAGTTTACTGCAAAGCTGTATCCTCTATGAGTTTTTTTTCCTCTAAAACATTGGCTTATCCAGCACTTCTCATTCATGGTTTTCTTAACAGCCCTGTCCTCATGCCCTCTCTCGCCTGGGTGGGACCTGCTTCGGGGCATCCAGAGACCAGATCAGCCCCCTACAGAAGCCTGGGCCCAGGAGTGAGAAGCGAACAGGGCTTGTGCCTTCTGGGGGCTTCTAGGGGGAATTCCTCTGGTGACCCCTCCAGAGCAGGGCTGGCAAGGAGCTGGCACACTCACCTGCCAGAGGGGGGACCCTGGGGGCTGGCTCCAAGCTGCACAGCCCCGACGCTGAACATGTCCCCACCGGCCCGGTCAGAATCTGGCCTGAGCAGGGCCCTGCGAGGGCTCTGGCCTTTTGTGTGCAGTGCAGCATGGGCTTGGCTTGAACTGCCCTCTCCAGCTTCTAGCCCCAAATGCAAGGCCTGGCCTTCACCCCCTCAGGAGCTTAAAAGTGAATGAAACCCTTTGGCTTCCAGTGATATTAACACATGGTTCTCATGCTTTTCTCTGTGTGTGTGTGTGTGTGTGTGTGTGTGTGTGTGTGTGTGTGTGTGTGTCTTGCTTGTTTTCTTTTTCCAGATGACTAAGTCGGTTACTAACCCGGAGGAGTTGGGAGGACTGGCTTCACAAATGACCAGTGACTATGGGCACCTGGCTTTCCAGGGCCAGATGGCAGCAGCCACGGCGGAACCAGAGGAGGTCTGCCACCTTAAGACCCCTATTTTAAGATGCACACACACACACTGATGCCCACTCCTGGGTATTTCTTCATAGCTTAGCTCCACTCTAGAAGACCCCAGCCCAGTAACCAGAGCCCAGTTTATTTCCCCACCACTGCACAGCACAGGTCCAGACCCAGGCAGCTCCAGGCTATACTCAAGGCTCACTGCCCCTTATGGGGCAGACTGGCCAAGAACTGGCGCATGGGCTTTCAGAGAGAAGGATTTTGTATACAGTGTTCTACCAGGTCCCCTGTCCCTAGGCCCATCCCCTGCTGTCTCTATTAGCATGCCCAAGCATGAGGCTGCCATCTTGTCACTTCCTACTCCAGTTAGCACATCCCCTGCAATTATTTTTGTTTTCCAAAGGTTCATTCAAGTATGAAAATTAGCTGTCCCTCTCCCTAGAAAGAGCTACTTTCATGAAACAAAGTCTTGCCTGAATATTCTGGGTGGCTAAGAATTGACCCAGATCCCTCCCCCCATACCTCCTGTGGACTCCTTTTATTACTTCCCTGCCTTTCCTAGACCAGCTTTCCTTAGTGACCAGTGTAGACTTGGCTTTAGAATGCCTGTACCCATAAGAGTCTAACAGTAGCCAAAGTTGGGCCCCAAAGGCCACTTTCTAAGAGCTGCCATCTCTCATACTTCTAATGGGGTGGTCCATTGGGAAGGACACAGGTCAGGTGCAGCTCCAGGGAGCCTCATAGCATCTGTATCATTGTGAACAAACAGAAGGAGTCCAGGGCTTGGGGAACCACACGGCTTCTTAGAGAAAGGAAGCCCAATTGGAAATGAAGATTAATGGAGTGGATTACAGGGACACTTGAAAGATAAAGGTAATTACATTCTGTGAAATTCAGCAAGCTGTTTATTGAGTGCAAACCCTGTTCAAAACATGCCTAAATGAACCAAGTTGTCAAGGCAGAAGGTTGTAATTGGTCTTCTCTTCTCCTTATGGTGACAGTCACTGTCCCCAAGTTACTCAGTGCTGCTATTTCTCCTGGGAGTCAGGTCTAAGTATGTTTTTACAAAGACTCCCAGAGACATTACAGAAATGAAGTCCCAAAACAAATCACTTTCTAATGTGTGTGGTAACAATGCATGTAAATAGGAGTACCATATATATATATGTACTTGCATACATATATATCTAGCATGGGATTACTTAAGTCTCTAACAGTGCCTGCATTTTGAGATATTAGAATAATTGGCTAGGCTGTAGCATGAATAATTCTATTTGCAATGACTGTGAACTCACTACCAAGAAAAGAGAGTTATCAGATACCGACATTAAGATTCTGTTGACTCCTAACACAGGCCTATCTTTTTTTAATTATTATTTTTAAATAGACTCCCTGTTTTAGTAAGATCATGTAGATTTATAATTCATTTGACTAACCTGTAATTTTGAACTCCATAAACATATGTAAGGGAACTTATGTTACAGTAAGGAAAAGTTTGCTTGGACAAAAGGAAAATGTGGACTGGGCGCGATGGCTCACGCCTGTAATCCGAACACTTCGGGAGGCCGAGGCAGACGGATCACTTGAGGTTAGGAGTTCAAGATCCAGCCTGGCCAACATGGTGAACCCCCTTGTCTACAAAAATTAACTGGGCGTGGTGGCATGCACCTGTAATCCCAGCTACTTGGAAGGTTGAGCCAGGAGAACTGCTTGAACCCAGGAGGTGGAGGTTGCAGTGAGCCAAGACTGCGCACTGCCCTTTAGCGTAGGCAACAGAGGGAGACTCCATCTCAAAAAAAACCAAAAAAACAAAAAGAATTTGGCAAGGGAGGTTTGGATATCTATCTGTCCACAGAAACCTTTGAAAATGGAATCTACCACCATCTGCCTTAGTTTAACTACTGGCCTCCCTAACTACAGGGCCCTTTCCACATGAGCTCTTGTAAGCTACCCACCCAACGTGTGACACAAGCAGATTTTTTTTTTTATTACAACAGAGACCACTGAACCAAAATATAAAACAATGCCAAAACAGCAAGGAAAGAGAATGTGTTGCTAAAAGTACAGCAGGTTACTTTGGTTATTAGCCCTGCATTTGTAGCAGCTGACGTTTTCATTAAGGTTTTCCTTTTCATTGTTACATCTTGAAATGTATTTTACATTCCAGACACGAGAGCCGTGTGACCTGGAGTGAAAAGGGGCAGAGAGAATATAAAATTTCCAGTGGTTTACTAAGGAAAATTCTTTGTGTACATTTGCCAGACAGATATTTGGGGAAAACTGAGAAAGTTAGGGGATCCCTGAAGCAATGTAGCTTTTTATTCCAAGATTGTGGAATTATTTGTTTGCCCAAGAGGGCTCCCCCATCACGGCATGTGAAAATATTTATATCCAGGGGAAATCAGAAGCTGCTACCTTCGCTGCAGTCTCGCAGTCGGCTGTGCAAGGTCAGCATTTTGGTCTTTTCCAGAATGTGACAATTACAGGAAAAGTCATAGCTCTGCCCTGGAACATCAGGCAAGAGCTTTATCTGCTTATTTTTCATGGAAAATTCAAACCTTTGTTAACATCACTGTGAAAACTTATTTCTTTGGAAAAGTTAAAAGCCTCCAGCAGCTTTGCTATTTAAGATTAGTTTCCCCTTAACAAAAAGAAGAAGAAAGAATTCGAGATCCTATGAGCCACAACTTCTAAATGGAAATGCTGAGGAAAAGATTTAGCGACGAAAGCTTTGTCTCGGAGGAAAATCTGCAGTAACCACTTGAAATACCAGATGCCTTAAAAGCTGGCGCAATCATTTGTTAAGCGCCTGTGGTGAGAACCGCAGCCTTTTCCCCCAGATGAAATGGATGTCTGCTTTAGAATTCTCTCAAATTTTCCAGCCTAAGATACACATGCTGGAGGTGGGAAAATGATGCCCCGCTGCCATTGGACCCACTTTTTTTTTTTTTTTTTCTTTTCTGAGATGGGGTCTTGCTCAGTCACCCAGGCTGGAGTGCAGTGGCGCAGTCTCGGCTCACTGTAAGCTCCGCCTCCCAGGTTCACACCATTCTCTTGCCTCAGCCTTCCAAGTAGCTGGGACTACAGGCGCCCGCCACCACACTCGGCTAATTTTTTTTGTATTTTTAGTAGAGATAGGGTTTCACCATGTTAGCCAGGATGGTCTCGATCTCCTGACCTCATGATTCACCCGCCTTGGCCTCCCAAGGCAAAGGTAAATGCAGTTTTTGCCATTACTTTTAGTGGCAAAAACCACAATTACTTTTACACCAACCTAGTAATAATACTATTATCTTATTATTATTATTATTTTGAGCCGGGGCCTCGCTCTGTTACCTAGGCTGGAGTGCAGTAGTGCGATCACGGCTTACTACAGCCTTGAGCTTCGTCCTGGGCTTAAGCAATCCTCTCACCTCAGCCTCCCAAGTAGCTGGGACAACAGGTGTGCACCACCATGCCTGGCTAATTTTTCTGTTGACAGGGTCTCATTATGTTGTCCAGGCTGGTTTCAAACTCCTGGCTCAAGCCATCCACCTACCTCAGCCTCCCAAGTGCTGGGATTACAGATGTCAGCCACCATGCCCAGCCACTTTTTTCTTCCATGTTTTCTATCTTTGTCAGATAAGTTCCATTCTTGCCTTTTCAACTTTGACAAGCTATCCCAAGCAAATTACATTTGACCGGGTTTCAGATGTAGTTGTTTTTTAAGGCTTGGGAAAAACCAGTGTGTTTTGTTTTGTTTTGTTTGAGGCAGTGAGGAAAGGCGATCAGGATTCCTTAGACCCCCTCCAACTGGAATCAGATCCAAAACTTCATAAAGACCAGGCCTTTAATTTCCCCCAAGGCACAAAACCAGGAGATGATTTTCTCCATTTTACTTTTATTTCGACAAGAAAGGAATTGAGGGTTTTTCTTGAGGCTCAAATAACACTTTTCTAAAGCTGCCAATTTAAAACCCCACATTTTATGTCTTTGAGCAACATTCCTTTCTAATCAACACTGGTAGTTCGTTGGATCACCCTGTGGGCTGGTCATATTTACTGAGAAGTTTAGTATTGCAGGGAGAAGCTTAGCATTTTTAAATCCCTTATCTTTTTTTTTTTTTTTTGAGATGGAGTTTTGCTCTGTCGCCCAGGCTGGAGTACAATGGTGTGATCTTGGCTCACTGCAAGCTCCGCCACCCGGGTTCAAGCAATTCTCCTGCCTCAGCCTCCTGAGTAGCTGAGATTACAGGCATCCACCACCATGCCCGGCTAATTTTTGTATTTGTAGTAGAAACGGGGTTTCACCATGTTGTCCAGGCTGGTCTCGAACTCCTGGCCCCAAGTGATCTGCCCATCTTGGCCTCCCAAAGTGCTGGGATCACAGGCTTGAGCCACTGCGCCCAGTCTAAATCTCTTATCTTTTTGGATACAGAATGAATTTCCTCTGTGGCTCACACCTGTAATCCCAACACTTTGGGAGGCCGAGATGTGTGGATCACTTGAGGCCAGGAGTTCGAGACCAGCCTGGACAACATGGCGAAACCCCTTCTCTACTACAAATACAAAAATAAGCCGGGCATGGTGACGGGTGCCTGTAATCTCAGCTACTCGGGAGACTGAGGCAGGAGAATTGCTTGAACCCAGGTCGTGGAGGTTGCAGTGAGCCAAGATCGTACCATTGCACTCCAGCCTGGGCAAAAAGAGCGAAACTCCATCTAAAAAAAAAAAGGATTTCCTTTCAAGGATGTTCCCCCAGTAAAACAAAATGTTCTAGAAAATTGCCAGTGGACTGTTGATTCTGTTGTCCTCTTTCATTTAAGTGTCCTAGCTATTTCACGTGCCTCTGCAAAGTAATAGTAAGAGTTATTATTTATCAAGTGCTACCGCATATCAGATGCTGTGATGGGCCCAATCCTGTTTCCCCTCACAACTGCAGTGAGATAATCTTTTGTTCTTCCCCATTTCACAGATAAGCAAAACCAGGCTCAGGGAGCTCAGTTAAACTGCCCAAGACCACACAACTACGGTCGCTAGTATGTGAGCCACTTTAAATAACTTTGGAATAAGTGAATGTTCCAAGTAAGTAAATAAGTTAACAAGTAAATATGTGGAGTAGCCAGGATTCAAACCCAGGTTAGCTGGGAATCACAACCCTGGCTACCTCTCTGCACCAGTCTGCCTCCTTTTCCAGCAGCATGCATTCATATGGCTTTCATCTTTTTGAGATTTTCCACATGTACCTGTTCATTTGTTCATCCCATCAGCCTCTGGAATGGGACATAGCTTCTGTCCTGTGTCACGGGAAGGAACAAAGGCCCCTGAAGGTTAAGAGTGTCAGGTTCCCAAGGAGAAGGCAGAGCTGGAAGCAAGGTCCTTAGTCCTTTCTGCTGCCCACGGGGGTGAAAGGTTGAGAACAGGGCTGGCAGGGAATCCTGAGATCCCGTGCTTCCTCTTAGATTCAGCCCTCCTGGCCCATGAACATCAGTGGGTGAAGCCTATTTCAGCTTGTCCTTGATAACACTACATCCCTCCTGTGTGCTGTCCAAATAGAATTGTGCAGACACACATACACCTGTGAGGCTGAGCCTCAAGGGGGTCTCCAGGTACCTAGATGACAATTGCGTGACTTGGCAGAGCCCTGAATATGGAGGCAAAGCCCTGGGTTGACTGAGAACACCAAAGGCCTTTGCAACTGTTGCCTCACTTACTTTCATCCCCATGTTTTCTGGTGCTGGCCTTCCTTGGAGCTTCTTAACTAGAATTTTATTTCTGATGACCACTGAGCCAGCTGCACCATGGACCATATACGGGCTCACTTGCTACATGCCTCGTGTCACCTCCAAGAAAGGGGCCGGACAGCAGGGCGCTAGGGTGTGTTTTTAGAGCGTAGCCTTTGGTGGGGGGTGGTGCTAAGGGACCACAAAAGTGTTGTTGAGGATGTAGCCCACCATGGATCATGTCATCCTATAGGGTTCAGGTTCAAGACAGCTCAAGAGCGGGTCCTCCCTCCCTCCCACTCTCAATGGGATTTAAGATACAGGTGTTCGTCCCGGTGCCTTGCATTTTGCAGATAGAAAGCTCAGGCTAGACTCTGCACAGGAGCAGGAGGAATGCACAGAGAAGTTTGAGAGCCTGGGTCTCTTCTAGCATCGTGGTTTCATGCCATGTTCTTCAAAACCCATGGAGGAGGTTCTGCATGTTTGCCCCTAGTGTTACTTTTTAAGCTTAATGTAACTATTGTTGAAACTGCTAGGAAAACCCACCCTTGCTCTCAACCTTTCACTCATGTGGGTGGCAGAAAGGAGCTTTTGAGTGTGGTCTAGGCCAAATGGGAACCCGGTGGGGGCCACCGGTGCTTTGCTTCAGGCTGCTGGGTAGTTTTGTGCTGATCTCAGGCTGCTGCTGCTCCTGCCTTGGCTGCAGTGGTCAAGAATGGAGAGGAAACTGCTCTTCTTTGCTTTCTTTATGCATGTAACAGGATCTTCTCAACATTGTATCGCCAAAGCAAAACACAGAAATAATTTGGTGGCTGAGGCTGTAACTAGCCTTCATAACCTTATCTGTAACACTTTGGTTCACTCAGTCTCATTTTTGGCTTTTTATTGGGTCAAATATATACATTTTAACTTATAAAGGAAGAGCATACTAATAACCCATTACTGCTATCCATTTGACATACTGAGATCCACAAGAGATTTAATTTGGATTGGGAGAGGAAGGGTTCTGCTGCTACGTAGAAAAATCAAAGAAGTTAGAAAAACACTGATCTACCAAGTAGAGCAATGTGCTTAGGATTAAAGAGCTGGATTCTCACCTAGTTTTGCCAGAGACCAGCTGTGTGATCTTAGGCAAATCACATCACTTCTCTGGGCCTCCATCTCTTTGTCTATAAAATGGGAAGGTTGACCTGGTAAGATCTTTTTTCCCTTGGAATTCTATAAATGTTTCTAACTCCATTTCCTTCTTACCTGACTTTTCCAGCAGCACTTTAGCCTTTAAAGATCTGTGGTCATCACTGACCTCAGAGCCCTTGTCTCTAGATTATCTTACTCTGGTTTTAACTCGATGGATCTGGAGCACTTCAAGAGCCAGATTGTTTGAAACTTTAATGGGGTATATCCCTGCTTCAGCTTAACATTATTTTCAAACCAACAAACATGTCCAGCAAACACGTATATTTAAATGACATTACATCTGTGTGGGCTGGAGTGTTTTTCCCGCCTCAGCGGCAGCCTTACTGCTACACCGTTCCCCAGATCTGTTTGCAGAGCTGCTGCATTGTACAATCCAGAGATGCTGCTGTTGTACTCTGCATGGAGGTAGTCAACAAGGCAGCGCTGCCTAATTATGAAGCGTCTGTGGCACCGGTGTACGAAGGTGTATAGAAGTGTATAAAAAGCACCCAAAAGAGCAGAAACTTGGCTGGGCACGGTGGCTCATGCCTGTAATCCCAGCACTTTGGGAGGCCAAGGCAGGCGGATCACTTGAGTTCAGGAGTTCGAGACCAGCCTGGCCAACATGGTGAAACCCTGTCTCTGCTTTAAAAAAATACAAAAATTTATCCGGGCGTTGTGGTGGCCGCCTGTAATCCCAGCTACTCAGGAGGCTGAGGCAGGAGAATTGCTTGAACCGGGAGGGCGGAGATTGCGGTGAGCCGAGACCACACCACTGCACTCCAGCCCAGGTGACAGAAAAAGACTCTATCATAAAAGAAGAAAGTGTATAGAAGACACCTAAAGGAGCAGAAGCTCAACTTTGTCGATCACAAGAATATTCTACTAAATGGATTTAGAAGTTCTTTGGGCCTTTAAGGGGTTTAGAGGAAGAGTTCTTTCCCTAAAAACAGTGTTTCAATTATAGCAGAAATAACAATTGCAGCACCCCTCATTCTCCGAAGTCATCCTTCCTTTAACTGTGGCTAATGAGACGCTATTGGAAGATAGCATCCAGGGGGCCAAAAGTCTCCCAGGTTTTACTCACAATACCTGAGATCTTTTCGTAACTATTCCTGATAGATGCTAGAAAAATAAGAGCCGCAGTTTCTAGCTATTGTAGATTCTTGAAAATGACAGTGACCCATGCTTAAAGTTTTGGTTTGGTTTGGTTTGAGTTGCCTGCCTGGGCTGGAAGGCAGATGATTGATGGCAGCTGTATTGATCAGACCAAAATGAAATTTGATGTGAAACAGGGCCGGAGGAATGTAAACTTCGGGGAGGTGGAAGTGGAATTTATTACACCTTAAAGGAGACAGCTGGCAGCTAATCCACAGCGGAGCCCGTTTGGCCTCTCTTAGGCAAAGTACCTTTTATAATCACACAACCCAGGAGTTATTAAAGGAATGTGTGCCTGCTGAGCTTTTAGCTCTAAAAATGTACCTTTTAAAGGAAACCTCAAACCTAGCCTGATAGGAAGTCTGGGCTCAGTATGGTCGCTGTCCCCGTGGGATACAGCTGGGGCAGGGGGTGCTCTGGTTGGTAAACATACCAATTTTGCAAGAATCTGAACACTTCAAAATATGCTTAATACGGAAACCACATTTTGAACCTCTGATTACCCTCTAGAGCTATTGTGAAGAATAAAAGAAATTAAACACATTACCTGCTTAGAAGAGGCCTTGACACACAATAGGGGCTCAGTAAATGCTTGTTGAATGAATAACAGAATTATTCCACAAAGTTCATCTAATTAACATTCTTACCAGGTGGCTGGAGGAGCAGATAAGCCATAAACCAGGAAAGATACGCATCAAAGAGGGTATTACACTAGGACCGCAAGATACGGGTTTGTTAGGTAGAGACTGGGCATTTTACAGTCTCTAAAAAGGGAAGCAAAATCAACCAAATTCCATACTTCACCAAACACAGACTCGTAATAGGAGTGGAATTTTCCTAGCCAGGCTCCCATAGGACGTAGGAGAAATTTTCCACATAGGGAAGGCCTCGATGGCAGGGTCCATCACGCTTCTTCCCCATCCTGGGCTTGCCTCTGCAGATCGGATTCCAGATTCGCACTCGTGTGCAGGACCTGGGCCACGGCTGTATCTTCCTGGTGCAGAAGGCAGGGGCCCTCCAGGTCTGCCCCACAGACAGCTACACCAAGAGGGAGCTGATCGAGTGCGCCCGCGCCGTCACGGAGAAGGTAAGGAGCGGCCCTCGGTTTAGAGCCACAGGAACCTGCGCTGGCTCTCAGTGATCCGCGTAATCAAGGACAAAAGCAGGAAACTAAGCAAAAATGAACCCAGCTGACTCAGCTGTCTCACCCCGATCTTCCCCACTGCTCAGATTCTCCCAGGATTGGGGCGCGTCAGGAAGCTGGGGTGATCATAGGCCCAGAGAATTTGAGGACTTAGAGGGTCTCTCCTATGAAGGTCAGGCCCTGGCACTCCCCATTCTTGTAGGGCTTTCCCGTGGGCGGATTGTATCAAAGTCCCCATCAGCAGCCAGGAGCCCTGGTCGGGGGAGGCCTGGAGCCAGAGCCCTTTCCTGCAACCCCTGTTGACACCATCTTTCTTCTCAAGGAGGCTCCTGAGTGCTGAGGGCTGAGTCAGGAGGAGCAAAAATCCCTTTGGTGTAACCTCTCATTTACAGAGGAGACAGTGAAGTAGGGGTGGGTTAGGCCACATGGGGCAGTGGCGTGTACCTTTGTGGAGAAGCAGAAACTTGCCCTCAGTTTTCTAACTGGAAAGACACTTGTTTGTAGAGAGATTCCCATGGGGTAGTGAACAAGGCTCTAAGATCTTAGCTAAGGTACTTCACCTTTCCACAACTCGATTTCCTCATCTGTAAAATGAGGATTAAAATATATAATGTCTGACTCAGAGAACTGCAAAGATGTGCTGTGCTGATATGTGTAAAAGTGCCTGGTGCAGTACCAGACACATACTCACACATTTAATAAATCTAGCGACTGTTCTCTCGAAACTTTCCTCCAAACTTCTTGTTCCCCAGGCAGTTTTCCCCAGTTAACCATGCCGTACTTTGAGTGTTTCTTCATTCCCAAGTAGCTCTTTTATTCTCCCCCAGTATGCGAGTCTTTTGCTTTGCTTTTTGTCTCAGAATCATTTTTCAGGTCAGCTGTTTTGCAGGCTGCTTGAGGTACAGGATAAAGCATCCAGGCTTGATAGCTTTTCCCCTTCCCTTCACTCTGGTTCGTAGGACGTAGAGCTCTGTCCTGTTTAGAAACTTGGCAACCGACTTGAGGGGCGGGCAGGGAGGACCCTCAGCTGGAAAGTGCTGCCACAGAGACTGCTCTGTCCGTGGCCCTCCCTGAGGCCAAGCCACAGTCTGGCCTTCTCCCGTAGCCCACAGGGCTGTCCAGCCTCCTGGGACTCCACAGACGAGGAAATAAATCTCTCAGCTGGAGGAAGGCATTTGCCTGCCTTTCAAAGCCCTTTCTTGTTATTGAAGTTACTCTTGCCAAATTCCCCCATAAAAGGCCTTGTAGCGGGAGCATCAGGAAGGGAGGAGAGGGGTCCAAGCTGCACAGTGTTTGCAGGCATGGCCAAGCAGCTTGATCTTCCTGAGCTGGCCTGGGCCCTGCTCCCTCTCCCGGCTGCGGGTCCCTGATTTGGGATACCTGGAGGGAGCACCAAAGGGGAGGAGGTGGCCCATTCCTAGCAACTGGCCTTTTGACCATTTCTTGCTGTGAGTCCCTGTCCTCTGTGCTTTGTGTCTTGTTATATGCCTTGATGGTGTGTATAGTGCACCCACACACAGCCACGACTTGTCTGCCTTTGTGTCCTCAGCCCCTAGTGACTAGCAGATACTCAGTAAACACCTGCCGGCTGGCACACCCTTCACAGAGGGTGGGTTGCTATTTCTGGGCTCTTTTTCTTTCACCCTGGCTAAGAACGTCTCCCACACACACACACACCCCTTCAGGCTTCCCATGATACTTGTCTTGGCCTTTGTCATGCATCCTCTGAGGGGCTTTCCAGAACCTGGATACCTCATTTCCAGGCCAGCTCTATGCCAGTCTGACTTGTCTTTTCCTGGTAGGACCTAGTAGCATTTAAAAGAAAGGCAGATGAGGAAGAGAAACAATTCCTCGTGGGCTGGTCTCAGAATGTGGTAGGTACCCAGGAAATGGTCCCTGTGCCTCTCCTGCCAGACTGTGTCCACAGCCTCTGCTGAGATCTAAGCAGCACTGGGGACAGAGTGTCTCATACTCCATGCCTCTTGCTGGCACAGTGACACAGTGACTCCCCTGCCCTGGTCAGCATGTTTTAAGAAATATATGTGCGAAACATTGTCAGATTCTTCTTTGGGTCGTAGTCAAGGGTAGCGGGTGTGTGCACACACAGATTAATACGAGGGCTCCTGGACTCAACGAGCCTCCAGCCACTAGCCTGACACATGCAATTTACATTGGGTGCAGTGGGCCATCCTGAGGGCAAGAACCGTGTGCTGTGGGATCCCAGGAGGCTGGACTGTCTCTGGAAGAGGAGAGCAGGGGGAGGTGTCCAGGGCCCAGCTGTTTTGCAGGCTGCTTGAGGCACAGGATGATACATCTGTGTTTGGTGGCTTTTCCTTCTTTCTTCACTTTGGTGTCTTGCAGGCCAAGTAGTTCGGTGGCTCAGGGAGAGGAGCAGGAGGCATTGCAGGCAGAGCGCGGACCCAGGGTGGAGAGGTGGGAGTGTTTGGGAAAGTCAGGAGCTGGCGGATGTGGTGAGAGCCGGGTGAAGCAGACACATGACCAGAAAGGGAGTTCAGCCAGGGGAGACTTCTAAGCAGGGTCTTAGCGTGGTCAGGTTTATGTCATAGGAAAGAATCTTGGAGCAGTGAGGGTGTATGTGGTGGGTGAGGGTGACAGCACAGGATTTCTGACATGGAAGACACCCGAGTGAACTTGCTGGGCCCTCAGGGCACTGCAATGATGGTTCAGGGGTGGATGATGGCTCGCAGGAGTGCTAGAAGTCGAGATCCCCTCTAGACTCCAGCCCTTCTGAACTCCATTCTGGAGAATTTCCATCCCAGTGAAGGAGCGATGAGTGGTGGCAGTGGCCTATTCCTACTGAAAACCTAATAAAAGGGGATGTAATTGCCACACCTTTCACAGGAGCCTAATCCTTTATCCCATTCTGTGGTTTCAGAAACATAGTAGTAATTGAATAAACAGCATCTGCCCTCTGCTGAGCACTTACTGTATGCCAAATGCCTTGCTAGACACTTTACACATATTTTTCTTCCTACTTAATCCTGTCAGCCCTAATAGGGCAGAAATAATGGCCCCATTTTACAGAGAAGGAAACTGAGGTTTGGAGAGGTAAAGCAGCTTTGCCTAAGGTCACATGGCCTTTAAATGGCAAAGCTGGTATTCAGACCAAGGCCGTTGACTCCAGACATGTGCCTATAACCCCTAAGCCACATCATCTCCTAGGAGATAATTCAGTATTTTCAGAATCTGCTTTTAGGTCCTGTTCTCTCCATTTCCCAGCTCCCCTCACATTCCCTTTCTGCCTACAGGTCTCCTTGGTGCTCTCAGCTCTGCAGGCCGGGAACAAAGGAACCCAGGCATGCATTACAGCTGCCACCGCTGTGTCTGGGATCATTGCCGACCTGGACACCACCATTATGTTTGCAACAGCGGGGACGCTAAATGCAGAGAACAGTGAGACCTTCGCAGACCACAGGTACGTGGGGGTCCTGGATGGAGAGAGGTTCAGGCTGGCCTGCCCCTGAAACTCATGATCGACTTGGAGACGCCACCTGGGAGCCAGAAATGTAGTTATCTGTTTTGATTTCAACAAGATGCACAAGTTGGGAAAGTGAACCATGTAATCAGAATAAGCCCCCTTTGCCAACTGTAAACACAGTGTCGTGGTTCGAGCTTTGCCTTTGACAGCCTTAAATCCAGCCTGCTACAGTGAAGGACTGCTTTTAGACCTGCCACATTCTGAGCCAGAGAGCTGTTCCTCGAACTGCTGGCCAACCCCAGCAGGATTGGGAATGGCGGGGGCAGGCCTGTTTCGCGTAAACCCTGTTTTAGGAAACCTTGTCTGCTGAGCTTGCCCTGAGCCTCTCTATCTGCTGCTCGGGACCCCTGAAACCTCGCCACATGTCCAACACCTTTCTTCCCCTCTACAATCCAAGGGCTGGGCTAGGAATGCAGTTCCCAGAGCTCTGCTGTCCCTTCGCAAGCCCAGCCTCTGATCCTGAACGAGGTGCCCCAGCCCACATGTCCTCACAGTCACTGAGACTATGAAGTATTTTAAGGGACAGTGGGAACCACAGAAAAGCAGCTGACCTTTCATTGAACTATAGGGCTTGGGAAGGGAGCCGGGTTAGTGGGCCTGACTCTTTCACTGAAGTTTTCATGTCAGTCGGCTATATGAATGAATACTGGTTGACTTTCTTCTTCTCCCCCCAGTTTTGCATTTGTGAAAGATGAGAGTCCCTTGGTAAGGGGAGGTGTAACACAGCACTTCTCTTCTTCAAAGCCCTTTAACAAAAGCCCCATGTGCGGGATTTCTTTTCTTCTCGAAGTAATCAAGCTTTGCCCTCTGTCTCTCCCTCTCTCCCCTGCGCCTCCTGGCTCTCTCAGGGAGAACATTCTCAAGACAGCCAAGGCCTTGGTGGAAGACACGAAACTACTTGTGTCAGGAGCTGCGTCCACTCCTGACAAGCTGGCCCAGGCGGCCCAGTCCTCAGCAGCCACCATCACCCAGCTCGCAGAAGTGGTCAAGCTGGGGGCCGCCAGCCTGGGCTCCGACGATCCCGAGACCCAGGTACCAGCAGGGCCTGGGGAGTGCGTCCTCCTGGTCTTCCCGTGAACGCTGCACACTACGCCTCAGAAGCGGCCTAAGGCAGAACAGGAACTTTTGAAGTAGACAGTGTGTGTGCGAGTATGTCTGGTTTGAGGAACCGGTAGGAGGCAGTCATCCAAGCGAGAGAGTGGCACAGACTGTGGTGGTGGCCATGGGGATGGAGACAAGCTGAGGGATTTGAGGAGAGTCTAGAAGGAAGCTTGGCCTGGCCTGGGGAAGGCTGGAGCACAGCATGCCTGAGGGAGGGGGAGGAGTGAAAGGCGGCTCCTTGTGCAGCCAGAGCAGGGCACAGGAGCTCCCTGAAGGGAGAGCTGGTGTGGGCAGGGAGATGGAGGTGATGGAAGTGCTGGAGCCACACGCAGGTAGAACTAGGGAGTGCTTTTGAGCCTGCCCAGGCACGGGGCTGTGGGTTCAGGGACTGTTGCCATAGAGATAGCGACTGCAACCACATGAGAGGAAAAGCCAGGGGGTCAGGGCAGAGCCCAGAGGAATCCAGCATTTCGGACCACATTACCGTGCAAGTGGCGCAGGAGACCGAGAAGCAGCAGCAGCTGCGGGGAGGAAAGCTGCAGGCATCATGTTGCCAGGATGGAGTGTTTCAACCCATCAGAGATAGTGACAGTCAAGAAAGAGGGAAGTCTGGGAAGGTTATTGGCCCGTTCCAGTAACCACTGAGTGCCATCGAGGACGTTGGTGTCCCCAGCTGGTTGTGTGGAGTTGGTGGCACAGCAGCCAGACGGGGGTGGGGAAATAAACACAACACCTATAGATGGCCCAGGTGAGAACTTTGGTTCTCAAGGAAGAGAGAGAAGAACTGGTAGGCTAGGGAAGGACCCTGTGCTTCTGTGACCTCTGCTTCTGATATTTGGCAATTTCATTGAGATCACCTGCCTGTTCCTTGGTCCCCTTCCCAGACCATTGCTCCTCAAGGACAGTCACCACAGTTTGCTCATCTTTGAAACCTGCACACCCAGCACAGCTCCTGGCACATAGTGGCTACTGGCTACTGAACAAGTATGTGTTCACCTATTGTTGAACTAACAGCCAACAAAAGTCATTAATAAATGGATGATGCCTGTTCCCAGAGCGCAAAACTTAAAAAACAAAACCAAAAAACTCTATTCTCTCTATTCCCAGAACCATCAAATGCCAAGCACTTCAGTTTTCACTCCTTAAACCATTCTCAGTAAACTAGTCTGTCTGGACAAACCTGGTTAGAAACCCCCTGCCATTCAGTGCCGCCAGGAGATGCAGTGATTGTGCGGCTTCACTTGAGGACACCGCCTCGTTCCCTCACGGCAAAACCCTTCCCTCCCTGACACCCATGATTGGAGCAGAGCTCCGAGAGGAAACATTCCTTATGTTACCTTTTCATCCTTTCTGGTGGGTTTCTGGTAACATCAGAGTTCAGATTGGCTGCCTTTTGGAATTCTATGCGTTCACAAAAGCCTCCGCTACAGGTGGCGGGCGCCTGTAGTCCCAGCTACTCGGGAGGCTGAGCAGGAGAATCGCTTGAACCCAGGAGGCAGAGGTTGCAGTGAGCCGAGATCACGCCACTGCACCCTTAATATGTTTTCACATCGGAGATCCCAGTTTATCTTCAAAACAATTTAATGAGGTAGATGGGGCTAGCACGCTAATTTCACTGTGGATGAGGAGCCGGAGCCACACACACAGGCATGGCATAGTGTGGAGGTTAAGACCGTGCCCTCATGCTCACCAGACTCTGAATCCCAAGTGTGCCACTCGTAGACTCCGGGAGTGTGGACAGAAGGATTGTGGTTCCCACTTGAAAAGGTGGTGGCAAGGAGTAAATGAGATAATGTGTGTGGAGTGCTTGGCTCAGCGCCTGAACACTGCCCTCAGTAAAGGGAAAATGTTTTTATTATTGTAGAAATAGGAGTTACTGGAGCTACTGGACTGGGAACACTTCAGTGCAATGCCCAGTATTGTGTAATTCCCATCTAGACCTGGTACTTTTCACTCTAAATCCAGCACTTTGAAAAGATGATCTGTGGTCTCTGTGAAATTAGAAAAGCAAACACAGATAATGCATCACATCCAGGTTTATGTGGGAACATACCTGCATCTTCATTCCACAAGTATTTACTGAGTACCTGCTGGGTGCTCGTCCCTGTTACAAGCGTGAAACAAAGCAGAAGTCCAGGCTAAGCCTCCTGGAGCTTTCATTCAAGTTGAGGGAGAAGACAGATGACTTACAAGTGAATGAATGATAAAATAATTCCACCTACTGGTAAGTGCTGTAAATAAAACGGCAACCTGACAGTTTCAGCAATTGTGGGAATGGGCCCTTAGCTGAGGGATCGGGAAAAGCCTCTGAGGACATGACATTTGAGCTGAGGCCCAGTTAGAACAGCGAGCAAAGGCCCTGAACAGGAATGAGTTGAGATTTCCCATGGAGAAGAAGACAGGCCGACCTGTGTGCCTACAGCAGAGCACCCTCATAGCCAGAGAGTTGGGCAGGGCTGCTGTGGGGCCTTGAGGGCCGGGTCAACTGGGGATTTTTACTCAGTGTTCAGGGTGCCCGTCAGGAGTGAGTGGTGTTGCCTCTCTGGTGCCCTTCGTGCTGTCAGAGGCAGCTCATCTGCCAAGTTGCTGTCTAGGAGGTTTTACATAAGCTGCACGTTTACACCTGACTTCTCCGTTCTGGCTCGGCTTCAGCCTCCCCTGGGCAGCTTTTCAAAGTCCTGAGTCCTGTATCAGAATCGCCAAGGGTGGCTTCCCAGGAGGTCTGCCATGCTGCAGACTTCAGACTGTCTTTCTCATTCCCTGTGCCCTGACCTGCCCTCAGGCTGCATGCCTTGGTGAAGCCCGCAGCTGACATCTTGGCGCCTGCTCACCTGGGCCCGGTGCTCTCTTTCAGGTGGTTTTGATCAACGCCATCAAAGATGTAGCCAAGGCCCTTTCCGATCTCATCAGTGCTACCAAGGGAGCTGCCAGCAAGCCAGCGGACGACCCTTCCATGTACCAGCTCAAGGGGGCTGCCAAGGTAGAGTGGGGCACTGGCTGGGGACGAGCACCTGAGTTCTCTTCTCACTTAAAGGAAAGAGAGGTGTCTTTGCTCATAGCATGCGATCCAGAAGTAAAAGGAGTAGGGGCTGAACCTGAGACACTGCACTACTGAGTTCATTCTTTCTTCCTGTGCAGGTGATGGTGACTAATGTCACCTCCCTCCTCAAGACTGTAAAGGCGGTGGAGGATGAGGCCACCCGGGGCACCAGGGCGCTTGAGGCCACAATCGAATGCATAAAGCAGGAGCTTACGGTAAGGAGCCAGCAGTTACCTCCCTTGGGTACCAGAGTCCCACAGCTGACCCAAGTGAGAGCTCATTTGAGGTTTTTTACCAATGAGGTTTTACCTAAAACACCTGAACTGAGAATGCCCCTTCACCTGCCTGCTGGTAGTTTTATATAATTGAGACCCCATGTGTCACTGAGTTTGGCTGAGATTGATGTGTCATTGTAATCAAGGAGTTAATTGAAAGGTATCACTTAGGACTATTCAGGTTTAGTTCCACTAAAATTATAGCACAAAATCAAAGGATTGTCAACAATTCCTGGAAAAAGGGAAAGTCAGTATGACTGCGCTTACCTGGAGCATTAATCCTGTGAACAGTGCACAGCCTCTCTTGATGCACGGTGCTCTTGGTACCCGCACACATGCAGAATTGGAAGTCTGCCGTTTGCTATTGGAAAAGCCTGGAAGCCTTTACCTGAGACATTTCCCTTTAAAATCCAGCTTCCTTCCGTTGGAGTCATCTGACGTAAGAGAAATTGACCTTGTTCGTTTCTGACTTGTTCCAGCATTGCAGAGTTAAGGACATTCTGGAGTCACTGCAATGTGGATGATACCTGCTGTTCTTATGATCCCACAATGGTTGTGGATTGGCTCATTCTAATCCCCACACACAGAAATATGCCGAAAATGAGTAGCTTCAAACAGATTTCTTTTTGATAGGAGGTCTGATCACAGATTCAACTTTTTGGGGGAAGAGGGATACCTGCCTTTGCTGCCAGTTGTTCTGCACCTTTAAAGGGTCACCTGCAAAGGCAACCCTAGAGCACTGGAAACAATAGTAGAGCAATTCTGCAGGGTTTGGGTGACAAACTTGGGCTTTCTTGTCATATCGTTAATGAATCTAGCCTTGACTGATGTTGCGCTCAGTTCATGCTTTAAAGGAGAAACTAAAAAATACAGGAGTAACTGAAAAACTGATGGTGCCATAAGTACCACTGTCTGGCACTCACCTGGCTGCACAGGCTGAGTGTTTGCTACCAAAATCCAGACACAGCTCCTTTTTTGTTTTTTGTTTATTTTTAATTTTTGCGGGTACATAGTAGGTGTTTATACTTAGGAGTTACATGAGATATTTTGATAACAGGCATGCAATGCATAATTACATCAGGATAATTGGGGTATCCATCACCTCAAGCATTTATCCTTTGTGCTACAATCCAATTGTACTCTTTTAGTTATTTTTAAATGTACAATTATTTATTACTGTAGTTACTCTCTGTGCTATCAAATATTAGGTCTTATTCATTCTTTCTATTTTTTGTACCCATTATCCCTTCCCACTTTCCCACCCGCAACCTCCCACTTCCCTACTACCCTTCTCAGCCTCTGGCAACCATCCTTCTACCCTCTATCTCCATGTGTTCAATTATTTTAATTTTTGCTGTCACAGATAGTGAGAACATGCAAAGTGTGTCTTTCTGTGCCTGGCTTATTTCACTTAACATAATGACCTCCAGTTCCATCCATGTTGTTGCAAATGACAGGATCTCATTTTTTTTTTCCTATGGCTGAATAGTACTCCATTGTGTGTGTGTACCACAGTAGCCAAGATTTGGAAGCAACCTAAGTGTCCATCAACAGATGAATGGATACACATATACAATGGTACACACACACACACACACACAATATTGAAGAGATATCTGCACTCGCATGTTTATTACAGTTTACTTCATATATATTTCATATATATAATCTTGGCTATTGTGAATAGTGCTGCAGTAAACATGGGAGTGCAGATATCTCTTTAATAAACTGATTTCCTTCCTTTTGGGTGTATACCAGGATAGCTGGATCATAAAGTAGCTCTAATTTTAGTTTTTTGAGGAATCTCCAAACTCTTCTCCATAGTCGTTGTACTAATTTACATTCCCACCCACAGTGTACGAGGGTTCCCTTTTCTCCACATCCTTGCCAGCATTTGTTATTGCCTGCCTTTTGGATATAAGCCATTTTAACTGGGGTGAAATGATATCACATTGTAGTTTGATTTGCATTTCTCTGATGATGAATGATGTTGAGCACCGTTTCATATGCCTGTTTGCCATTTGTATGTCTTCTTTTGAGAAAGGTCTGTTGAGACCTTTTGCCTATCTTTTGATCAGATTATTAGATTTTTTTCCTGTAGAATTGTTTGAGCTCCTTACACAGGCTAGTTATTAACCCCTTGTCAGATGGATAGTTTGCAACTATTTTCTCCTGTTCTGTGGGTTGCTTGTTTCTTTGCTGTGCAAAAGCTTTTTAACTTGATGTAATCCCATTTGTCTGTTTTCATCAGCTATACTATTCTGGAGTAGATGTTTTTTTCCTTCAGCACTTTAAATATGTCATGCCACACTCTCCTGGCCTGTAAGTCTTCCGCTGAGAAGTCTGCGGCTAAGCATATTGAAGTTCCATCGTGTGTTATTTGTTTCTTTTCTCTTGATGCTCTTGGGATCCTTTCTTATCCTTGACCTTTGGGAGTTTGATTATTCGACTCCTTGAGGTAGTCTTCTTTGGGTTAAATCTGTTGGTCTTCTCTAACCTTCTTGTACTTGGATATTGATTGCTTTCTCTAGGTTTGGGAAGTTCTCTTTGCATAAACTTTCTACCCCATCTCTTTTTCTACCTCCTTTTTAAGGCCAATAACTCTTAAATTTGTCCTTTTGAAGCTATTTTCTAGATCCTGTGGGCATGCTTCATTATTTTGTATTCTTTTTTGTCTCCTCTGACTATGTTTTCAAATAGCCTGTCTTCAAACTCACTAATTATTTCTTCTATGTGATCAGTTCTGCCATTAAAAGACTCCTATGCATTCTTCAGTATGTTAATTGCATTTTCAGCTCCAGAATATCTGCTTGATTCTTTTTAATCATTTCAATTTCTTTGTTAAATGTATCTGATAGGATTCCGATTCCCTCTTTGTGTTATCCTGAATCTGAGTTTCCTCAACACAGCTCTTTTGAATCCTTTGTCTGAAAGGTCACACATCCCCAGGATTAGTCCCTGGTACCTTATTTAGTTGATTCAGTGAGGTTATGTTTTCCTGGATGCTTATAGGTGTTCATTTGTGTCTAGACATTGAAGAGTTAGGTATTTATTATAGTCTTCACAGTCTAGGCTTGTTTGTACCCGTCTTTCTTGGGAAGGCTTTCCAGGTACTCAAAAGGACTTGGATGTTATGATCTAAGCCAAATCTGCATCGGGGGGCACACCAAGCTCAGTAACACTGTAGTTTTTGCAGACTCACAGAGGCACCACCTTGATGGTCTTGGATAAGATCCAGAAGAATTATCTGGATTACCAGATAATTACTTTCTCCCAAACAAATGGAGTCTCTCACTCTGTGCTGAGCCTCCTGAAGCTAGGGATGGGGTGGCACAGGCACCCCTGTGAACACAGCTTCTGACATGCATAGGCAGGCCTAATGGTGGTGATCGAAGAGACTTGAAATTTGGAGCTATGCTGGGAAACTACAGACACGTGGGTTATTCTAAGTGTACCGGTGTGATTTAAAATTCACCCAGAGGCCAAGCGTGGCGGTGCATGCCTGTAATCCCAGCACTTTGGGAGGCTGAGGCAGTAGGATTGCTTGAGCCCAGGAGTTTGAGCCCAGCCTGGGCAACATAGGGAAACCATATCTCTACAAAAAATTAAGAAGTTGGGCGGGTGTAGTGGCATGAACCTGTAGTCCCAGCTACTCAGGAGGCTGAGGTGGAAGAATCACTTTAGCCCAGGAGGTCGAGGCTCCTGTGAGCTGGGTTCACTGAATTTTATGCCGACTGAATAAAATTTACCCAGATCGTGGGTTTCCATGTAACACGTGTCATGAGGATCACATTAGTGTGAAGGACTCTGCGTGTGGCCTTCATTCCACTGTAACATTCAAGGGTGAAGTGGGGATTTGGGATCTTAGACTGCTTAATTGCAGCTGCCCATTTTCAGGGGGCAGTGATGTTTGACAGTGGTTGGCATTCTGTGGGATACCGACTGAGCCCGCTCTTCTGCATCAGGGAGGCCTTCCTTGCTGAAACATGGTTGCCTAGGGCTGAAGACAGGGCAGCCCCACCTAGGCTAGGGGCCCTCATGTAGGGACAGATGCACATTCAGCACACATCCAGGGTACCAATTGCTCATGTTAGAGAGCCAGAACAGATGAGCATGAAGCAGAAATGGGATATTGACTTACCATGATGAATTTATTTCAGCCTCTCTAAAGGGAGTGGGTGGGTAGATTGCTAAATAATTCACAGTGTCACCATGGCACACTCGACATGAACACCTCTGCACAATTATGCAGTTATATTTATAAGACAGGCTAAGAATAGAAGGAACTGATGCTTCATTTCCCCCAACCTCACATCCCCTTAGAGAGAGAGAGGTGAGTCCTGAGTGATGCGGCCAGGTCAGTCCTACCCTGAAACCAGCACTGGAACTGAGAGTTTGTGGAAACTGCCAAAGCACCAGCAGGGATGGGGGAAGAGAACGATGAAGCCATGCAACAACCTTTCACAGGATGGGTAGTGTGTAAATATTGGGTGTCAGTTTCTGCAGACCAACAGGTGAACACTCTAGATACGTCTCCCTCACCGTATTGTTCCCGTGAATGCTTAGTATAGGACAAGAGGTTTGTCGAGGAGAATCTTGAAAACAAGAACCATATTACTGTACTCAGATTTCTAATTTCCTGCCATGCAACAGTTTCTTCCAGTTACTGGCTCAGATTTCAGACACAAGCTACAGCCTGGTTGGAGAAAAATAAATTATTTTTTTCTTTTCCTTTTTTATTTTTTTAACCTCTCTGTTTCTGACTTCCAGTTGTTCCAGTCAAAAGATGTACCTGAAAAGACATCATCACCTGAAGAATCCATAAGGATGACGAAAGGCATCACCATGGCAACAACCAAAGCCGTGGCAGCTGGAAACTCGTGTAGACAGGAGGACGTGATTGCTACTGCCAACCTGAGCCGGAAAGCCGTGTCAGATATGTTGACGGCTTGCAAGGTAAAGACCTTGGCATTGTTTTGGATGCATAGATGATTCTCTGTCATGACTGGGTTGCTTGGTGTAGTCTGAAAAAGGGGAGGGGCTCAGAACCTTAAACTTCGTAATAAAAATGCACACAGGGACAGTTGTGGTGGCTCATGCCTGAAATCCCAACACTTTGGGAGCTGAGACAGGAGGATCGCTTGAGACCAGAAATTTGAGACCAGCCTGGGCAACACAGTGAGACCTCATCTCTTAAAAAAATTTTTTTTAAATAACCAAGTGTGGTGGTGTGCACCTGTCGTCCTAGCTACTCAGAAGAGTAGCTATAGCAGGAGGATCACTTGAGCCCAGGAGTTCAAGGCTGCAGTGAGCTATGATTATGCTGCTCCACTCCAGCCTAGGTGACAGAGCAAAACCCTGTCCCTTTAAAAAAAAAAAAAAAAAAAATGCACGCTGAATATGGCATATGCACCAGCCTGTGGGAAATGACTCTCTAAGGCAGTTTTGTGTTTGAGAGGGGATGGAGTCAGCCCTGCTGGCCCTAATCTTCCCACTTCATTCTAGTTCTTCCTAAATAGGCAGGAGGCCTTTTTGCAGAGTGTGGTGGAGGCCTCTCCGAGGGTGGTGGATAGGGACTGCAGCACTTGGTTCCAGCTCCTCCAAGTGGAAACTGTTCGCTCTTCTGCTGGACCCTTTCTTACCTCCATAGGTCAGCCATTGTGCACTAGGAGAGGTGTTGCCATCCCCGGTGAGGAAGTGAGTTGGAGGAATACAGCGGAACTTGGGGAGCTACTTTTCGCAGTCTGTGCTAGACATCTTGGAAAAATTCCTCTGCTCCTTGGGTGGATAGTTGGGGCAACTGCCCTGAGCCTATGCTTGGTGAGGGAGCTGTGGAGACCCAGGGTCTGGAACCTTTATTTTTGATCTATTAGGAAAGTGAACTGTAAGAGCCCCCACCCCAGGCCTTCACCCTTCTAGGGACAGCCTTGCCCCCAGGGACTCTGACTTCTGCTCTGCGATCGATTGATGATCCCCTGCCATGGTGAGTGAGGGCGGGCATTGACCCAGAATTGAAGACCTGCTCCTACAGCGTGGGGTCTGATGGAACAGAGCCATTCTTTGTGGTAAAGTGAGTTCAATTGGAGTTGCTGCTGCAGGATCCAACTCTTACATCATCTTGGTGGCTCCTCAGAAGGAGAGGGAGGTACAGAAGGGAGCAACGAGGGAATTTGTGTGCAAGGGCCCAACCCTGGGAGACAGTACCACATTTATGGGACCCCTGGGTGTGATGGAGGGTGCAGAGAAGAGGGTGGGCTGGAAGAAACAGGGCTGGAAAGACTCCACTTTCAGAAAGGACCCAGGGCTGCTAGATCAGGGAGTTAGGACTCTGTCTCTCTCTCTTGAGGCTGCAAGTATTGGCCACTTTGATATGCTCGATGGAGTCCACCTACCAGAAGTGATAACTGCCAAAGGGGTTACATCCTCTATCAGAGAGGAGTATTTACCTAGCAAGATAAGGCCTGCGTGCATTGTGGTGTACACACACGGCACCCCAAAATTTTAGAAGGGCTGTCATAGATATTCTCTCATTTCATCCCATAGGAGAAAGGCGAGAGTAATGATTCTATTTGTCACATGATGAAGTGGGCTCAGAGAGAGAAGTGGCATGACCAAGGTCACACAGCTATTTACTATCAGAACCAGAACTGAAGTTGGCTCTCCTGCGTTCTCAGCCACTCTGCTTCTGCTACTCAGGGCCTCCCAGATGTAGTGCTCAAGGTCGCTATGGTTGATGCGTGGCAGACGCTTTTGTCCCCAAGCTACAGACATGAACAGGGGAAACTGATCAGAAAAAAGAAAACCATGATTAAATGGTCTTTTTAAAGGGAATGCAGCTCAGATTTTTAAGTCTCTCCTAACATGTGCTCCCCTGTTTTCTGGGGAGGAGCTCAGGTAGAACAGTGTGGGTGCTGTTTGCTGTTGGCCATCCTCAGCTCCTCTCTGTCATCTTGGCCCCAGGTCACATTATCTGGGCTTTGCAGGACAAGGTAGCAGCCAGAGCGCTGAAGCCTGAACGTCAGCTTCACCCACCAAAATCAGACTCGACAGGAGTCACTGCTGAGCCCTGATGCTCCTGTTAGGATAGGACTGACTTAGCGAACTTATTAACATTTCTGCTTCCCTTGGTCTCCTGTATCCCTCACCCCTTTGCAAAAGGAAATGAGGTCTCTGGCCGAAAGGGAGTGCATGCAATAATGCATAGACAGGAAAACTGGGGTGCTGAGTGGTAGTCAAGACGGAAGCCTTACATGCCAAGCTGAAGGGCCTAGTCGCCCTAGTCCAGCTCTGCCTTTTCTGTGGCTACCCTACTCAGCCCACACATGGAGGAGCAGAAAATTACATACTGGCTCATCTTAGAATGGAAGGATTACTGCGGTTCCTTAGGCAGAGAGAAAGACTTACCTAAACCCTAAGTTAATTCTCGTGCATATTTCTTTATGGTCTTACTTTCATGTGCACACGTGTATATTAGATGTAATTTTATATCTACTATTATGATTAATGTTATAAAGCTATTTCTGTGTTGCTATATTGCTGACTTTTTAATGACTACAAAGTACCTTTAATGAATATTATCTTCCCACTGTTGACAGATATTTAGGCTGTCTACATTTTTAAAAAATCATGAACTTTACTGCAGTAAACATCTTTGGGCATATCTGTTTTTTTCTGTGCTTTGGATTATTTCCTTAGGCAAGATTCCCAGAAATAGAATTAGTGGGTCCAATAGTATAAGAGTTTAATTAGTGCCAGATTATTCTCCCAAAGGGTTCTACCCAGTTACAGAGCCCCCAGCAGTGCACGCAAGCACCTCAGCTCCACCTCACCCACTCCCTGCACAGGGGCTTGCACATAACCTGCTGGAAGTGACTCTTTGAGTAGCATCTGGGCCTGTATCTTCCCACAGTGTTGTCTCATCAAACAGACGCGGGGCCTTGTGCCTCTCCGTTTGCGGCACAGGGGTATGAGGATGAATAACAGGTGATGGTGGGTGGCTGGGAGCATGGCTCTTGGTTCCTGCCTCTGAGCCCATTAGTCCTCAGATAAGGAAAACCTAGCTCATACATAACATGCTGGCCATGAGAATTAGCCCCACTCTGTCCAGGGATTGGGGGGAAGTCAAGGCGGGAGCCCAAGGTATTCCCATCAGCACTCCCGTTCCTAGGAAGAGGGGCTTGAGTGGATAAAACATGGATCCTGGTCTTCACCCTCAGCCTTTACCTTTTGTTCTAATGTGTGATTTGTATTTGTCCTGATTAGTGATATCTTTGTAGTTTTAGGTATTTCTGCAAGCCCCTCAGTTTCTTTCCAGAGGGAAGCTGTAGAAGGAAGGGGTAGGGTTGCTAGTTCTAACAAATACAAAATAGGGTGTCCCATACTTGATAAAAATTTTTTTTCATTGATTATCTGAAATTCCAATTTAACTGGGTGCATTTTATCTGCTGACTCTGAATGGGTATCCCTTCAGAAATGATGTAATCATGAATGACTCAAGTTAGCAGGTCATAAGTACAAGAAAAAAGCTCAAGATGCTCTGTTAAGCATGTGTGCTGGTTTGTGTATCTCGACTTTTGTATAACATGAGATGAGTTATGGTGCCTCTAGGGTACTGGGGAGCTCGCTATCTGGAGTTTCCCAGGAGCTAGAGGGCTCGGTCACAGAGGCCTGACGGACTGTAGCATGGTCAGGCCCAGGGGTGAGAGCCTGGGCTTCATTAGCCTGTGAGCAGACAGGGGCTTTCAGGACCCCTTAAGCTGCTAAAGAGAGGCAAGGCTGACCCTAGGTCAGTAAGTCTCCAGCTGTAAGCACTGATCATGAATCTTGCTGGATGTTTTTGTGCACGTGGAATTTTTTGCATTTCAAAAAAATGTGGGGTGGGAAAAGGAGGAACAAAGGTCCAGATTGAGCTGTTTCTATCATCTGGCTGCAGGGCACTAACAAAGTCTACGCGCAGACTGCATCAGAGGGCCTGCTGTGGGCAGGTGGGAGGTGGCAGGAGGATGTGGAGGAGAGATACCACTTCTGTCCAGAGAGTCAGGGCAGTTTCTCGAGGTCACCAGGGTTAAAGTCTCCTGCCTCTGAGTCTGGGACTGCCCAATACTGCTGGCTTTTCCCATGTTAAGATTTCAACCTTCCTTTGTCTCTCCAGCAAGCATCCTTCCACCCCGATGTCAGTGACGAGGTGAGAACCAGAGCCTTGCGTTTCGGGACGGAGTGTACCCTCGGCTACTTGGACCTCCTGGAGCACGTCTTGGTGGTAAGAAAGTGCATGAGTCAGGGCTGGGGAGTAGCTGTGTCCCCCCAGCTGCCCTGGCTGATTGGAACTATGCTTTCCTTGGCAGGACCTCTCTCAGAGCCCTGTCCAGTGCCACTGTGAGGCTGGGACTGGATTGAACTGGAATCTCCCCTGGTGCACTGATCCAGCACACTGCGCTAAAAAGTGCAGTCTGGATGAAGTTGCAGTTAGAATTCAGGAAAGCCCAATTCTCTTGTGCACCTGAAAGGCAGGATTAGCATGTAAAAGAGGAGGGAGCAGAGTAAGTGGGTGGGAGGCCAGTGCCAACCTGAAAAAGTATCACGAGGTCTTGTTCGGAAGCCCCCAGTACATCCTGCGAGGACACAGAAGGCTTCTGACAGAGCCATGCCAGCCTCTGTGGCATGTTAGGGAGCCTGCCATTGCTACAGGTGACCCAACAGCCCTTCACAACTTCCTCCCATCCTCGAATGAATGGCTTAGATCCCATCGAGAATGACTCCCCCAGCCTAGTGTGCCCAGTGTGGAGCTGGGTTAAGAAGGCATGAGCAGAAGACACCAGGCAGGGGCGTAGATGTTCATGGCGGGTGGGCTGCCCACGTGGGAGCCTCAGTTTGTGCAGTTCCTAAGGTGGCTTGACTCGCTACAGACTCTAAGGACCAAACCACGGAGCACCAAGAAGTATCTACAGTGTGCATCTGTCTCTGTTGAGTTCAGGAACCATGTTGAGAACCATGTAAGGTCTAGGGCAGGCCTCGATAGTCAGGGACACCCCCAGAAGAGAGTTGATGATGTCTCCCCTGCATCACTGCCCTTGCTCTTACCAAACCTAACAAAAGAGATCCAACAGGCCACCTTTAGATACATAATTCACATATCTAGAGGAGGAATGCCAAGCCCTTCATTTGCTGGGCATTCTCAAGTTTTCTCATTCTGTCCTTGTGCAGCTGTGAGGCGTATAGGCCAAAGGAATGATCTGAGACCCAGAAAGCTTGTCCCTTGGTTGAAGTCACCCAGCTATTCAGCAACAGAGCTGGATCCAAATCTCAATTCTGACTATTCCCAGCTCTGTGCATTTCACTGCCTCCTTCTTAGAAATAAATTATCTGCTGATGCTAAACGTTTTAGGTCATTTAAGGGATCATTATTTTTCTTCTTTATCCAGGTAACTGTGGTCAATTCTGAAGTGCATTTTCTGGGAAAGTAGCCAGTCTGGGGTTACTAACATTGAGCTCGCAAAGTCTGAACCCTTGTGAATAGAGATCAGTGTATCATATGTAGGCCAAGGAAAGACATCTTAGCCAGTCAGCATTCACAGGCAAGAGCCTCCAGCTAGACACGTTGGGATATAGTTAAAGTGTTCAGTCTGTGAGTGTGCCTAGCAGGAAATTCAGGTTAAAGAGAACACCAGCAAGGCTTTCCAAAGACCTCTTTTTCATTATGGAACAATATATTCTGAGTCATATAGAACCTTGTTATAACTAAAAATTGGACAATAGGGTGCAATCAGTAGATTTAGAAGCCTCAAGTTCAAATCCTGGTTCTGCCACGTAAGTGGCTACATGGCCACTGTCTTGTCTGGGGTGCAGTTTCCTCAGATGTTAAACAGGCAGTTTATTAAGGATGAAATGAGCATGTCTGGAAACCCAGGGCTTTGTGGCCAAGCTAACATTTGCTGAATGCCTTATTGAAATCTGCCGGGTGCAGTGGCTCACGTCTGAATCCCAGCACTTTGGGAGGCTGAGGCTCGTAATCACTTGAGGTCAGTAGTTCAAGACTAGCCTGGCCAACATGGTGAAACCCCATCTCAACTAAAAATATAAAAATTAGTCAGGCATGGTGGTGGGTGCCTTTAATCCCAGCTACTCGGGAGGCTGAGGCAGGAGAATCGCTTGAATCTGGGAGGTGGAGGTTGCATTGAGTCAAGATCACACCACTGCACTCCAGCTTGGGTGACAAAGCAAGACTCCATCTCAAAAAAAAAAAAAAAAGAAGTCTGCTACTGGGAAGGTGCCGTTTCTGGCTAGTGGATGGTACTTGCTAACAGTGGGCTTCCAGTAAATGGGAGCTCTCCCCCTATGCTCCATTTCTCCTTATTTTTCCCCTCTCATGCTTTTGCTTTTGTCTTATTCATTTTGGGGGAAGGGAGGAGATACAGGGATCCTCGTATTTCTATTTCACCACTTCTCCCCAGTTCCATTTCTGAGTTGAAGCAGATTTTCTCCAGCACCTGTGCAGCACTGATAATGTACATGACGTCTGTGGGTCCAGGCCCTGCACACATGGGCCTCAGGTTGGCAATCTGTACCTTGGCCCTTGGTGAGTCATTTAACAAGAACCTCACTGTGTGGGGTCTGCCTCCAGCTTTATGTCTGACACATACACAGGCCTGGATGCAAATGGAGTGAAGGTCTCCCGTTTCACTCTCCAGCAAAAATACAGCTTATTTTAGGGAGAGGAATTCTGTCTGCATAAGGAAGGGCAGGTGCCGGCACTTGTCTTAGGGAGAAGTTTCTCTCAGGGGAAAGGGAAACGGAGCTCTAACAGGGTCACCTCCCTGACCACATGCTGACCCTAAACCCTATCCCAGTATCCGGGAATGAGGTGTTGGATCTGCTCAAGTGCTTCCTTTCTCCTCACTTCCCCTCTCCATGCCCACCTTGTTTGGGTGAGCAAAATAAGACAGGCTGTCTTATCTATATGGTGTGCATCTGTCTGAGGGGCGGGCAGGTGGCTGGCCTCTGCCTGAGGGGAGGACGAGAGGTCCAGGATCTCTAGGAACATTGCAGAATGTCTGGGAACAGTCCCAGGCCACACATTCAGAGACTCCTGCTTAGTGGCCACTCAGTCGCTATGTCAGCATCAGCCCTGATGGTAAACGGCAGCTTTTTCTGTAACAGGAAGAAGGTCACTTGCTGCAGGGAGACCCAGCATCACAGGTCATTCAAGAGGTTTCATCTCATGGAGACTGGAGATTGGAAGGAGGGAGAGTGACCACTACTTTCTTTCCCAGGGCCTAGGCAAGAACAGATTGCACTTTGTGGCCAGACATGCTTCTCTGGTGACCATTGACATTGTAGTTGATTGATTTTCTGTTATGGATTCTTCCTTGTATTTTCTGTAGAATCAGGACTCTTTTTTTTTTTTTTTTTTTTGAGACGGAGTCTCGCTCTGTCACCCAGACTGGAGTGCAGTGGCCGGATCTCAGCTCACTGCAAGCTCCATCTCCCGGGTTCATGCCATTCTGCTGCCTCAGCCTCCCAAGTAGCTGGGACTACAGGCGCCCGCCACCTCGCCCGGCTAGGTTTTTGTATTTTTTAGTAGAGACGGGGTTTCACCATGTTCGCCAGGATGGTCTTGATCTCCTGACCTCGTGATCCGCCCATCTTGGCCTCCCAAAGTGCTGGGATTACAGGCTTGAGCCACCGAGAATCAGGACTCTTAAATCTTATGTGTTACAAACTTGGGTGGTTGATATATCTGTTAAAAGCCTGCCAGCTGAGTTTCTTGTCCTCATTGTATACAATTATTGTCATTGTAGTTCGTCACTGGGGTAGAAATATCAGTGTCCTAGTTCTCTAAGGCCATTCAGAGGTTTCTGGTAGCTGGTACTAAAATGAAATCACTAATAGGAAGAAAAGCTAAATGATAGTAAAACTATTCCTATAAAAGAAACAGAATCTATCTCATCTTTTGTGAAAAGGATTTTCCCCCTTGAGACTGAAAAGATCCAAATATATTTTAAAGATAAAATTGTTAAAAGTTAGCAACTAAGTGTGAGAAGCAATAGAAAGGAAGATTAAAAGTTACCTCCAAAGTTCTCCAGCTTCAAGATTAGGATCATGGTAATGCTATTGACAGAGCAAGACAGAAGAAAGGGAGATTGTATAGATAAAATCTATAAAATTTACAATGTGCCTAAGTTTTATTAGGCACACTGTGCATTTGATACATTCTCTAGATGTAAAGATGGAGGAGGAGATATAGTTCTAGTGCTGGCAGTTGAAGGCTTTTATTCATGTATATGGGTTTTTTGTTTTTTGTTTTTGTTTGAGACGGAGCTTTGCCCTTCTTGCCCAGGCTGGAATGCAATGGCGTGATCTCAGCTCACTGTAACCTCTGCCTGCTGGGTTCAAATGATTCTCCTGCCTCAGCCTCCCGAGTAGCTGGGATTACAGGCAAGAGCCACCAGGCCTAGCTAATTTTGTCTTTTTTGTAGAGATGGGGTTTTACCATGTTGGCCAGGCTGGTCTCGAACTCCTAACCTCAGGTGATCTGCCCACCTTGGCCTCCCAAAGTGCTGGGATTATAGGCATGAGCCACTGGGCCTGGCCAATATGGAGTTTTATTAAGAGCATACAGTACAGACATATAGAGTCAAGGCTAGATCTTGAGAAAGCATGAATCAGTAGAAGCCAGGAAAAAAATTGGAGAAATAATGGAAAAAAGAGAACTTCAGAAATAGTCACTGAAAGAAGGGGAATACAGGAAAACGACTTATCATTTGGGCTTTATGGTTGATTCATTAAGTCATCGTTTATTTTATTGACTTCCATAGACCACACAAAAGAAATACAAGCTAAACACATAATGACCCCTGCCTTCAAGTAGCTCCCAATCCATTTATAATCTAGTCAGTCTCCCTCAGTGGTCTTGGTTGTTGTTTATAGAATGTTAAAGAGTAAAACAATCCAAGATACAACTATCAGAAAAAAAAAAGAATTCTCCCCCTTGAGGGTGACAAGTGCTGATGGCTCTGACATCCGAGGATGTGAATGAAATAGCATTATGTATGTATTTATTTACTCATTTGTTCATGTTCATGTATTTATTTTTGTTCCTTAAAAAGCAAGACAGTCTTTGAAGAGTATTTTCTAATAAAAACTATAGGCGGAAAACAAGGTTCTGTTTCTAGGGAATTGTCATAAACATATAAAAAATACATGTTCCTGGTGAAAAATTATAGAAACCCCCACAACCGTATTCGGTCACCTAAATTGTGATAACATTGGTCACTGTCTTAGGGCTGCTGCCAAAAATACGTTCCCATTCACACCGTTAGCTTTAACTTCTAGAAATCTGGGTTAAAGTAAGGATAAGAAAGAGGAGCATTGTTTTACACTGAGAGTCCTGCAAGCCACAAGACTGACAGGCCAGTGCTGTGTGAACACCCAACAAGAAATGAGGAAAAGGAGAATGCCCAAACCTGGGAAGTAGTGTTCATTTTCAGAGGGGATTCTGACGACAACCAGAAAATGAAAGCCAAATTGCCAGTCTGGAAAAAGACATCAGAATTTTGTTGAAATTCTTTTTAGGGTAGAAGAAAAGAATGTCTAGTAAAATGGGATTAGTTATTTGCAGGTGATAGATTTAAAAAGCAATTAAAAACCAGAGATTTTGATTCTCTCTGTCTGTCTCTCTCTCTCTCACACACACACACACACACACACACTCACTCACTCACTCACTCTGCCCTTCACTCTGTTCTTTGGGAACTGCAAAAAGACTGTGTATGATCATATGACCATGGCCTCTCCATTCTGAAAAAGAGTCGACTTAAACTGGTCTGTACCTGTAGATCTTAGGGTAGTCTTCCTGAAATGCTTGAAAAATTGATCCCGTTTTTAACAATTTAAGGAGAATCGCCGGAGATTCCTGAGAGCTGAAGAAAGGTCAGATAATTGTTCATTTTTTATAAAAAGGGAAAGAGAAAATTCCAGAAATCAAGGTTTAGAGAAAGTGTCCAGCAATCTGCAGAAATAAGTTGAGGTCATTTTCAGGTGGTACGAGGAGAATCGGGGGTCCTCTTCAGTGAGTTGCTTTTCTGAAATCTCGGCACATGAAAATATGCATGAGTTTATGGTGTCCTCGCCTTGTTCGGTTATAATATCTAGAGCCAAGGATTCTTAACCTTTTATGGCTGGTTTGTATATTTTAGTTTTTCTTTGGAAAATGCTTAAATAAATACAGAAACTAATAGCAGCATCCATGTACCCACCATCTATGATTGACTAATTTTGTTAACAGTTTGTCCTATTTGCTTCAGATGCTTATATTTTAAAGAAACATATCAGTAATAAAGTTTGTATCTATTCCCACTCCCATTCTCTCTTTCCCCCTGTTATAGATGCCAGTGACTGTCCCGATTTCAGCGTTCTTCATCTTTTGTGGGTCATGGGCCCCTTTGAGCTAGAAGCCCTGGGTCCTTTCCTGCCTTCTGCAACCGTCATCAAAGAAACATCAGCACAGACACACAGAATGATCCTCAAACTGTTAAGAGGAGTCACAGACCCACAAAACCGAGTTAGAACCTTTTGGTATTTAGAGACTGCAAATGGAGAACCCCTGCCTGGGGAATCCTTTAGATAATTCAGTTAACTCTCAACAAACATAGGATCTAATTTGGAGAGAGCCATCTCCCCGCTGCCCTGAGAGCTGCTTTATGACGCTTTAGAGATGTCCTTTTGAATGATGGTGGCCTCCTGCATTTGCTGTGTGCTGGTTTATCGTAGAGGATTTGTATTGCAGGACAAAAAGCAGCTACTTTGCCTCTGCAACTATCACAGTTCAATATTTCTGCAAAACCACAGTTTGAGATCTGTGGCAGGGATAAAATTACCCTCGCTTCCACTGGCAGAGCTTTAATTTGGATCTGTCTATTGTCTGCTATCAGAAATCATGTTGACTTAATGGCAGAATAAAAATAGAACTCCTCTTCTCCTCGTTATCTAAAGCTCAGGTTCTTTATCGGGGCTGTTCCCTGTCTGCGGGCCATCATGGTGTACACTGCTCACCAAGGGTGCTCCTTTTAGAAACAAGTCTTTCATCATTCCACTTTGTGAGAATGTTGGTAGAAGTATGTGAACAAACATCCTTCCCTTGTCTTTAGCTTAGGGGAAAATCATTCAATCTTTTACCATTAATTATGAGTGTCCCTACCATACCTTTAACCCTTTGCTTATTCATGCTGTGTTGGCCACTTTAGGGAAACCATTTAACAATGCCTGTGGACTGCTTAGCTACTGAGATCCTGAGCCATAACTATGAGTAACCTAGTAGTCTTACAGCATATATTGTTTCAGATAAATATGGTACAAGCCTTTTGCAATTAACTGGTGAGAAATGCCACCATCTAAGTCTAGAGCAGTGGTTCACAACTATGGCCACATATGAGAGTCACCCAGGGAACTTACAAAAATTCTTATGCCCAGGCCACACACCGGAACAATTCTGTCAGTAGCCCTTTATGTATATATTAATTTATATAATCTCACCACAGCTCTACAAGGGAAGTCTGTTGTGGTCACTTAATAAACTGAGGCTTAGAGAGAGGATAAGTACCTGTACATTGACATTGACTGCTGAACCTATGCCTAACTAAATTGCCTGCCCACTGACTGTCTTGGAAAGTAAAAGGCATTTATCCCCCTTCCTTCTGTTTCTCCGTGGCTCTGGTGTTCTTTTGGAACTGGTCTAGGAAGCCGTCATAGTAGGACTTGTCCCGATAATGTATTGGTCTGCTTTTCATTCATTAATTCATTTGTTCATTCAAAGGTCTGTGCTGAGTTCTTAATATCTGCAGAATGAGATATATATATATATATGCCTTAGTGTGAGAGAATGAGAATCACAGAGCAGCTGGAATCATCATGGAACAGTAGCAAATATGAAAGAAGTGTAAAAGATTATAAGAGAAGGGAAGATTATAAGAGGAGGGAAGATTATAAGAGGAGGGAAGATGAGGATAGATGCATGTGAAGTAATGCTCAGAGATTATTGACTAATCCATTTGTGCATATGCATAATGTCATCTATACACTGCTGTGTCTGGGGCTGGTCATGGTGTAACCCATTGACTCCTCTGATCTGTTTTTTCCTAAGCTTTCTCTGTAGTCATGGTGCAAAGGGGTTAGTCCTGGGTCTAAAAACCATCTTTCCAGATTCCTGAGAAAGACTGTGCTACTCCCTGGGCAGGGGAAAGGAGTGTGGGGCACCAAGAAGGGAATTAACATTTAATGCACTCCTGCTATGTTCCAAGCATTGTGAGAAATATTCCCCATGATGTGTTATTCCATTTGATCCTTTTTTTTTTTTTTTTTTTTTGAGATGGAGTCTCACTCTGCCGTCCAGGCTGGAGTGCAATGGTGCAATCTCGGCTCACTGCAACCACTGGGTTCAAGCCGTTCTCCTGCCTCAACCTCCCGAAGAGCTGGGATTACATGCATCCACCACCACACCCAGCTAATTTTTATATTTTTAGTAGAGACGGAGTTTCACCATGTTGGCCAGGCTGGTCTCGAACTCCTAACCTCAGATGATCCACCCACCTCAGCTTCCCAAAGTACTGGAATTACAGGCATGAGCCACCATGCCCGGCCTCCATTTGGTTTTTAGGCCAGCCCTGAGACAGGCATTATCCCAGCTTTACAGATGAGAAAACAGGTTTAAAACCAGTAATGTATGAAGCCAGGTTTGAACACAAGTTTGTTCATTTCCAAAGTTGATGTTTTGTCCCCTACTCAGAGGCTCCAAAATTGTGCAGAGATAGACAGCAGTTATACTTCTCTCCCGACCATCTGAACCTTTCTAAATCTGAAGATCACCTTTGGGAAACATGAGAAAGAGATAACAGAAAAGAGCAGTGGAAGAAGAATTTCAACATGAGGAAGGGATAGGATGGTGTGCACCGGAGTTTAGATCCCTGGTGGGAGATGGGGAAGAGCTGTCATCCTGTGTCATAGTTCCATTCATGGATGAGTTTGAGAATAAATCAGCTGGGGATGTCTTAAAGGTGTTTAGGATTCCCAGGACCTTTTTTTAAATCCATAAAAAACAGAAAGCAAAAGACAAGTTTTAAAAACCTTTGAACTAATTCAAAAGAGGGCAAATCCTCAGGGCCTCTCCCAGGAGAGCTTGCAGTCAGAACTCTGGAAATGGATTGTTTCCTCAAGAATCATCCTCCTGATCAGTGCGTTGTTGCTCACTTAAGGATTTTGTCTCTAGGACTTGAGTGGCACCTTTCCTCTGGTCCTTTATTTTGTCACAAGTACCGATTGGCCCCTAGTCTAGGGCTTTTGCCTTTACTCAGTATGTTTTTTAAAATTTATTTATTTATTTATTTTTAAGAGACCGAATCTCTCTCTGTGGCCCAAGCTGGAGTGCAGTGACGCAGCCACTGCTAACTGCAGCCTTGACGTCCTGGGCTCAAGAGATCCTCCCACCTCAGCCTCCTGAGTAGTTGGGACTACGGGTGTGTGCCACCGTGCCCAGCCAATTTTTAATTTTTGTTTCAGAGATGAGGTCTTGCTATGTTGACCAGGCTGGTCTTGAACTCCTGGGTTCAAGCAATCCTCCCGCCTCGGCCTCCCAAAGTGCTGGGATTACAAGTGTGAGCCACTGTACCCAGCCAGAATGTTCTTAAAGTTTGGGTAATTTTCAGGTGCATATGTGTGTTTTATGTACAAATAAAGGACAAATGAAGGTCCAAATAAAAGACAAGTGAGGACTTTGTCTCCTTTATGATCTTTAGGAGCTATGTTAGAGGGGACCTTAGAGGCGCCACTGGTTCCCAACGTTTTATTTCTCACACAGGGAGACTGAAACCCAGTGAGTCTTAAGCGTTTTCCACAAGATTCTGAAGTCGCTCGGGACAGAGATGCAACTTAAAACCAGGCTGCCTGACCCCACGTCCGCCAGGAGGAATGTGCTGCTTTCTCGTCTCAGTGGTTACTAACCCCCTCATGCCTCTGACTTGTTCTTCACCTGTAGATTCTTCAGAAACCAACCCCAGAACTCAAGCAGCAGCTGGCTGCTTTCTCCAAGCGAGTGGCCGGTGCTGTGACGGAGCTCATCCAGGCGGCGGAAGCCATGAAAGGTAGGCTGGATTCTCGTGTCTTGGTGGAGGGCAGCCCTTCCAGGCAGTGCTAATACGGCAGACTGTGCAGAGGAAAAGCACAGCCTGCACGGGCCTTTAGCTGGCAAACGCAGCCGGGAATAGAGTGAGGACTTTCTGCAAGCAAATGGGTTTAGAGTTAGCTTGAAAAAGTAACGTCCTCCCTGAAGCAACACTCTAGTCTTTGTATTAAGTGCTTCTACTTAAATGGTATCCTCCACCTAGAACTACTCACTTCCCTTAGGAGCCTCCCCATTTCTTTTTTGTCTGCATTTTCATTCATCAGGATATTTATTCTCCTTGAAATAATACTTCATATTTTGAAAATGATACTATCTGACAGCACTGTTTGGACACCCTTTATGCTTACATAGAAGCAGCCAACTCACCTGGGAAAGGTCTTCTCACCAATTTCCTTTACTTTGAATTAAGGTGAGGGGTCATTCCTTCTGGGTTCCAGGGAGAAGAGAATGGCAAATTCCTGTGTGACCTACAGCATAGTCTAGTGTCTCCTGAGGATGCTTACTTATATTCGTGAGCTTTAAGTTCAAAGTCAAAGCAAGGCTCAAGCCTTCGTCCATGAGATCATTTTTGAAGCTGCCTGGTGACTGCCCTGTGGTAGGGCCATACACACAACTGATTCAGAAAACCAGGGTTAGCATCCCCACCCCCATCCAGATGGCCTTTATGAGAGACGGAAGGAAGGTTCCTTAGGACAATGCAGGTCAGGCTCCTGGAGCCTTCATGCATGCAAATCCAGATATTGTTTGTAATTAAGCCAGTGCCCTGAGGTCTGCAGCTACCAAGAATCACTTTCTTTTGGATTGATTCTAGGAACAGAGTGGGTGGATCCAGAAGACCCAACTGTCATTGCAGAAACAGAGTTACTGGGGGCTGCAGCATCCATCGAAGCTGCTGCTAAGAAGTTAGAGCAACTGAAGCCAAGAGCAAAACCAAAAGTAAGTGTTCATTTATGGTTGGCTGTCCAGTGTCAGTGGGTTCTTCCAGTGGGTGGCTGTGAAGTGGAGCGAGGAGTGCTGCAGGGAGCGTCAAGCTCCTTCCTCATGGTCAGATTAGCAAGCGGAAAACCGGATCTACCTGCCCAGCACTGCTTTAGAGTATGGGGGAAAAATGGCTCATGAGTCTAAGTTAACCACCCAGAAAAATACCTCTGTGTGTCCAAAGGAAGAATTGGGGCATTTGCAGTCTTGATTTAGTTCCATTATCTAAAGCAGGTATTGGATGCTTTCTGTCGGAAGTTGCTGTGACTGGAGAGAAGATTGTTAGCCTCCAATTTTCTGGTTTCTCTTTTGCTTTTTACAAAGAAATAGCACTGCTGGGAATCAGAGGGCAATGAGAACTTCAAAAGTGCACCCATTCCAGGCTTTTTCAGTGTATGCTGGAGGTGATGGGTAGCTGGTATGTTTTTTCCACCTATGTTTGTCATGTAGATAAATGTTTAAAACTTAAGATTATAGGATATGTGAAGAGAAATAGCCATTTAAAGGAAAGAGATACTTTTAGATTAGGCAGGAGGAAGGACGCTTTCTAAATAAAAGGATGACGAGCTACTGCTGTCTGCAGGGGCAAAGCCCCCACCCTGTTAAGCTGATACCTCCTACCCCACCTTCCATGGCTGTCTTCAGCAGGAAAATGGTAGAACCAGAGGAGGCCCCTTTTTCTTCCTATTCAAGTAAGTCCCTGGTGTGGTGCATTGTAACTCACCTATTTCCAAGGACCCAGATATATTAGGAAATAATATTTGGCTTTTCCCCTCGAAAAAGGGCTGGATTCCACCAATTTAAGTATACCTAAAAATTTACCTATTTTTGTAAGACCAAGGGATGGAGTCTGGGCCCTGAAACAGGTCAGACCACTCAAAAGCAGTGCCTGGGCCAGTGTAGTGTATGAAATAAACACAGACTGAGTCTGTTCAGCTTGGGAACATTCTTAAAACTTTCGAGTGTTCACAACCAACCTCCTAATAGTCACTCTGGACTTGGTAAAGGCACGTAAACGTTTTCTCATCAAGATGTAACTTAAGGATTTGGGCTTCTGATTTTGGGGTTTACTAGGGTTCTCTCTGCTGGCCTCTACCTGAGAGCCTTGCGTTGCCTGATATTGCCGAGTTTTTCTTGCAAACTTAAGAGCCAAGTGTGGGTGTTGGGACAACTCCATTTTCTGGTTATGCCTTTGTTTGTGTTTTGTCAGTCAAGTTAATCGTGAATGAAAAGTGTACTTTAAACTTAAGAGTCAACCATTAACTAAGATTTAGAGGTTTGGTGCATAATGTTTTTCCATTTCCTTGTCTGATTTATCACGAGTGGCCTTTCTTGGGGAGGGCTCTGTCCACTAATGCCGAAGCCATGTCAGTTGACACATTCGTTCTCCTGGAGAATTAGCCTGGTGCTAATTTAACATTAACACTTCCCCATATTCTAAGAGCTCCTGTCTCAATGTCTTTCTCTTTGTCCTTCCGCAGGGTCCTTCTGAGCTCTTGTCTGTCCCTGAATCCTGGTTTCCCCCTGTCTGGTCTTTCACTTCACGATTCCAGATGGGAAAACAAAATTATTAAAGTTCCTACCCCATAGGATTATGGTTATAATAATAAGATAGTATAAGAACACTGCCTGACATACAGTGAGACTCAGTAAATAGTAACTATATCACCATTATTATCACCATCGTCACTGAAAATATGTGTCTGGGACTTTTTCCCCAGGAAATGCCTGAAAACAGAAAGCTCACATTGTTCAATTGCCAAGCATGTGCCAGGCAGTCTTCTAGGTACTTTATGAGAGTCACTCATCTGATCCTTTCAAAAAGTCCATTAGAATCAGAAGCACCAAGAGGCGAATTACGTTGCCATGGTCAGAGCACCGTCACTCAGTTGGGAGGGCTATGTATGGCCCTGGGTGGCAGTTTCAGTCCATACCAGTCCGTTTCCCTACCCCATTGTCAGAGAAGGCTGGTCTAGTCCCACAAGGGCCATTTGTACTTTATGTGTGCCCTTTGAGCTACTAATCCCACCTCTGAGAATCTCTCCTGAGGAGGAAATCAAGAGGGGAAGAAAGTTGTGTGCCTGTGAGAGGGTTGTCCCTTGCAGCCTTGTCTGTAGTAATGAGCAGTTGGATGTGGACCAAGTGTCTCCTCGAAGGAATATTATGCAGCTATGAAAAATAATGGTTGCTAGGACTGTGTAGCATGAAGAAAATGCTCATGGTATAACAGAAAGGATGCAGAATTATATACTCATTATGATTACAACTCTAAAAGCCCACAGATGAAAAAAAAAATAAGTACGGAATGTACAAGAATGAAGATGGAATTGGGATGATGGAAGGGTCTGTGTTTTAACATTTTATAAAACAAAGGTTTAAAAATAACCGCACCTTAAAAATTAATGGTGACTGCTGAAGCAGGCCAGTGAGGGCTCCCTACAGTACTCCAGGATCATATAGCCTTTGTGTTTGCATTGAGGATTTTTATAGGAAGGCCAAGGAATCCTTTGGCCAAGGTCAAGGTTACCACAACTGATGATGTGAATCCTTTGTTTGAGGGTTCCTACCTTAGGTCACTCTCATCATATTAGGAAGGGTGGTGGGTACTTCTGGAATGCTTTACAATGTTCTGAAGTCTTTCTCTGCCTAATGACCAGAGGCAGACATTATCTATGAAACTGTTTTGGAAAATCTTCAACCCAAACCATAGTTTTTGTGCCTAATAGGGCAATCCACATTGCAATAACTTTTGCATGAAATAAAATATCCTCCTTGCCTTTATATAGGAGTTTATTTCCTCAATTGAAAAACAGTAACAACAATCTGCACCAAAATCAGCCAGTCTTTTGAGGTTAATCACTTCTCTCCATTCTCTCCCAAAATGTTAAAAAAAAATCCTCAGGGTACTGTAAGTAAATAATTGCTTATTACATCCCTATAACCCTACCCTCGTACACACACATGCCCTCTGTATATGGATGTGTTCACACTGCTTTCAGGAAGAGTTTGGGGAGGGACAGTAATTTTGTCAAAAAATGCTCTGCTCAGCACATTCTCAGGTTGCCTGTTTTTAAAGGAGAGGCTCATGGTTTATGATGATGATTCTGGTATATTTCCACCTCAGGCTCTTAAAACTTAAGCATCACTTTTTGCCTGGAATCTCCCAGACATGCACTGTTGAATCCGCTGTTCACCTGGGGAGTTGAGAATGTCAGTGAGCGCTGGTGCATGTGCTGACAGTATTGTTAATGGCGCCGTTTCCACACCTGCAGGCAGACCTGTGCTCCAAAGACAGGTATCGGAGTTGCTGCAAAAGTGACCACCCCCTGCAGCCGTAACCTTCAATACTGTGCCTAGTCTCGAGCTCAGTCAAACCTGGATGCCTTTTCTGCAGGCCTCTGTGTGATATGTTTGATATATTAGGTTGTTATTTAATCCAACTATATATCAAACATATTCCTACAGTGTCTTGCCCTGTCTCCGGGGGTTCCTAATAAAGTTTATAAGGCAACAGGAAAGAACACGTTAAAATCACAAGTAGATTTAGAAGACGGAGCACTCATTACAATTCATGTTATCTTCTATTTCTTCTTGTAGCATTTGAGACCTGTGTCAGTATTACTAGATTATTTGCTTATTATAGAAACAAATAATAAGTATTGATGTTTCATAAGAGCCTGGGGTATTTTGTGCGGCTTAGTTTTGTGCAGTGATGAATCCTTAAGGAATTCAGTATGCTCAGTGGAAAAAACGGTTCCAACCCATGCCTATGAGACATAACATAAAGGTCAGGATTATAGCCTCAAACACATCTAGATTTATATTTCATTTTGGTTCATTTTTATCCTGATCTTCAATTTAGAAGTTCATGTCAGGGTTTCAGCAAAAATTCAAGGAGCACAAATCAGTTTTCTATAACTTCCCTTTCCACTCACAGTAACGATGTATAAAGCAAATCCACTATACCAGCTGCATGGATACTGAGTCAGTGAGCTTTATACAAACCTTGGATATAGGACTAAATGTATCTCATGAAGGTAATATAATGTTGACTGAACTCTTGAATTTCCTGTTATAGGTTAACTTGTCAGTGGAGTTTGGTAATATTTAGAATAAGCCAACAGGCAGAAAGTAATTTCATAGCCTAATTGACTGTGGCAGGAAGTTTGGGATTATGATATAGAAAACATATTTTCTGGTACATAACAGCCTTCTTTGGTTGGTTTTGACCTCTTCCTTATAGAAAAGCCTATGAAGTATGTGTGAGTTCATTCTGAGTTCTCTCAACAAAATACTTTGTGAGCACTGCTTTCTGGGAAGAGAACTACTGTGCTCATAGCTCAGTGTTGTGGAGGAGAAAAGGTGTGAGCAAGTGGTTTAAACAGGTCAGTCATGAAAGCTTCCCCTTACTGTGTCTAGAAGTCATTGCCACATTGCTTACAAGTGAATGCATAGTGACAGGGTTGCCAGCAGCAGCATCAGAGAGGTGATGACACAGGAGAGGGTCCTGTGATGTTGGAGTCCTGGCTTCTGGAGTTACACAATGGAACCTGTCTCCGGAATCCTTCTCCATTGAGAAGCGATCTGTGTGTGTCAGCAGGTGCTCTGTCAGGCGGGTTTCAAGATGCTGCCCCAGTCAGTCCCTCCTTCACACAGCTGGAGAACACTGGTTTTGGTTTTGAGTCCAGTTACATTGTTTGACTGAAATGGCAAATGGCCATGGAAAAGAGACAGCAAGTTATTACGAACAAAGAAAAGCATGGTTTCAAAAGGACCTGCAGATGAAGCCCATTTGTTTGAATTGATGTGATTTTCTTGTTTCTTTGGGTGACTTTGTCACTGACCAGCATGTTCTCTGTAGTGATAAATATGGTGAAGGGAAAAAGGAACCAACTGTTTAGGGAGAAGGACAAATACAGCATTTTCTATATGGCTGCACATGGGCTTTGAGTGGCACT